CATAAGTGTGACAAAAAAATAAATTAAAAAATCATTTTCATAATTTATATTACCTTTAATTTGAGGATCTTTTATTGTTAAGAACCATATGATCGATAACATGTACTATTCTTTTAAATAATATTGTGAGGATATATTCCAAGCATATTACACAAATAATAACATTGACTTGTGACCACCCATAAAATATACATATAACCAATTAAATCAACAATATAATCTCTCATATAAGTGTGAAATAAACACATAAATATCATACAAAAACATCATTAAAATAAGGGTTTTCCCATTTCCAGATGAAGGTTCTATAATTTTGTAGTGTAGCCGACAAGTTCGTTGACATCTAGGAGTCAGCTGTCTCTATTAGATTAGATTATACTCCGTATTATATTATAACAAATATATTTCACCATTAATTTCAACTGTTTTCATGTGGAAGTTTCATGCAAATTTCTGGGAACAAATGGTCACCAGATCCATGAATGCAGTAATCAGGTTGACAATAACATGATATTATTAAGAAAAAAGAAATGCTTTGTTTTTTCTTTTTCAATCCAATTGAGCTTTCAATGCAACTTCTGCATATTTCGCAAAGTAAATGTTTTTTGTCTTACTACAAATAGTACATTAAAAATTTCTGACTTTTAGGTTTCTAGATTTTATAACTAAGAACGGGTCAAATAGAATTACAATGAAATTTCTGGAATAAAATAATGTATTTATGTATTAGAATAATGTATTTTATGAATTACAATAATGTGTAATGCACTTTATATGTTAGAATAATGAAATTTCTGGAGTAAGATAATAAATTTTATGAGTTAGAATAATGTACCTTATATGTTAAAATAATGTATTTTATGAGTTAGAATAATGTAATTTATGTGTTTTTAGATCGTAGCCCACACAACTGTATATTATAGTTGGTTAGACACTAACTCTCGTGCCTAAAGGGCAAATAAAGAATCTTGACACATAGGCATGAAATTTGTTATATTTGCATCATTATTCTACCGAATTGTATATTCAAATAATCCTAGTATATAAAAATTGAATAAGATGGTGTTAGGCAGAGTCAAACTTGTAATCTTCTAGAATTATATTCAAATTATATTTTATCCTCTCGATCATCGATTTCAAGATTATTTACATTATTATTGATTACTTAACTTGTTTGTGAATTTAGTCATCTCCTATAAGGGGTAAAAGTTAATTTTTAGTAATTTCAATTGACCTCGTCAAACAAGCAACCAATATTCGTGTCCAATGTTAATTAGGCGCCGTTATAGATCATTTAATTTGTTCATACTACCTACTAGAAACTAAGAAGAAACTCAAGAAAGAGACATCATTATAGATTATTGATGGAATATAAACCAAATTGTTAATTAATAAACTTTCAAAATAGTTATTCACATATGAATTTATGTTAAATTTTAAACAAAAATTATATTATTGATGAAATATAAATCATCAGGTTGCTCCAATAAGGCTCAAGTCACTTAACCCATTAGATACGAACAAAGAAGTATTATATTAACGTAAGAGCACATGTCTATACTGAAACAAAAGTTGACCAATATTTACTACGGACCACTGACATGGGTGGCTTCACCCACCCCTTGAGGCCAAGCACTTATATAACGGCAAAGAATTGAACAATCAAGTCTTATGTCATGATTACATTTAGATTGAAATTAAGATCATGTAATATTTGTCAATAGTCGTATAACTACTTTTTTTTTTTATAAAAATAAAAAATAAAAAATATCAGCTTTATTGTTCTATATCCACCATCCTAACACTCCTCCATCACCCATGTAATTTGTGGCACTTAATTTTTTCACATATACCTTTTGTTTCGACATTTTGAACTGATTAAAACTATCAACTAGTTAAAAAAATTATATTATTGTCTCGATCAAATACATAATATATATGATTATACCATTCCTACTAAATTACTATTCCATTCAAATTCAAATTTGATTATATATATAATTCACACAGCCTAATTTTATATCAATGGTTTCACCACCATGACGAAATGCCAATATATAATATATATTTTGTAAACACGTTCTGAATTTTGACTTTATTCTTCAGTGGGGTGGGGGTGGGGGGTTTGGAATCACCCTGGAAGATCACATGCATGGTGGAAAATCAAAATACTATTATTGTGAAAAATTAAGATAGGGTAAATCTTCTGGAATATATATATAATATATAAATATAATCAAGATCATATGAGGTCTATCAAATGTGTAAAACATGATTCTCATAATTTAATGTTACAAGTTTAATTTTTGTCAATATTTTTTTGATCGAGTGAATCTATAGATTCACGAGTTATTACATATTAGTGAAGTTTACATAGTACTCCTGAAGAATACTTTTTTTTTTTCTTCTTCTTTTTTCTTTTAATAACAGAACTCAGCATTTATTAGGAAGAATAATAATGCTATTCATCCATAAGCTACGTACCGTGAATTATAACGAATATCACTTTAAAATAAATTACATATTAATCAAAATATAAAATGAATCAGTACGTAAAGTGATGGAATTAAGAGAGGAGTGTAGCATTATTCTATCAAGAATTAACAAATATAATGTATAATATAGCCCCAGGTTTAGCATAATTGGTTCGTCATCTGACTTAAAGGTCGTGATTGGAAGCGGCAGTTTGGGGGTTCGACCCACTAGAAACATGTATATATAGGGAAAAAAAAAAAGCTCAATGATGATGGAATGTCTGGATTGGATCTCTTATGCGCACATGAAGACTATAATCTTACCAGTATACTAATTGTGCAACTCGCGATTTACTTCTGTTGTGACTTTAAGAATAAGGTCCGGTGGGCTTAGTATTAGTCTGGCAAAGCTGAGATAATCTAAGTTTAAAAAAAAAAATTAACAAAAGGAAAAACTATTTGTAATTGAGTGGAATTGAGTTCATTTGTACGTAGTGTATTATGTGTTTATTTAATAATTTGTATAGATTCATGAGTTGAAATATGTATTATAGTTTATTAGTATTATACTAGAGGTTCATTATCAATTAATAAGATTTACATTATCTTAAGGACCTTAATAATCAAATTAAAGTACATATAAAAAAATAATTTGTAACACATTCAAAATAAACTTACATATAAAAAAATAACATGTATTATAATATTATCTTGCAAGATAGATCCAAACCGGAGATTTATGATGCATGGTGAATATGGACAAGTGGAGAATCCATAACCATATAAACAAAACTTTAGAGTCCATAACCATATAAACAAAACTTTAGAATCCATAACCATATAAAAACAATTCCAAAATCCATAATTATATTTTTAAAAAAAAATCCTAAAATCCATAATCGTATACTTGTATAAAAATAATTTCAAAATTCATAACAAAAAATGTATCTTTGATTTACGAGAAAAGTCGATAATTCTAAAATCTATAATCATATACTTGTATAAAAACAATTTTTTAAAAGAAAGAATGCAAGTATGTTTTGGGAACTAATGGCATGTTTGGTTCATGGAAATTTTTTTTTCTTGAATTTGAGGAAAACTAGATTTTCCTTTGTTCGGTTCATGGAAAACATTTTCCTCAAAAATGAGGAAAACATTTTCCATAGTCCCCCCTTGGTATTTTATTTTTCGTGGAAAACAAGTAAGACAACTATGCTCTCACCAACTTTTCTTAATTACCATTATTATTGTTGTTGTTATTATTATGTAGGGGTATAATTGTCGTTATATTCATTATTCTTTACAATTCTAAACTCAACCAAACAATGAAATCGATATTCCCAGTAATTTATTTTCCACCAACCAAACAATGTAATTAATCTTTCCGGTAATTTCTTTTCCATGGAATTTCAATTCCATTTCCTTTCAAATATTTTCCACGAACCAAACGGGACCTAAGAGTAGAACTTGGAACCAGACCCATATTTAAACTAAAATTTAAGGTTATTCATGCCCGGGAGGTCCGCAGAGTGAGTGAACCAAAATAATGTTAGTGAGAATTAAACTTGTGACTCTTAAGTCATATAATCATGTTTCACTTTAGTCCGCATGGGCAGCTCAATTACTCATAGGAGTGAAGTTTGGAAATAATGATCAGGACAAATTATGTTGTGGAACCGTGTCCACCTTGCAAGGTGAACACGATTCCAAAACTGTCATATGAATATATAGTTCAAAAATTATGAACATATAATTCTATAAATAGGAACATAGAGTTGTGAACATAATTATGAATATAGAGATTCAATAATTGTGAATATGAAATTTAAAAATTATGAATAATAATTTTATAATTATGAACATATAGTTCAGTAATTATGAACATAGAGTTCTGTAATTGTAAATATAGAGTTCAATAATTATGAATATATAGCTTTATAATTACGAACATATTGTTCCGTAATTATGAATATATAGCTTTATAATTATGAACATAGAACCGTCCACAGCATAACGATTGAATGACCATGGAACGAGTCTCATCAGCCGGCAATGTAGGAGCAAGGTCTAGCCTTTGTGATTCAGCTGAGTTACCGTGATTCACATCTTCCCAAATGTTCTGTCAGACCGGAGTTGGAGATTCAACCTTTGCCAAAGAAAATGTTTCAATTTATAATATTGAGGCCATTAATTATACTTTTAAGAGTCTCATCAGTCGTAGTGTAAGAACAATTTCTCGAAATGAGAAACTCGTTGTGAGTAATGAGTAAAGGTCTAATTTTTATGTTCATCTGAATTAGTAGCTCTATTGGACCCTAGTGTGGGGGCCTAGGAGAGAAAAACATTTGGAGTAGAAAGCAATAAATGAAACTGCAGGACCCGAGGTGCTTAGTCATGGACACGTTTTACCCGTATAAATACCTGACAACCTTACAAACTGGAGCCATGAACGCTTTCTGCGATAGACCTTTCTTGTCCCTTTGTTTCTGCTTCACGGAGATCAACATTATTTGACTCGTTCTTTTCCTGTCCAGCTTTCTTATCGGTCCTTTTTTCTCCTTTTCGGTTTATTTGTGTTCTCCAATCCTCTTCTATTCTCCAATCCAATTCCCCCCCTTCAGTTTTTGTCATCTCCAACGGTCCGCCGATGCAAACGGAGCTCAAAACCGCCGTCTCCCTCGCTGCTCGCACCGGCCGGCATTTGCAGCGTTACGATAATGGCCGCCGTCAAGTCGTCGGGTAAAAACAAAGTTCTTCGTTTGCATGCATCTGTTTAGAATTATGTACAGAAAAATGATGTTTTTCTTCCTTGAAAACCCAGAAAATTCAAACGATAGTGCAGTTTATTATGTATATGAAATGGGAGAGAATTGATATAACAGTGGTCTTAGGAATATCTGGGAAACTAAATAAGGATGTTGAATTGGTTGTCTTTTTGTCATTTCTGTTTGTTAATGGGTACTGGATGGATAGTTATTTCTTGTTTTCAGGTTGATTTTGATCTTGAAGCTAATTCTGTTTCTAATAATTTTGTTATGTTTTAAACTATGATTGTGCAGATGTGTCCCCTATAGATACAAGGATAGTGGTGAGACATCATCCTTGATGGCTGAGGATGCATTTGAAGTTCTTGTCATTAGTCCTCAGAGAAAAAGCAAAGGGATGCTGTTTCCTAAGGTACTCAAAAACCTCAAACTTCATCCAATGATTCTGAACATACATTCAGTGTATAGTATTCAGAGTTAGGCTTTCATGAAACCAAAAGTAAATAAGGTGGGCACAATTCAATCTAGCCGAGTTGGTTGGACAGTTGGCTGGCTTGGTAACCGTGAGGTTCCAAGTTCGACTTCTCATGAGCTACTTATTGTTCTTCTTGGTTTGAGCCAGTCACCTATATCAAAAGGCTGGTTGGTTTTTAACCCTTGCCAAAAACAAAACAAAGAAAAAGAAAGAATTAAATAAGGTTATATGGGTTAGATATTGGCATGTATGTTATGTGTTGTTTGTGTAAATTCTTGTTGTTTTACACAACCTTGACCATGATGATGGCAGGGAGGATGGGAAACAGATGAAACAATTGAAGCTGCAGCCCTGCGAGAGACAGTTGAGGAAGCCGGGGTGTTGGGTGAGATTGAGGTTGGTCTCGCTGTCAGCTTAAACTTTTAGTTGAGACAGAACATCTGACTTGTATTCTTGTCTGTTGTTGCAAATATATCATAGGAAACCTCAATCTGATCTCCTTAATTAATCCGGCCTTTTGCAGTGTAAACTAGGAACATGGAGCTTTGAGACCAAGAATGGCGAAAACTCATGTGAAGGTCACATGTTTCCACTCCTTGTGAAAGAGCAGCTAGATTGCTGGCCAGAGAAGGAAATTCGCCAAAGACATTGGGTATGCATTCACTGATACAAAACTCCATTTTTCATAAAGACGAAATTAATGTTGAGCATATAGCCATTAATGTGCAATCCAACTATCAGCTTAAGCTTTTAGTTGAGACGGGGCACATGCTTCAATTATTAAACTGTACTGAATTGGTAAGTGAATTGTCGAATTGCAGATGAGTGTAAGGGAAGCGAGGAAAGTTTGCAAGCAATGGTGGATGAAGGAGGCGTTGGAAGCGATGGTAGGGCACGTAACGAAGCAGAAGAATGCAGGCCTACTTTCAGCCATTGGGCTTAGCCAACCCACCCTTTTCTCCATTAGATGTGGAGCTCAAATTCTTCCTCCCCCAACCATGGCTTCTGCAGAGGAAGCATATCGGCTGCAGGATCGGAGAAGCTAAGGGAAACCATTTGAATTGGTGTGATATATAGCAAAGCAATAAGAGTTATGAAGCTAGGATGGATGGAAGGGTAGTAGAGGTATTGCAGATTTGCCTGCAATCAGCCTAGACAGACAGACAGACTCCAATTTGAAGAAAATGGAAGATGCAAGTAGGAGTTAGTAAGCTTAATTTCATGTTCTTGTAATTGGAGTCATTGTAGACTTTTTAAGAATGAATTTTTTTTTAAAAAGTTTATAAATGTTTGTTCTTCCAACTTTTTCCATTCATACAATTAAGCAGAAAATGAATTGCAATTCATCTTCATTCACTAAATATGTCATAAGTACAAGAACCATGCTCCACTCGACCATATATTTTAAGGTCGTTGATCATACTTTTAAAAGTATGATCTTATAAGACGTTGATTGTACTTTTAAAAGTATGACCTTATAAGATGTTATTTAAGAATTTCACTCTCTTATAAAAATGACTCTCAAATCGTCCTAAACAGCATTAAGACATAGGAAAGTAGGTAAACCTATTGAAACACAAATAACCAAACTCCTCCACTGAGAAAGTTAACTTATAAAGAAGTCATGGAATATAGTTAGCATTATGCTAACATTAAGAGATCTCTACTTATAAAGAAGTCATGGAATATAGTTAGCATTATGCTAACATTAAGAGATCTCTACTTAAGGCATGCTTATAAAGTTTTAGAGATCATACAGTGTACTCTTTTGTACAATTTGGATGCGTTTTTTCCTTTAGTTGTGCACATAATGTATTTTGAGAAACATCCCTTATATGATTCGTGTGCACATAATGTATTTTGAGAAACATCCATTATGATTCGTGTGTTTTGTTCTTTGATGAAGGTTGTGCTAGTACTTGCACCAAGTGGGGGAATGTAAGTTTTCTCTAATAATATATACTTGCACCAAGTGGGAGAATGTAAGTTTTCTCTAATAATATATATTATATATTATATATTAGGGCCTTAATTAAGTGGTGCAAGTTTGACTAGCTTATTAAGTAGTTTGGTTGGACTTAATAACTAGTAGTTGTTAGTCAACCAGATTCTGTGCCTAATATAATCTTGGATTGATTGATAGGATACAGGATGATTGATGTTAGCACATTTAGTTACGGTACTCAGACTGCTCCGTAGACACCAATACACCATCTAGGATTCTGAGTCAGGTCTGAGGCAAAACATGGCTAACGGTCTACCGTTAAGAGGCAACACAACAGGAACATCAACTATGGCGGGAGATCAACACGGTTATGCTTCCGCTATCATACGAGGTCAAGTTTCTTGTATACTATGGTATCACTCATTAACCCGAATACCATTAGATCGCATAGTCTTGGTAACCTACTATTCGGTAAAATTACATACATTTGGAGTGTTCAATGACCTAATTACACTTTTTTTTTTCGTTCAATGGTCTAATTACATTTTCAGGTTACGTTCAGTGGTCTATTTGAACCTTATTCCTATATATATATCATTATTAACTATTTTTTCTCCCTTTCAGTTTATTTGTGTTCTCCATCCTCTTCTATTCTCAAATCCAATTCACCCCCTTCAGTTTTTGTCTTCTCCGACGATCTGCCGATGCAAACCGACCTCAAAACCACCGTCGCCTCCGTCGCTGCACGCACCGGAATGCATATGCAGCGTTACGACAATGGCCGCCGTCAAGTCGTCGGGTACATCCTCTCTCTCCCCCTTCCCTCCGAACAGGAGAAAAAAAAAAAGCAAAGGTCTTCGTTTGCATGCATCTGTTTAGAATTATGCATAGAAAATTGATGTTTTTCTTCCTTAAAAACCCAGAAAATTCAAATGATAGTGCAGTTTAATGTCAGTTTTGTTTGTTAATGGATACTGGATAAGTGGATATTGATTTCTTGCTTTCAGGTTGATTTTGAGATTCAAGGTAATGCTGTTTTCTAATAATTTAATTTTCTTATGCTTTTGACTATGATTGTGCAGATGTGTCCCCTATAGATACAAGGATAGTGGTGAGACATCATCCTTGAAGGCTGAGGATGCATTTGAAGTTCTTGTCATTAGTCCTCAGAGAAAACGCAAAGTGAAGCTGTTTCCCAAGGTACTTATTGACCTTCTTGGTTTGAGCCAGTAAATAAGATTTTTGATTTTTCATGAAATCAAAAGTAAATAATAAGTTGGGGATACACTCAAGTCAAGTTGGTCGGACAGTTGTTTGGTAATTACGAGGTTCCAAGTTCAACTTGTCCTGGGAGTTACTTATTGACCTTCTTGGTTTGAGCCAATCGGCTATGAACAATGCTGGTTTACCACCTTCTAGTTCTTTGTCGCTAGACAAGGCTAGTTGGTTTAAGGTCATATGAATTAGATATGTGTTGTTTGTGTAAATTCTTGTTGTTTTACACAACCTTGACCATGGTGATGGTAGGGAGGATGGAAAACAGATGAAACAATGGAAGCTGCAGCGCTGCGAGAGACAGTGGAGGAAGCCGGGGTGGTGGGTGAGATTGAGGTTGGTCTCGATCATTGTCAGTTTAAACATCTATCAGCATAAACTTTTAGTTGAGATAGAACACCGGCCTGTATTCTTGTATGTCGTTGTTGCTTATCATATCATAGGAAACCATACCTCAATCTCCTTAATGTACCCTTATAATTTGCAGCCTAAACTAGGAACATGGAGGTTTGAGAAAGGCAAAAAATCATGTGAAGGTCACATGTTTCCACTCCTTGTGAAAGAGCAGCTAGAGTCCTGGCCAGAGGAGAACATTCGCAATAGAAAATGGGTATGCATTTGCATTCACTGATACAAAACTCCATTTTTTTTCTTAAAGATTGAGGAAAACTGTAGTGAATTGAATTGCAGATGAGTGTAAGGGAAGCCAGGAAAGCTTGCAAGCAATGGTGGATGAAGGAGGCGTTGGAAGCGTTAGTAGGGCACGTAACGAAGCAGAAGAATGCAGGCTTACTTTCAGCCATTGGACTTAGCCAAGCCTCCCTTTTCTCCCTCCCCCAACCATGGATTCTGCAGAGGAAGCATAGCCTGCAGGAGAAGGGAAACCATTAGTTTTAGTTAATTACTTATCTTGTCATAGGATAGTAGTTTACCCATTTGTTTTTTTTTTTTTTTTTTTTTTTTTGTTAGGAAATACGGAGTATGATTTAACCTTGGTTATATATAAATTTATAAATTTAGATGATGAGTGAAACCAACATCCACTAATTAAAAGAGTGTATTGGAGCGAGTAAATCATGAGTGTATTGGAGCGAGTAAATCATGTTCTTGTTTAATACGGGGTAGCTCACAATCACAAACCACATCTGCACTAGAAAGTTCTTATGCAGCTTGTTCAAATCTAATTTGTGACCTTTTAAAACGAGAATCATGCCTCATCCACTATGTTTTCCTTTTCAAGATCATTTTAAAAAATAATTAACTAACAAGAGAAAATGGTTAAATAGGTCACTAAACTTTTAAAAAATGCAATTAAACCTTCAAACATGTCAAATTGAGTCAATGAAGCACAAAAACCGATAAATGACTTGTTATTACAAGTCATTTCAATTCCCGCGACACGCGACGGCAAAAAAGCCGTCGCGGTCACCTTCTATTGGTGAAGGCAACCAGTTGGTCGCCTTCTGCAATAGAAGGTGATTGAGGACGGCTTTTTTGCCGTCCCCGGTCGTTGGAATTCCTTGTTGGACATTGGAATCGAAATGACCTCTAATAACATGTCATTTATCAATTTTTGGACTTCATTGATCCAATTTGACATGTTTGATGATTTAATTGTATTTTTTTAAAATTTAGAGACCTAATTAACTTTTGGGGTAAAGTTTAATGACTTATTTAACCATTTTCTCAAAAATCAATAATTAGCATTACAATGTGCATATAATGACTTATGATTTTGGCCCATTAACTTTTCAATCCACAACTTTGGGGCAAATTATGCCATGGATCCGTATGCACCATGCATGGTGCATACGGATGCAAAAATGACGTTGTTTTATTAAAAACGCGTCTTCCCTTAAAAAAAAAATCAGATTCGATTTCCAGCAACAACATATGAACTAAAATTCCAGAATCGATAAACTATAATTCCAAAATCGATGAACTATAATTCCAGAATCTATGAACTAAAATTTCAGAATCTAATCTATGAACTAAAAATTCCAGAATCTATAAACTAAAATTTCAGAATCGATGAACTAAAATTTCAGAATCGATGAACTACAATTCCAGAATCGATGAACTATAATTCCAGAATCAATGAACTAAAATTCCATAATCTATGAACTAAAATTCCAGAATGAATGAACAACATAATGTTATTGTTGGGAATCGAACCTGAATTTTTTTTAAAGGGGAGACGCGCATTTTTTAATAAAACGACGTCATTTTGGCATCCGTATGCACCATGCATGGTGCATACGGATGCACAGCATAACGATTGTGCATATAATGACTTATGATTTTGGCCCATTAATTTTTGAATCCACAACTTTGGCCTATTACGCAAGATAGAAAACCCAAATACAAGACTCCATTTCTTCTATCTTCTCCAATGTACTAGATAAGTCTGCCGAATCTTCCAGACACTCTGCATCACTCTCCCTATTTATCATCCTTACCAGAAAGGAAAGAGAGCGTTTAAGCTGCGAAAAATCAGTTTACAAGAGAAAATGGCGGCATTCTTCGGCGATCCTTTCCGGCGCTTTCTCTGGAGTCCTACATTCTACCACCGCGCTCCGCCCGGATCAGCCGCCCTCCTCGACTGGATCGAGTCTCCCACCGCCCACGTCTTCAAAATCAACGTTCCAGGTACGTAACTTCTTCATCTTCTCCGATCGAAATTACAACTCCACGACTAAATTTTGACCTACTCTAGGGTTTTGATTGCATTGCAGGGTATAGCAGGGAGGACGTGAAGGTGCAAGTGGAAGACGGGAACGTATTGGTGGTGAAGGCGGAGGGCGGGAAGGACGAAGCACACGGGAATTGGAAGGAGAAGGAGGTGGTTTGGCACGTGGCGGAGAGAGGCGGAGCAACGGGGAAGTTTTCCCGGGAAATAGAGCTGCCGGAGGGAGTGAAGGTGGATCAAATCAAAGCTCAGGTCGACAATGGCGTCCTCACCGTCACCGTACCTAAGGATACCAGTCCCAAACAATCTAAAATTAGGAACATCAATATTACCAGCAAACTCTGAAAAATCTATATTATAAGTATAGTGAATAAAGACGGCTTGTCGCGTGAATTATCTTTCTTATCATCACAATATAATATGTACTCCGTATATCTTTATATAATAAAGATCCATATATAATGTATATATTTATTTATAATAAAAAAAATTAGTAATGTAAATATTTATTCATCTACAAAAGTAAGATTTTTATATCACTTAATTATTTAGTTGATTGACATTTAAGTATACAATGTAATAGATTTAGTAGCATTAAAAAAAAACATTTTCATTTAAATATACAATGTGAGAAAATTTTAGTAGACTTAGTTGGATATTTGGTATGTAAGTTTTCTTAATTAAATAAATACAATAATACCAATTATTTATTTTGTCGGATATTTAGTTTGTAAGCTTTATAAAGATTAAATAAGCATTCAAACTATAGCTTCAATTTACAAGTTATTTAGAAGTTAATGTAATGCTATACTTTAATTATCATTGTGAATTTCTTTTATTTTTGTTTTTTATTATTATTAATATTTTTAACACCATAAATTATATTTTCAATTTCTATCACCGTTCCTCTCGTTATTGTCATTGTTGTCGACTTGTCACTGCTCCAATTGCATGTTGTCGTCGATGCCTTCTTTCAGTTCGGAAAAAGGTTGTTGCTACCTTCTTCTAGTCTAGAAAAAGCTCGCGTTGGCTTTCTTCCATATTTATAAAGAAGGCAACGACAACCTCCTTTCAAACATAAAATAAGAATGCAATGTCTTCTTTCAAATCTTGAAGGTCACAACCTTCTTTCCGGTGAGTGGTGACAAAAAATGTTAACGATGAGAAGTGACGATAAGCGGTGGTAAAGGTGAGACAACAACAAACCACCAACAAAATTTAGAAGATTTATTTTTCTATTTTTTATTTATAATTATTATTCTTACTAGTTAAAAAATTAAATTTAATATAATATATTATTTAGAAAATATATATGTGGAAGCCATATTAGCTCGTCAAATCAGCTTTGAACTTTTTAAAATTGAAAAGTATAAAAAATTTTCAAATTTAATATAATTAGAGGACTAATTTGATTATTATTTATTTTTAGTATATAAAATAAATTTTTAAAATATTAAAAATAATGTATATGTCAGTCACATAATTTACAGTATAATATCGATATGAGCTTAAATATGTGAAATTATTTTGGCGGCTTGCTTATTAATTATTGCAATTATAATTTTTTTAATTATAAAAAAGTAAAGCAATTTGTTATTATTATTATCATTTTATTTATTTATTTATTTATTTTTTAAAAAAAGGTAATTTGTTTGACCAGTCATAACCCGACCCGGGAATATGGATTGCTTCAGCTTAGCAAATAAGCTGCCTTTCTTCCTTACGGTTACTTCATCACCCTGCATTTTAGGCTTCTGTTTTCAACAGAAAAAAGGCTCCGATTTCCGATTTCTGATTTCCGATTCAAAACAACTGTAATGGCGTTGGAGTGGGTTGTGCTAGGCTACGCCGCCGGAGCAGAGGCGATCATGCTCCTTCTACTTACCCTTCCGGGCATCGACCCGCTCCGTAAGGGCCTGATCACCGTCACGCGCAACCTGCTCAAACCTTTCATGTCGATCGTCCCCTTCTGCCTCTTCCTGTTGATGGATATCTACTGGAAGTACGAGACTCGCCCCACCTGTGAATCGCCTGATTCGTGTTCTCCCTCGGAGCACCTTCGCCACCAAAAGTCTATCATGAAGTCTCAGCGCAACGCCCTCCTCATCGCCTCCGCCCTCGTATTTTACTGGCTCCTCTACTCCGTCACCAGCCTCGTCGTCCGCATCAACCAGCTCAACAGTCGCTTGGAGAAGATTAAGAACCGGGAGTGATTCCTTGCTCTCACGCTTGGATCGATCACCGAGAGATTTTCAGTTTTCGAATCAGATAAGGCCATTTTATTGCTTTTCATTTCACGGAATGTGTAGTGGCTTTTTGAACATATATTCCTTGCTCTCACGCTCGGATCGATCGCCGAGAGATTTTCAGTTTTCTATTCTACTGCTCTGTTTTCAGCTTTTTGAACATATATTTTGTCAATTAGCAACTTCTAATCCGATAATGGTTTACTGCTTTTGAGGTTAATTTGCCCCATTTGGTGTTTGCCTTTTTGCTAGCTGTTCCTCTTAATTTGTGTAATTGCGGCTGTTTGTTGATGAGCTGGGAATGCTTTCTTCAGAGGCCTTTTTGGCCTCCCAATTGATCATTTCTTTAGGTGCCTTTGTTCTTGATGTTGAAGGCTAAGTTTAATCAAAACTAGAGAATTGATAATTGAACCATATTGTATGTGATGAGAGGTCCCCCCACCCCATCATGAGTGTGACTCTTTGAGAACTAATGCATATACATAAAATGAAATTGGAATGCATTGATCATTGTGATTTGTGAAACAATTGGATCATGAAGCCAATTGGTTAACTAAGATTGCGACTTGTCTGGAGGGTGTGCATTAGGTTAATCCTGCCTTGCCACCCTATCCAGCAAAGAACCACGATGCTAGGTTATTTATAGCTAATAATCAGCTCAAACCAAGAAGGCCAACAGGCTGCATCCACGAGCAATCGAACTTGGAACCTTGTGGTTACCAGGCCAACAACCTGACCAACTTGGTTGAGTTTGTCTCTTTAAAAACTCTCTTGATATCATTAAGTTGTGTCTATGGCCTCTTTTTATGATCTGCTGAATTGTTGCTGTCTTCACATCATCAGTTATGCTATTTGATATTTTTTATCATGCCCTAAGATTCAAACTTAATGGTTGAGCTTGGTGTGCCTGTTTCATTAGGCTCTTTTTGGGCAAATGCAAAAGTGGTTTTTCAATCATGGGGTGTTCATGTGATCTATATTGTGATTTGGTTGCTTGCATTATTACTAAACACTTCCTTTGTAGCAATGGAAATTGGAAAGTGTTCCGAGATTGTTTATTTGGTTGAAAACAGTCCTCTCTTTTGTAGGGATTGTTGATGGCTTAAAACATGTTTGTTTTTTTTTTTATTTGGGTGACAAGGGAAGTCGCAACCATTCTGCAAACCCTACTCAAGAGTAAGCACTAGGTAAACTTCACTCTTGTTTAATAGCCTGCAAATCATATAGGGGAAGTAAACCGCACTAGGAAGACTCTTTGTGACCGACTTAACCGAGAGGGTGACTTTCTAATATGAGAATTATGATCGATCCACTCAACCACCCCTTTCGGGCGGCTTAAAAACATGTTTTGATTACTGCAAACAAGAATCTGTAATCTTGATTATATGAAAATGCCAAGAAATTTGATTTTGTATCAAAGATTGCTTTGATATACATACAAATATTAGGTTTAGGGTTTGATTGAAGACAAATCATCCTGTATTTCCCAGAAGGGTAGTTCTGTACCCTTGTTGAGCTTGGTTTCACAGTCATGGTTGGTGAACCACTGAACCCATTCCAATGTATTCTTCTCCCAGTCTGTGGCCCACTGACAAAAGTTGTTGAAAGCAAAAATGGTTTGAACAAGATTTTGAAAGTTTGGTTTTTATTTGGGAATAATTATTAAAGAAATTAAGATAAGAAAATTACATAATAGATTTTGATGTGGCAAAATGGTGGTAATGTTGTGATTTTTGGGGGTAAATTTGTAATTTGTTAATTCTCAAAATCATACCTTAACTATGTAGATTTTTTCATATTGATTATAAATTAAGGGGTTGAATTTCTTAAATTGAAAATGAGAGAATAAATAACAATCGAGAAATAAAAGTGTAATTTTTTTAAAAAAAAATGGTATAAAGATATAATTTCCATAATGATCCTTTTGACTTGATTTCCCTCCTTGCCCCCACCTTTTCTTTTGAAAAGGAGTAAGTGAGGTTGATGACTTGATGTGCATGTTATCCAATACAGATAAATAGATAATGAAACCGCATTCCTTATCTAAGAATATGCACTAATTAAACTGCACTCTTACATAATATTTTATAAATTATATAAGAAAAATAAATTACACAAAGTATATAACATACTCTACCAAAAAGTTATTGGTAAAAATTAAATTCATAACTTTTAACTACAAGCGTCATGCTTCATTTACTCAACTGTTACTTTCAGGACAATTATTAAATACTTCACTCCTCTACCCATGGTACTAAAATGCTTGTATATTAAAAATGACAATTTAGAACAATCGATAAGCAAATTGTTAATTCACTATAAAGTGAGAACATTGACTATTGTATTATTATGTGCGACATGTTAAAAAGTTTATTTTTTAGGTATAACTAAAATTTTTACCGTCGAACACAGTGACTAATTCACTCGCTAAATTGTAAGTACTTCTATTGGGTGAGACAGCTGACTTGAAAATTTAAGGTTGTTCCATGAAAAAAATGCTTGTATTCAAAATTTTAGTTTGGGATGGTTTAAGGGTCACTATTTAGTTTGGGATGGTTTAAGGGTCACTATTAGTGATTGAGTGAGGCATGTCTACAGCTGTGGATTAAATAATGCAACATCTCCAGCCTGTGTTATTTCAATACTGTTCCTCAATCTGCAACCATTCAATGCGTCACAACTACAAGTCTTGAATGCACAAACACCACTTTTAGAAACCCCTTCGGAAAGATGTCACATCTTAACCGAATCGAATTCAAACATTATACGCTTAAAATCTTGACCAATTCAAAGCCCGTTTGGACAAACGATTAACTCAATTCTTTTCGAATGCCATTTGGATGAACTGTGATTAAAATAACAATTTTGATTATCATTAATACAACTATGTCGGAGGACCCCTCAATTTGTAAAAAAAGTTCATAGGTCAATTGAGACACATCTCGCAATCCCAATTTGTAGATCAAACCTAAAATAAGTTCATAGGACAGTTAAAACACATCCAATAGTCTCCGGGACTAATGGTGTGGAACCCTCCAACCTAAAATAAGTTTATAGGCTAATTAAGACATATATCACATTCTCAATTGGTAAATTAACTTAAAATAAGTTTATAAACCAGTTAAAACACATTTCACAGTCTTTGGTGATAACTGCGGAACCTTTGGACCGAAAATTAGTTCATAGGTCAATTGAGATATACTCTAGTCTCAACTACTAAGTAAATTCATAGGCAAATTGAGAAATTTTTAATAATTTCTGGTATGGTTGGGTGATTTTAAGTTTGGAGTAAAAAGTTATTAATGAAGGCATGACCCACCTGGGAATGGTGATTTGGATTTCAGAAATATTTTTTGTTGCCTCTAATCTGCTGTTTCTGGGCATAAATTCAAGAATCTGACAGTGACAACAAAAGGAGAAGAGCAAGAACATGAAGCCCACTCCTTTCTAGCCAGCAATCCAGACAGAACACTAGCGTCGCCTAGAAAATCGACAAAATTAAGATTTTTTTTCGAGTTTTCCGACGTTTGTACTATGAAAATGAGGTTTCAATTCGTCTTCTGCTGCTTCGCCGCCATTTCCATCTTCTTCTTCTCCCTCCTCGCACCCACGACGACGGCTGACCTCGCCGCCGACCGCGCCGCGCTCTTGGCGCTCCGATCCGCCGTGGGCGGCCGCGCTCTTCTCTGGAACTTGTCGGAGCCGAATGCGTGTTCTTGGCCGGGGGTTCAGTGCTCCTCCGACAGGAAATTCGTTGTGGAGCTTCACCTCCCCGGAATGGGTCTCTCCGGGAAAATCCCGCCGGGGAGTATCGGAAATCTCACCGGCCTTCAGACGCTTAGTCTCCGGTACAATGCTCTCTCCGGTCCGCTCCCGCCTGACATTTTCTCCTCGCTACGCGACCTCAGAAACGTTTATCTTCAGCACAACTTCTTCTCCGGCCAAATCCCCGACGCCGTTTTCTCCTTACCGAACCTCATTCGCCTCAATCTCGCCCACAATAACTTCTCCGGTCCTCTGCCGCCGTCTATTAACAACTTAACCCGTTTGGCCACTCTCTACTTGCAGGAGAATCAGTTTTCCGGGTCGATCCCGGAGCTCCATTTACCCGCTTTGGTCCAGTTCAATGTTTCCAATAACCAACTCTCCGGTCCGATTCCGGCGGAGCTCTCGGGTCGGGCCGAGAGTGAATTTCAGGGCAATTCACTCTGCGGACCGCCGCTGGATCTTTGCGGCGGCGGGGGGCAGTCTAAGAGTAAGAAAAAACTCTCCGGCGGCGCTATCGCCGGAATTGTAATCGGCTGCGTCATTGGATTACTATTGATTCTTCTCCTTCTATTCTTTCTGTGTCGAAAGAGGAGCGAAAACGAACCCAGATCGGCGGCGGTGGCAACTAAGCAGACGGAGATCGAGATTCCGCCGGAAAATCCGGCCGGAAGCGGCGGACTTGCGGCATTGGGGGCGAGAGAGAAGGAGAAAGGAAAGGCGGCGGACGCCATTTCCGGCGGCAACGGGAAGCACTTGGTGTTTTTTACCAAAACACCCCGGAGCTTTGATTTGGATGATCTGTTGAAGGCGTCAGCTGAAGTGCTGGGGAAGGGCACTTTCGGAACCGCATACAAAGCTGTTCTTGAAATGGGGTTAACAATGGTGGTGAAGAGGCTGAGGGATGTGAGTGTGCCTGAAAATGAGTTCAGAGAGAAGATTGAACAAGTGGGGAAGATGAACAATGAAAATCTTGTCCCTCTCAGAGCTTATTACTATAGCCGAGACGAAAAGCTTCTCGTTTACGATTACATTGCAATGGGAAGCTTATCTGCACTCTTACATGGTGAGAATTTGCTTCGTTTTGAATTTTGATCACAATCTGCTGCTCTATATAACTTTTTATCGTTTTCGTTCTGCATTTTCTCTTGCAATGATAGTTCAAGTTATGCGATATGTTGAACTTTTGGTGAGATTTAATCAAAGCTGCTATCTTGTTTCGGTTGGAAACACAATAGACGCAAATGTACACAAGAGTATGCATCTATCTGTTAAGTTTGTCTCATAATGTTTGTCTTATGGTTATGAATATGAGTTTGTCTAATACCAGGAATAGGAGTGAAACGGATAGACCAAAATAAAAGAATAGTTTCACTTCTGTGGACGTAGGCACATTGCTGAATCACGTACATCTTGCCTTCTTTACCTTTCTGCTATTATTATTGTTTACTGTTCTTGTTAATCTCAATAGTATCTATGGATCTCGAGAGTGTGTGTTGTCTTATGTTTGATCAGATAGACGAGGCTGCATGTTATAGTTCTTTGTTGAAGTTAAGATAACTGCTTAAACTTGCTGCCACCTGACAACGTTTTCTACATATAATCGCTATTCCACGCTCTTTGTTAGATATTGGATGCAGAATTTCGTGTTTTTTTATAAGCTCGGTTCCATTTGGTGAAGGATGGTTGATTTGTTTGCTATTTTCTGTTTTTGATCTCGTGAGTTCTGTTCTATTGGTTTGTTGGGGGAGTATCTTTATCCACCTAACTGGATTCTCTTGATTTCGTCGTTTTTACTCTCACAGGTAGTAAAGGAGCAGGTAGGACACCGCTAAACTGGGAAACGAGAGCCTCGATTGCCCTAAATGCAGCCCGGGGGATCTCGTACCTCCATTCACAAGGGCCATCCACTTCACATGGCAATATTAAGTCATCGAATATTCTCCTGACCAAATCCTACGAGGGTCGTGTTTCTGACTTTGGCCTTGCTCAGCTCGCCGGCCCCTCCTCCACACCTAACCGTGTGGATGGCTATAGGGCGCCCGAGGTAACAGACCCTCGTAAAGTGTCCCAGAAAGCGGATGTTTACAGTTTTGGCGTGTTACTCCTCGAGCTGCTTACTGGGAAGGCTCCTACTCATTCGTTGACGAATGAGGAAGGCGTTGATCTGCCCCGATGGGTGCAGTCTATAGTCCGAGAGGAGTGGAGCGCTGAGGTGTTTGATCTCGAGCTTCTTAGGTACCAAAACGTCGAGGAGGACATGGTTCAGCTCCTGCAGCTCGCGGTTGATTGCACCGCTCAGTACCCCGACCAGCGCCCTTCGATGGCCGAGGTTACTAGCCAAATCGAAGAGCTTTGTCGTTCTAGCTTCCAGGACTCTCATGGCGATATAATCGACGACATAGAACAACAACCATCTGCATAATCTCAGTTGCTGCTGGAAGAAACAAAACATCCTATTCCTCACATTTCCTTTTTTTTTTTTTTTTGTTCAATTCTTGATTTGGTGTTTTAGGTGTTTTTCTTAGAGGAGGGTGGGGATTCTGATATTATTCTTTTTTTCTTTTTCTTAAATTGTGTGAACTGTACAATAACTGTCAATTGTTTCTTTCTTGAATCTCTAGGTTTTTTGCTTCTTAATACAAGATTGTTTCTGACATTTATCTCTCCTTGCCCAATATATTCTATGTATAATGCCAGCTAACAGAAAGCCCCATGTGAGTTTATTCTAAGTTTCCTCCAAATCTAGATCTTCACAATTCTTTGATTCACTAAAAATCTCGAAATTTTATTCAAATGTGTATTTTAAGTGAAATCTATCTTAAAGAACATGTTTAGGTTAGCTATAATCGATCAGCTCGAACTGAACAGGTTAATCAATTGTAGAAATCAATTATATATTTGATCAATTAAAATCGAGATGACTAATAAACTGTTTATAAGTTTGTTATATTTAACGTTAGTTCTTGAAATTCGAGCAAAGTTCCTCGAAATGATCAAACCAAACATTAATGTTATCACTAAAGCCCCCCTTTTCACTTCTTTCTGCAGTGGCTTTGACTGGATCCACACATGCATAGTTCATCTTCATCATATCCTTTTCCATTCCATTCTTCTCCTTAAAAAAAGAGCCTTCTTTTTTCACTTCTTGTCTTTAAACACTTTAATGTCATACAACTACTTTTTTGTTTTTTTTTTTGTTTGTTTTTTTGTTTGTTTGTTTTTTTTTTTGCGACCATACTACCCTCTCTATTCATAACGGTGAAATCTCTTAATAAAATAACTTGAAAGCATTTCAATTATTTAGATTTTTTATTAAAATCCTAACGTGTCCAGAAGACGCGTGCAATGTATGCACCTGTTGAACACGCTACTGATACGCGATAGGGCCCACAAACAATCCGTTCTTATTTCAATTACATGACCATTTTATGTCCACAAGATTATTAACCATGAATACTATCATTACAAGATGAATAATTCCACAAGAAAAGCCAAAATTAAAGCTTATTAATCATTTTGCAGACTTGGAGTGCTTCAGAAGCCAATCAATAACTGAGTCTATGTTTACAAACTCCTTACAAGAGATCATGTAGCAGCAAACCTCTCTATCCTTGATAGAATTAAGGTTCCTGTCACACAAAAACACACACATCAAGAATGCTTAATTAGGTGTTGCAGAGGATGTTTTACTTTAATTTGCAGAAAACCAATCCTTAATTGGCAGCTAGCTAGCTAACTAGCTTACATTTGATCAACCAATGCCTGCTTTGAAAGAGCTTCAGATTTGTCAATCTTGTTCCCCAGAACTAGCAGAGGAATTCCACCCAGAGATGGCTTAGCCAAGAGCTCATGCAGCTCGGTTTTCGATATAGGAACACTGTCCCTATCTGCAGCATCAACCACATATCTGCAGTATCAGAAACACATTCTTCAATTTGGTATCAGAGCATGCAGAAAAATCTGTATCAGTGCATTACTGATTACTGTATATATAGTCTCGCTATCAACTTAAACTTACAGTATCGCAGATACGCCACGACAGTAGCGCTCCCACATGGTCCGGAACCTGCTCTGACCTCCTAGGTCCCATAGTTTGATTTTCACCTTCCCCTTTGTCACTTTTCGCATGTTAAACCCAATCTGGTTTTCAACATAACTATTATTTCTATTGACACTAGTAACAGTTTACTGAGAAAACTATTATATTTTAAAGTGTCAATCGACATTAGTAACAGTTTTATGTTTTTTTAGTATGAAAAGTATCAATGTTGATCGACCCGTAAAAGTTGTAAAAGAATATATATAGTGATTAGAATGGGATACCTACAGTTGGAATCATGTCCTCAGTGTAACCACCTGTCTGAAACACAGACAAACAAGAAACTTCATGTGAAAAAGGAAGGCTTCGGAGAAAACGAGGAACCACAATGCAAAGAAAACGAGGCACCACCACTACTCACAGCAATTGAATTCACAAGAGCTGTCTTCCCTGCATTCTGTAACCCTACAAGGGAAAGCTCCATCTCCTGCTTGAAGAATATGCTGCAATAATGGAGACCATAATGAATTCCCAGAAAATGGTTTTCAATACTGTCATTCTTGCTAGCAAACATAATCCAGAAGAACATTGAAAGAATGCATATAGACATAATATAACAACATATATAAACTGGGGAATCCTAGTCAAGTTGATTGATTCGGTAACCCTATTGGCTTTCTTGATTTGAACTGGTTAGCTCTGATTATCAGGACACATTCTTAAAAAGTTCGATAACCCAAAAAAAAAAAAAAACAATAATATTACATACCTGCGAAGCCAGCTGAGGAGAGATTCCAAGAAACCCATTTGCAAAAAAGTTGAGAACTTTGATGAAATTACAGGAAAATTTTGAAGATTTTATTGTTATTATTATTGTTATTTTTAAAAAAAAATTATTCAAGATTAAGGTATACGGAATAGTTTTCAGCCAAAGACAAGACAACAGAAGTTGATACAATAATGATTTGTGCAATGCATCCAGTGGTACATGGAGGGTTTGTTCAACCAACATGTTTTCCTAACTCCATTCATCAACACGATGAAAGTGACATATATATTACAAATATTGTTTTATGGAACTCGTGAAATTATGCAAATTCATAGTGAAATTGTGGAGTGGAGTTGAATTAACCAAGCTTTAACGTAGCGATAGATGCACTATGGGTGAAGTCAGACTTGTGACTCTAGTCTGTAAATGAACCTATATATATATATATATATATATATATATATATATATATATATATTCATGTACGGAATCTCTTGTTTATGATTCATGCAAACGCCATAATGACATAAAGAGATATATGAAAGAATGGGAAAATTCACACTACAAAAGATCATGTGACATTAACGACCAAACCTAGCTAGGTCAAGCATGGTGGAAATAGAGACAAAACCTAGACACTTGCTTCACTTAGAAGACTTTGAAAATATGCTCAAATTGTTTTCTAGCTGTAAAAACGACATTAATTTGAGTGGAAAATAACCAAAGAAACTTCTAAAAATATTTCATTTTTCTCATCTAGATTAAAGTGAAATTTCTCCTCATCTTCTTTTGTCTTTTTCATCCTCAATCTTTTTTTTTTTTTTTTTTTTCTTTTTACTTTTTCATAGCTTTAAATCTTCAAGTTGAATTGCGGACCACTAGCACGGGGTAGGAATCACAATTCACTCCCATCCCATGATTCTTCAATATCTGCTCTGTTATGTTCTATACTTTCTCAAACAATTTAAAAAATTTAAGGTCCCATCACCTGAGACCAAGGTTCAAATCTATGGTCATTCATTTGAAAGGGTAATTGAAAAGCCATCACACTACATGTAGTTGATAGGAAAGATCTATCTAGTTTGCTCTTAATTTGAAAGGGTAACCTCAAGACTTTCGACATTATATATATATCACTGCTGAAAATTATAAAATTTCCGACCACCTGAAAGGGATGTTAAATCAAGTCGAAAGTCTTGTTCCCACTACTTTTGGTATCCGGAAAAAACCTTTATTGCTATTTCCGACCACTTTTTACTTTCGACTTGATTAAGATCACTTTCATGTGGTTGAAAATTCCATAATTTCCAGTAGTATATATATATATATATATATATATATATATATATATATATATATATATATATATATATATATATATATATATATATATTACTTAATGCGGAGTATGTATGTTTTTATATTTACAAAATGAAACCAACTATATATAAACCTTAAAACCTAAATCCTCTATTTTCAACTTTCATATTTTTTATTTTTTATTTTTAAATTCGATTGAGGTTCATGATACTTGTTGTTGTCACTACCTTCACAATTTTTGTGTCTTGTGATTGCAACTATTTGTCTATATTTTTATATTAGGTTTAATTTATTTTATTTTACAAATATGTAAGCCTTATAAAGTGTATAACATGTAGATTTTAAATAGACTCCAAACCTATTTAAAGCCTACAATAAAGTATCTTTAATGACTTACATATTAAATAATACTTTAAAAATATTTTAGGTCAGGTTAGGCCTATTATAGGCTCAGACTTAGACCTTAAAAAAAATCTACATATATACTCAAACTCCTCAAGCTTCAAGTTCTCATAACATACCCAAGTCTAATTTTTCAAACCTCAACCCAACCTAGCCTATTTCTATCGGAAAATACTATATATACACTTATTCTTTATCCCAATTTTTACTTTTATATTTAAAATTCTAATATAGACACTTTTATAAGCCTACATAAAAAGAATAATCTATCAATATATATTTGTCATATTATAAAGTAAATTTAAAAGAATAAAATTTGGTACAACTCATTCCATCCCTAATTTATCGCCATCCAATTGATCTCTAAATAATTGCATCACAACTCCCAAATAACACGTCTCTATTTACCTTGTTTATTTACTAACACTTCTCTAACACCAGGAGTAGCCCATGACGGTGGGGTGAGGTGGCGTTTTCTAAACATGACAACAGCGCGTGCCGGCTACACGCTGCCGTATTGACCTCCACGTGTGTCCAAATAAAATATTTTATTTTTGTTCAAAAAAACTTTTTTCAAAAAAAATTATATATTTATTAAAATGGGTAATGCATTGCCGCGTTTTCTCTGATTTATAAATGTCTGTGGCCTCCACTCCCTGGCCTTACCAGTCCAAAGCTATCTCTCTCTCTCTCTCTCTCTCTCTGAGCTATACATACATATACACACACAGATATATAGATTAGAGAGAGAGATGGGGAGGCAGCCATGTTGTGATAAGGTAGGATTGAAGAAGGGGCCATGGACAACTGAGGAAGACAATAAGCTCATCAACTTTATCCTCAAAAATGGTCAATGTTGTTGGAGAGCTGTTCCTAAACTTGCAGGCAAGCATATATATAATTATATATATATACACACACACTTTCTCATCATTCATTCATGTTCTTGATGAATTCTAAAGAAAACGTTTGATTGGTGGATGCAGGGCTGTTGAGGTGTGGGAAGAGCTGCAGATTGAGATGGACAAACTACCTCAGACCAGATTTGAAGAGGGGACTTCTGTCGGACCATGAAGAGAAGATGGTCATTGACCTCCATGCTCAACTAGGCAACAGGTTTTTGCTCTGATACCAATTTGAATGATATCTTTTATTTTATATATTTTGTTTAACTAATTCAAAGTTCACAATCATTAGGGTCTTATGATCAAAAGTTAAAGAGATAAATTTCCAATAACTAATCCCGCTCACACTCATAAAATCAATAGGCCGGACATCTTTAAAACTGTACTGAACTTGAACCTTTTAGCTACGTAGCAAGTCAACAACCTGACCAATTAACATTGTTGATGACGCAGGTGGTCGAAGATTGCCTCTTATTTGCCCGGAAGGACAGACAACGAAATCAAGAATCACTGGAACACACATATTAAGAAGAAGCTAAAGAAAATGGGGATCGACCCTGTGACCCACAGGCCACTCTGCAGTGCCACCATTGATGATGACAATAAAGAAACAGCAAAACAAAGAGAATCATCAGTACCAGAAACAATGGATGAAAGGTGCAGGGAGGTAGTGGTGGAAACTCCTTTGATGGATCAGTCAACCATTACAGATGCCTTTGAAGAAGACAACAAGAACATGGAGACAAGCCCAACTCCTCTTGACCCACCGCAAGTCAACAATGGCTTCTTCTCATCACCAGATGAAATTCTGGCCACTTCTTTATCATCATCATCATCCTCTCCTTCAAACAGCCATGGCGGTTTTGTTTCATCTGTTGACAACAACAACAACAACAACAACAACGTTGGTAGTCTTCTTGAAGATTTGGATTTCTTGCCGGGCTTTGACTGGCATCATGACTACATCAATGACGTGGGGTTATGGGTGGAAGATGATGATTACTTCAAAGAATTATGCTTTGTTGATATGTTTAGTCATTAGCTTAGTTACTCGATAGAGGAAATTAAGTGATCTCAGATAAGTATATAATCCAAGAAGCTAAGGTATATATTAAATTTATCATATTATTACTTATTTGTCATTTCCAGCATAAGAAAATCTATCTAATAAATAACATCATTGCATATTTGCATGTGTAATAGAGAGAAAGTGTCAATTACACTGCCTAAAATTACAATGTGCATCTTATATAATATGTCGTAAAATAAAAAATGTACTAGGAAAAACGTATGCATCATACGATATGTAAAAGTAGTGCAACTCAATAACAAGTGCACTTTGTAATTTTGTATGGTGCACTTTTATAATTTTGTACATTTCTTAAGTGTGCATGCTTAGCTTTTACATAAAATATGACATACTTTTTAATTTTGTATGATGCACTCTTTTTTATTCGCACTTGAATGTATGTTCTCACTTGATTCGATAGACACTTATATATGGGGATATGGATTCAAATACAACTCTCAAGTTTATATTACAATATTACAATACGCTTTCAAGCAAGTGAATACATCATCAATAAAATACATGAGTTACCATGATTTACATCCTCTCAATCTGTCGAGTTGAGGTGTGGGGGCCATTAGGGTTGGGGATTCAACCTTTTGAGAAGAATCAAATACATGAGTAATTATTACAACCAAAAGATATTAACTCAAGTAAAAACAACCGCATTCGCTTAAACATTAAATTAGGAGTACATAATGGGTAAAAATGACCGTATTTTCTTTACATTATCTTCAATGTGAGATCTACTACATTAAAATGAAGATACGTTTTTTTTTTAAAAATAAAATTTAATTATCTTTTGAAATATATATGACATTAGAAGAATATAATCTCATATATACAATTTTTTTTGTTAAAGAATCTCGTATAACAACTATTGTTTTGTACTGTAGCTGATTAGTTATATACATATATACATAACAACTATTATTGTCTTGTACTGTAGCTGATTAGTTTTATTCAATAATTAATTAGATCGATGATCTAATCATATAATTAATTAATCAAAGAGAATGAATTCACACTATTCTGCAAAGTTTGGATTGGATGATATAGTCTTCGATCTTTGGGGCATTCAAAGAAGATAAATTAAACCAAGGAATTGAATATAATGATTGATGCTTCTACGTTTTGTATTACGTTATATATTTTGTTCGATCATCATGATTTGTTAATGTTGGTGCTTTCAATTTGTATGAACAAGCTAAGGAACAAGGGAAATATATATATATATATATATACACTAGTGTTTTATCTCAATAGCTCGTTTATTATATTGAAGGAAAGATAAATTTAAGGTGAATTTTCAAGTTTTACCTTTGAAAATTTAAGTTTTGATACTAAAAAGTAGTTGTTCATAATAGTTACACGGTGTTTCTGTTGAGCATATAATCATTAATGTGCAATCTAACTGTCAGCTTAGGTTTTTAGTTGAGATGGAGCACATGCTTCCATTTGATATCAGAGTCAAGCCAATAATTGGAGAGTTGAATCCTCAGGGAACCAAAACGTCATTTTCCTAAGAAAAAAATATGATTAATCTTATTTATTTATTTGCTAATAGTGTTGTGTTAGATTCTATATAAGATTAAACTCGAGCTGTTGAACTGACTTCTCAACAGCCACCAATACCTTACTTTAGTGTCGTCAGCCTATACTAGTCTCAATCCACATTTAATTATGACGTAAATATATACTCTTTTATAATGTTAATTACCTCATGTTAATGCGTTAAGTTCAAATGAATAATTGTAAGTAAAACATAATATTTTAAATGTGTGATTTTTAGTACATAAATTAAAATTGGATTTGAGTTAGAAGCTCAGAACACTCTCAACATATCAGTAAATAGTAAGAGTATTAATACGAAAATATGAATTACATTAATGTGAGAGGGATCTGAGAACTGTGTTTTTTAGATGAATTCAGTCAAAATTATGATATGATGATGAGACTCACACCAAACATGGTCATGTATAAGTGTATAACGAGTTAAATATAATACACATTAATTAAATTTGTGAGAAAAAAACGTAAAACAACATTATCCACTTTGACTACATGGAAGTTTCTTTCCTTAATTTCCATGAACCATGAAATTCAAAGTAAATGGCACACAAACACTTAACCCACACGTAGAGAGACAAAGTTGATGTGTTAAAATGCTCCAAAATATATGGTTGAGTGAATAAAATATGATTCTTATGTCAAAATGTTATAAATTTATTTTTTGTTAATACTGTTTCGATCGAATCTATTTCATATATATATTTTAATACAATTTACTTATCCAATATAATTTGAAAGGTTATATATTATACAAAATTTTGAACTAGATAAAATGCACCTCATTCACTGATTTGGCTCTAATACCTAACAAAACAAACTTAGAGCCTAAGGACTAGGAGTATCATTTTAGTAAAATGTTTGAAATTTTATTTAATTATTTATTTATTTACTTTTTTGAAAACATTTATTGTTTTGTCATTTTCGTCTCGACGCGCATTGGAAAAAGATGATGGTACATGCATGCATGCAGACCGAACAGCTAGCCAATCTAGGCATATATACGAATAACGACAAACTAGCTTTTGAAAACCTTGATCGTCAAAGAATGTTCTAAGCCTCTAAGGAAACCATTTTCTCGTTGGTCAAAGCACACATGTATACATTGAGTAGATGAAACATAATTTTTATATATATTATAAAGTCATAAATTTAATTCTTATCAATACTATCTCGATTGAGCTCGTCACATATAGAGTCTTTATATGCTTGCAAACACGTTTTTTATTAAGTTCGTAACATAATTTTATTCTGTGTACACTTTCAAATAGTAACAACGAATTTCTCTTGTCATCTCATATATATATACATAGGCGGACCCACAATGGAGACAGTGGGGGTAGCCATATAAATGGTATATATATTAAACATAAACATTTAAACAAAGTTAGGTTTGACTGAGATGGTAAGACCATTATTTAACTTCAAATATGAGTGAAAGGTCAATAGTTCGGAACTATTACAAAGGACGAATATATTTGGTGGGAATTCGTTAATGTTAGTTGGCATAGTTGTTTAACAATTTTATTCGTATTTGATCATTTTTTAATTCATTTTACCTTTGTTTTTTCGCCCCCACTCAACGTAAATTCTGGGTCTGCTAATATATATATATATATATATATATATATATATATATATATATATATATATATATATATATATATATATATATATATATTGCAAAAAAATCCCATATTTCCACACTCATTACACTTTGGTCTCAATTCAACTAAATTGGTTAGTGGTTAAGAGATGCGTGTTGTGGTGGCATTTGAAATCATGTTTAAATTGTGTTTTGATCAAACTTCGATTCTAAGCATGCAAAATATTCAATAATACAAATTTGTACAATGCATATATGACTTCATCTTTAAACTTGATCTCTTGGCAAATACATTCGAATATAAACTTGATAGTTGGCCAAGGTATCAAAATTTTCAACAATCTTGGTGCTCAGTGTAACCGATTAGTTTTGACTACTAGTCAAAAATAACCACAAACAATTTTTTCTTTTTAATTTTCAAAGTGCAGTAAGTGGTTAGAAATTTGATTTCTAAGTCCAAACCATAACCCATGTTAGGTTTCCAATCACTTTTTTTTTTTTTTTTAGTTGAGAATATTAGGTTTTTCTGCGATATACGTCATGTCGATTTGATGCACGGTAATTGGAGTGGTTAGAGTGATGGACGACTCCAACCACATAAATTTCAGATGATTTTAAAAGGTTCAATAGGAGTGACGTGATTATCACAACAATTTCACCGTCATCGCTCTAGAGTGTATAAATTTATTGAATATATCTTTTACGTGGTATCAAATAAAAAAGTAGATTGCTCCCTTTTGAATGTTCATATGCGAACGTTGAATAAGCGCAAGCCGCGGAATTGGACAAGAATGCATTCATATACTACTTTCAAAGTGGAAGATTCTTAATGTATGCTAACTTTTAGTACAATAATGACAAACACTAATCTTTTAAGGAAAACTTTCCATGTCAGATAATAACCTTATTAATGTACTTCAAAAATGGACAAAACTATTGCCAATTGTAGATTTTAGAAATTCTTTTATAGGGTCAAATATTCAAATGTGACGTGAAAGAGAAAGAGAAAGGAGAGAGAATTGAGAAATACGGTTCTTTTACTAAAATAATGATACTAAAATAGTAACTAAATGAATGTATGTACGTAGAGTTTGTTTATTCTTGGAAAACAAATGAAACCACAGTCACTATGCAAATGTGTATATTTGGTATATTCCTCATGAATATACTCAAAAGTTTTTTTTTTTTTTTTTTTTTTTTTTTTTTTTTTATCCTCGTTCAAGGGGAATTGTCACTTGTGTGAATCAAACTTGAATTATTATCTCAGAATACTCCCTCACAAACAGAACTCATTTGTCACTTGAATTACTTTGTTAGGTTTTCGAGGGTGTGTATTGGTTATTGGAAAAATAATATATATATGATGTAAGGCTTACATCTAAATTATGTAAGTTGATGTACCCAAAAAAAAAGTTGTTTTCTTCAATAATGTTGCATTAACGGACCAATCATGTTCGCAAGGAACATGGATTTTTATTTTTATTTTTATAACCCTAATCAAGTTTATCAAACGGTTAACATGATAATAGCAAGGTTTTAAATTCAATTCATCATGTGAGAGTTATCTATTGACCTTATAATCTTTTACCAATTAAGTTCACAAGATAAGTTCCATTAGAAACGCACTTTCAAGTAATAACGTAACAATAAACTTTTCCGTAAATTAAAGTAACATGGATTTTCATTATACATTATTAGTTTGATTATTATTAATATATTTTCCCTAGGTTTTATGCTCTTATATTATTCTATTATTGTCTTTTTGACATATGATATTATTAGTAGGAGGCCCACAATACGAACATTAACAATTATCGTTTATATCTTACAATAATTATACAATAATGTTACATGGTGTCAACTATTCAGTTGTAATAATGATGATGATGATGACTGGTTTTATCATATCATATATAATATATAATAATTATATAAAGCAAATTAAAGTACACATACTACTATTCTTTATGTAAACAAACATTATCCTCTGTAGACCAACTTAACGTTGTATGATTCTACCCATATGATTATATTGTAACCCTTACACATAGAAATGTATGATCAATCTAATGTGCGTCTTAACACTTGGTGAATTCGATTTATCTTCTTATAAGTTTAGAAAGTAAGCTTATACAGTTCATGATTAGTCTGACAAAATTGAGATATCTGATGTCTGCGGTCTGCCCCTTCAACCACGGTCACCTCTACTGCCATCCCTACCTAGTGGACACCATATTAGTTCTCTAAGAAATGATAAGGTAGAACCATAGAACTATTTTTTAGAGAAGCTAATTAAGCATTATATTGTTTAGTTTGGATGTTTTGTTTACACATTGGACCACATGAACCCTAAGGCCTACAAGCCAACAAAAACTTGGATTTGGGTTCACCAATTTGAGTGCTTGGGCTATTGCATACCCAACGGACCACTCTCCTTGCGGTTGAGTTTGGTCATATATTAATTTCATGGGAGGTCCAATGAGCTATCCATGGGCCTTCCCAGTTTGAGTTCCATATTCCAGGCAAATTATTGTGTGCACCATCCACACAGTGCTGGGTGGACCATAACAAAAAGTATATTTTTAATATATTAAATGTATATTATTTGTGTACTGAATGTACATTATATAATATGTACATCTCTTGCATTTTAATACATTAAAAGCACATTATTTTTATAAATTACATAAATTCGACTAAAAAAATATGAGTAAGAATCAAATTACTAACATTCTTATACAAAAATAATAGGAATAAAGGGCAAATAGGCCACTGAACTGCACACCAAGTTGCAACTAGGTCATCGAACTCAAAAAAAGTACAATTGGGTCCCTAAACTACACAAATTCATGCAATTAGGTCTAAAATGACATGTTTACCTAATACTTTGCTGACGTGAAAGTTGTGGATTTTAAAAATAATTTTAAACAAAAAATTAATTAAAAATTAAAAAACAGAACGGCCGGAGACGATTCGTCTCAATGGCAGGAGATGAAGAACTTCGTCTTCAGCCATGGGGACGAAGTCCGACGAAATCGTCTCCGGCCGTCTTTTTTTTTTTTTTGTTTAAAATTATTTTTAAAATTTAAAACCTACATAATAGGTAAACAGGTCAATTTAGACCTAATTGCAGAAATTTGTATAGTTCAAAAACTTAATTGCATATTTTTTTAATTCGATTATCTAATTGTAATTTGATGTGCAGTTCAATGATCTATTTGACCCTTATTCCAAAAAAATATTTCACTCACTCCAGTACTCATAGCAAACTACAATTTTTAAGTATTAACCGTTCAAAAAAAAAAAAAAGTATTAACCGTTCAATATTACCATTAAGGGTGAGAAGTGAAGAGTAAAATGATGTGACCGTTGGAGAACAGCTGTATTCTTTGTCCCGACAGTGTAAGCTATGTTCTTTGTTGTCGGATCCTGGTCCCACTCTTGTACTTGCGCCCCAAATACCACATTGCCACTCCCTCCCCACTTGATCTGATTGAATATTTTCTTTGAGAAATAATATCATTTTTATACCAAATTTGATTTTTTATAATATTTTTTGCACAAAAAATGACATTTTTTCTGTATATAAATATTGAATCCGTAGACATATTGTTCAGGGTTCACCATCAGATTTCCTTATTTGTATAACTTGAAAATTCACCATCACTCTATTTAAGAGTGTATACTAAATAAATTTGATTTCGTAATTTCTGTCAACTTTTGTTTTATGATCTTAATTGATATCCGTGAGAAAATTGTGAAAGGTCTAAATGTCCTTTCATTTCACCGCTTTGACGGGAAATACTAACAGCATAATTATTGTATGTCATTTTTAAAATTTCAAGGATTACGAAGGATTAATTTGAATGTTTAGGATCATAAGTGACAGAACCAGTGTACTCGAAGGATCTTGATTGGTTTTAAGTCATAGTTTATAGGGAAAAGTGTCAAGTTGGCCCCCTAAGTCAAGTGGATAGTGCAATTGGATCCCCTAAGTGAAAAAAGCTCCATTCAAGTTCCCTAAACCGGTAAAATTGTTCAATTAAGTCCAATATGACTTGTTTATCAGGTTAAATCGATATGGTGTTGACACGTGTCCTTATTTTATTTTTTAAAAATTAAAAATATTATTTATTATAAATTAATTAATTAAAATAATAATAATAATTAAAAATTAAAAATAATAATTTTAAAAAAAAAAAAAAAAAAAAAGAAACAACCCCCGATTGTCTGCACTGGACAGCTAGTGGCTATCTTCCTTCTTCACAATCGTCTAAGGAAGGCGGCCATGGACGTCTGGCCGTCTTCCTTACTTCCTTAGACGGCTGTGGCCGGATGGCCACGACTGTCCGTGAAGAAAGAAGACAACCACTGGCTCGGTGAATTTTTTTTTAATTTTTAAAGTATTATTATTATTATAATTAATTAATTAATTAAAAAAATAATATTTTTAATAAATAAAAATATTTATTTTAAAAAATAAAATAAGAAAGACACGTGTCAACACCATATCAATTTAACCTGTTAAACAAGTCATATTGGACTTAATTGAACAATTTTACAGGTTTAGGAGATTTGAATGGAGCTTTTTTCACTTAGAGGATCCAATTGTACTATCCACTTGACTTATGGGGCCAATTTGACTCTTTTCCCTAGTTTATATTAAGTGTCAAATTTAAAACTTTGTAGTTTTAAAGTTAACGGTTTGGACAATTGTAGTTTCCTTATTAGAGAGGGCAGTAACGGTTCCCAACAAAGTTGCTTTGTTTCCATGAAAGCAGATACTCCCAAGCCCCATGCTGTTCCTCTGTTCACTGTTCTGGGACTTTGCGAAAAGTGGAGGTGGAGAAGAAGATCGAAGAGGAGGTTATTACAAGATTAGCCCTTTGCAACTTGCAAGAGGGGCAGTTAAATTTCAAAAAAGCCAGATCAGAGAGAAACTTATGGGGAATGTTAAAAACCACAAAAATGATGGATTCTTGACCGGTAGATTGTCTGACAAGACTTCCATGTGATCAGTGCAATTATCATTTCTCCCCTCCCTTCAATTAAATACCCCCACACCTTCCTTTTTCTTGATTCTGTATCCAATCTCTCTCTCTCACTGCATTTACTTTCCCACCAGTGTTTCTTGGCTGCCATTTTTCTCCCCAGTTTTTGCTTTGTAGAGGTTGAAGAAGAAGAAGAACTGGGTTTGAGATATGGGGTTTCTCTTTCTCCTGCTACTGGTGTTCTTGGCAGTTTCTGCTGTTTATGCTGATGAAGGTGAGGCACTTCTTAATGTTTATGTGATATTTTCTTTGTGTTTTTGTTCTTTAAAAAACCCTATTTTGGTTGGTAGTTGTTTTTTCATTAATGGCACATTAGGTACACTTTATCTTATTCTGCAGACCTATTTTATTTGAAAGGAAAGGGAACTCAATGTGTGAACTAGTACTAGGTTGACTGGAGTAGTGTTCTGTGAGCTTTAGGCAAAGCTGCAACATTGAACTAAAGAGATGTTAATAGTTTAGGATTGATTAATGTTTTGTCTTACAATATACCTTAATGTCTGTGTCTTTTTCGAGTGACGGGAAAACTATCAGCCACTATCTGAGTGTGGTTATTGGGTACGCAAACCCATGGTCAATTCAAACCAAGAAGGCCAATAGGTCGTTCTAATTTGTAATTTTGTGGCCGTTCTGACTAACTTGGCTGGGGTTGTTGTTGTGTCTTTTGAAGTGGAAATGTGAAATCAAGAAAATTGTGGACCTAAGCAAAGGCAAAAAAGATGGACAAAACAGCTGTCTTTGTTAGGACATTGAGAAAAAACATTAGTGCATTAAGGAAAAAAAAGGTCTGCAGTTTAGACAGTAGTTTTATGTAAGCTTGAAAGAAGTAGAATGATTGATTTTTCGTCGATTTTGTATTGCCTTAGCTTAGCCGAAAGGAATCTTTGCTAGTCTTCAATCTTCATTATACACATTTGGACGAATAGAGAACACATGTAGTGTTGCCCATTTGTCTGTTTTTTACTATTGTTTTCTCTTGATAGAGGAGGATTTGTATGGCATAGGTAAGAACAAAACAAAAGATCATAATCAAAAGGAGCATTGTTTCCAGCTCATCTTGTCTTTTAGGTGGTGTCTTTTATTTACCATTAATGTGCAGTCCAACTATTAGCTTAGATTTTTTGTTGAGATGGAGCACATGCTTCAATTTAGTATCAAGCCATGACCTGACCCTCGAGCAGTAAGCTGTATTGATACTGGTTCCTAAAGTGGAAAGGATTACTGCCACATTTTTCATATTCCCTGAAACCTAGTACTTGGATCTTGCAAGTGCAAGTGTCTCTAACATGTACAAAGGATATGTCTAATTTTGTGATATGTGTGTGGTTTTTGAAGAGAACTGAATTGATACTAATTGTGTTATGTTGTGGGGGTTTTCCACGTAGATGCGTTCGTTGGTGTGAACATAGGAACCGACCTGTCAGACATGCCACACCCGACGCAAGTAGTTGCACTTCTCAAAGCCCAGCAAATTCGTCATGTCAGGCTGTATAATGCAGACCGAGGCATGCTCTTAGCACTTGCTAATACAGGCATCAACGTTGCTATCTCGGTCCCCAACGAGCAGCTTCTTGGCATCGGGCAATCCAATTCCACTGCTGCAAATTGGGTCTCGCAAAATGTTGTGGCACATTATCCAGCCACCAACATTACAACTATTTGTGTTGGGTCCGAGGTTCCATCGTCCCTCCCAAATGCTGGGCGTGTCCTTGTCACTGCCCTCAGGTTCATTCATTCAGCTCTCGTGGCGTCCAACCTCGACAGGCAAGTGAAAGTTTCGAGCCCTCTTGCTTCGTCCATAATCCTCGACTCCTTCCCCCCGTCCCAGGCCTTCTTTAACCACTCCTGGAAACCCGTCTTGGTCCCAATGCTTAATTTCCTGCAATCTACTGGCTCGTTTTTTATGCTCAATGTATACCCTTATTACGAGTATATGCAATCGAATGGCGTTATTCCCCTCGATTATGCTCTCTTCAAGCCCCTTTCTGCTACCAAAGAAGCCGTGGATTCCAACACCCTCCTCCACTATACCAACGTGTTTGATGCTATGGTCGACGCTGCTTACTTTGCAATGGCTGATCTTAACTTCACGAGCATTCCTGTCGTGGTGTCCGAGTCGGGCTGGCCATCGAGAGGTGACTCTCACGAGCCCGATGCCACGTTAGATAACGCCAACACCTACAACAGCAATTTGGTAAAGCACGTGATAAACAAAACCGGGACTCCAAAACATCCTGGGATTGCTGTTAGTACATACATTTATGAGCTGTATAATGAAGACATTAAGTCCGGTCCTCTGTCCGAGAAGAACTGGGGATTGTTCGATGCAGACGGGAGACCTGTGTATATCCTACGCCTCACTGGATCAGGATCTGTGCTAGCAAATGATACCACAAACGACACGTTTTGTATTGCGAAAGAAGGGGCTGATCATAAAATGCTGCAGGCTGCTCTCGATTGGGCTTGTGGACCGGGGAAAGTGGTTTGTTCGCCATTGATGCAGGGAGGACCGTGCTATGAACCTGATACCGTGGCAGCTCACGCCACATATGCTTTCGACGCTTATTATCAGAAGATGGGGAAGGCCCCCGGGACTTGTGACTTTAACGGGGTGGCTACTGTAACTACAACTAACCCTAGTAAGCTTTCTTAATTTTTTCTGCTTTTTTTTTTTTCATTGCTATTTCGTGAAATGAGAGCATAACTTGACTTTGTACTCTTGTATCATGGTGCTGCAGGCCACGGTTCATGTCTATTCGGGAGGTAATTTCTCATTTCTGTCTATATAGTATATAATCAGTGTTAAGTTCACGAATATTTGTGACAATATATATAAACCTATTTAATTTCTTACCCTCTCTATATGCAACTATGGTGATGCAGAGGCGGGAAAAATGGCACGTTTTTGAACAGCACAGCTTCGGGCATAGGTGCTAACATCACGTCAGGCTCCCAAACGACGCAGAACTTGAACTTCAAGTCCTTCGTGGCACACATCATGCTCGGGATTTTAGGATGGAGCGCGACTCTCTTGTAGCCAGCCTGCATATAGGCTGCACGAGTTATAATTGAATGTAGTGTTGTTGATCGTATTGAAAGGGGAGGTAGGATGATGGAGCCTAGCCTTGGGGGGTGGTCTTCTTGATGAGCAAAATTTTGGTGAGAATATGGTCATTTTTTTGTACAGAACCAGTTTACATTTGGAAACAGGCTTTCCTTGGGTAGTTGAATGCATTCAAATTGGGTACTAAAATAACTTCTTTTTTTGGTTGTTGTATTTTGGTACATTTGAATGTTCTTGAGCTGCAGCATACGTGCTTTTGGCTGGTTTAAGGTTTACCGTTAATACTTGTGGGATCAAAATTGGTATTTTATACATTGAGACTGAAATTACCAAATAATATACATTCAATGTATTAAAAATGTATATACCAGGACTATGTGGTCCAATGGTACCCGGGTTGGACTTCCATTTGGAAGGTTGTAAGTTCGAGCCTCAGTGGAGGCGTTATTAGCTCTTTGTGTTTCAGTAGGTTGAGAAAGTATATGAACAGATACTACAATGTAATAGAGCTAGTAGCATTCAAAAAAAAAAGTATTAAAAATGTATATATGATCATGGTCGACATTACAATATTGACCATTACACACTTAAGCACTTGTCAATTATACCATGGACCAAAGTCTAGACCGTGGTCTAAAAATAACCTTTAAATTATGTGTATATATATATATATATATATATATATATATATATATAATTGAAACATTCTGTACCTGTAACTATCATATTATGTGTCAGCAATTATCGAGTCTGATTCTATATCTAGACACATTCTGTACCTGCAGTTGGGCAAATTATGTTGTGCATCCGTATGCACCATGCATGGTGCATACGGATGCAAAAACGACGTCGTTTTAATAAAACGTGCGTCTCCCCTTAAAAAAAAAAAATCAGGTTCGATTCCCAGCAACAACATATGAACTATAATTCCATAATCGATGAACTATAATTCCATAATCGATAACTATAATTCCATAATCGATGAACTATAATTCCATAATCTAATCTATGAACTAAAAATTCCAGAATGAATGAACTAAAATTCCATAATCTATAAACTAAAATTTCAGAATCGATGAACTATAATTCCATAATCAATGAACTATAATTCCATAATCAATGAACTATAATTCCATAATCCATGAACTAAAATTTCAGAATGAATGAACAATATAATGTTGTTGCTGGGAATCGAACCTGAATTTTTTTAAAGGGAAGACGCGCGTTTTTTAACAAAACGACGTCGTTTTGACATCCGTATGCACCATGCATGGTGCATACGGATGCACAGCATAACGATTGCTGCAGTTGATAGTTTTTGTACATGTAACTATTATATTATGTGTCAGCAATTATCAAGTTATTTGTTACATATACAAAAACTGTTAACGATAAATACAAAATATGTTAATTGAATATCATTATCCATGGTATAACAATTGCCTTAATATCCTCAATAAAATTATGTGATATATGCCCGATAATCAAATCTATATAATTGCAAGCCCATATTATATATTTATTGTTGCAAAGCCCATGGCTGTTTTCACGCCCATATGATATAACTAACCTGAAAACCCTACTTTCTTCCCCATTAAATACTCTTGCTTCCATTCCTTTTGCAACACAGATCTCATGAAGAAGAAGAAGCAAGATCTTTGCTTTCTATGTTTCTCTTTTAAAAAAATGTTATGCGGTTCGCAAGGCATCTCCTATGATTTCCTCTGATCTGTTCAGTAGCAGAGGAAATACGAAAGGATGCGAAATCAAATCCGTTTTTCTGATACTTATGGACACGCAGATCGCATTCGTTCTTCGTTGATTCTTGCGTTTTCTCTTATGTTTCACATTTTTATTTTCTATTTATTAGAGCATTAATCTTCTTTCTGGGCTGATGTTCGATGATGATTGATTTGCTTTAACCACACCGAAAGAGGGCCGGTGGAGATGGCGGCTTTGGTTTGAGCTGGAGATTTGTTCTCGCTTCCATGGCGCTGTGGTGGGGAGCTTTATGAGTCTTTTAGATGAGAGCTCTGCTGTTTCAGTTCTGTGGAACCCGGGGATTTGGTCTTTTTACCTTCTGCTTCAATCATGGAGTCGTCGTTCTTCTGCCTGTTCCTCGGAAGTGGAAAATCTTTGGCCTTTCGACTGAGAACACTGCCCGCCCTCTCATCCAAAATCTAAAATTAGGTTTTTGAAACAATTTTAGGCAAATTGATAATCCTTTCAAAAGTAAAGGCATCAAAACATTATTTTAGTAACCTAAAAACCCTACTTCTCCCCATTAAATACTCTCGCTTCCATTCCTTTTGCACACAGATCTCATGAAACCAAGAATCAAGATCTCTGCATTTCGCCGTAATTAATCTCGTGGAGCATACTCGAAGGCATCTACTATGATTTCCTCTGATCTGTTCAGTAGCAGAGGAAATACGAAACGATGCGAAATTAAATCCGTTTTACTGATACCTATGGACACGCAGATAGTATTCGTTCTTCGTGGATTCTTGCGTTTTCTCTTAGGTTTCACATTTTCTTTTTCTAATTATTAGAGCAAGCATTAATCTTCTTTCTGGGCTGATGTTCGATGATGATTCATTTGCTTTAACCACACCGAAAGAGGGCTGGTGGAGATGGCGGTGGCTTTGGGTTGAGCTGGAGATTTGTTCTCGCTTCCATGGCGAGCTTTATGAGTCTTTTAGATGAGAGCTCTGCTGTTTCAGTTCTGTGGAAGCTGGGGATTTGGTCTTTTTACCTTCTGTTTCAATCTGGAGTCGTCGTTCTTCTGCTTGTTCCTCAAAAGTGGAAAATATATGGCCTTCGACTGAGAACACTGCCCTCTCATCCAACAATCCAAAATTATGTTTTTGAAACAATTTTAGGCAGGTTTTTAATCCTTTTGCCTTAGACCATCTCCAAAAAGGTACCAAAATACCATTTTGGTATACCAAATTATAGTAAACAAAATTAATGTTTTAAATTTGATGATCTTTTTACCTCTAGACCATAATTAAAGTAAACAAAATTAAAGTTTTAAATTTGATGATCTTTTTACCTCGAGGTGTTACTGGTTCTTTGTGTTTGAGTAGGTTGAGAAAGTATGAACAGATACTACATTGTAATAGAGCCAGTAACATTAAAAAAAAAAAATACAAAGGTCTAAATGGATTAGAGATAATAAAATTTGATGTACATGAGTTTTCGAATTGAGGACCTTGAAGCCCGAGCGGGATGGTGGATTACAGAAATTTGGTGGAATTAGTCTTCTTAATTTTAAACTTTTTAGTTAGAATAATTTAAACTTTTTATCTCTTTGGAATAAATTACAAGACAAAATTTATGTAGTATACTCTTGATAATTATAAAATTAAATTTTTTCTATGCATATATTTGAAGAATAATCAAAATTTATTTAATACAAACCCACGAAATACATAACCAAATTGATTTAATGTACTCTTTGAACAATGACAAAAAGTTTTTACTCAAATAAATAAAATTAATTTGTTGGAAGATTTAAGCTTTGCCCAACATTAGAATTTAAGAACGTTCTATTAAATTCGTTTAACATGTTTAATGGATGTTTTTTCATTATAAAAACATGGAAATGACTGTGTTAGAACTTAGAAGCTTCCATGGAGAACTGCAGAAGAAGATTCAACGGCTTAGCTGAAGCTTTTGGAATTAAAGAAAGTTATAATCTTTGAAATTCAACGCGTTTCTTCCAATATTTTTGTTTCAAATTCCTCCGTTAATATAATGCTTAAATTCAAAAGAATTCCGTTTAATCTAATTCAATTCATCGATCGTAAAACTTAAGGAAGAAGAAACCGAGGATTCTGTTATGTCGGTTTCATGTGGGGTGGGGAGCGTGGTGGTGGCGGGCTGCATGCGGTGGGGTTGGCGGCGGTGCACTTACGTCGGCGGCGACGATAGTGCTTCGTGGCCGGCAGCTACCGTCGAGGAATTCTCGCCAGTTCCCCGGCTCTGCCGTACAATTCTCGCTAACTACGAGGATGATCTCCGGAGTCCGAAGTTTCCGCCCGCCGGCGGCTACGGGCTAAACCCTGACTGCGTCTTCAAGCGCGTGAGCTACGAGGAAACGCGCGGCCGTGTTCCGCCGTACATGATATACCTCGACCACGACCACCGTGAGATAGTCCTGGCGATCCGCGGCCTCCACTTGGCCAGAGAGAGCGACTACAAGGTCCTCCTCGACAACCGCCTCGGCCGGCAAATGTTCGACGGCGGATACGTCCACTCCGGGCTTCTAAAATCTGCGATTTGGGTTCTGAACAGCGAGTCCGATACTTTAAAGCGGCTCTGGGAGGACACCGGAAGGAGCTACCGGATGGTTTTCGCCGGGCATTCTTTAGGCGCCGGCGTGGCAGCCCTGCTCGCGGTGATCGTCGTTAACCATATGGATAGATTAGGCGGTATTCCCAGGAATCTAATCGCGTGTTATGCGGTGGCGCCGTCGCGGTGCATGTCTCTCAACTTGGCTGTTAAGTACGCCGATGTAATACACTCGATTGTGCTGCAGGTTAGTGGGTGTCAAAGATTCAATCTTTTTGTTCAAATTTGTTCGGAGATTCATAGGTTGTCACTTTGTGTAATGTTCTAGGATGATTTCTTGCCAAGGACACCTACCCCATTGGAGGATATATTCTCATCCATATTCTGGTTAGTTCTTGTTTTTTTTTTTTTATTATTATTTCATTAGCGAGTGAGGAAAATCGGTACTCTAACCGACAAAAGACCAGAAGTAAACTAGTCTAATCGCCTCAAAATAAAAAGGTCAATATCCAATTTAGACAAAAAAAAAAGTCAATATGCAGCCATGTAAGCTAACAGGTCGTTTCCAATGGGGTCAAACCAATCTAGATTTACTAAACTAACCTAGGGCTTATAGCTAATTGAACCTTAAAAAAGGGGTATTTGGTAAATGGTAGTTATTAGTTGATTAGGTTAGTGGGTTTGACTAGTTGATAGCATTAGCTAATTGTAGAAAAGTGTTTGGTAAATTAGTTTAGCTGATTATATACAAAATTGTTCTCTGATCAAAAAAGCTACTTTTAACAGCTTTTTAAATTTTAGTATTTTTGAGCAATAAGTTGTTACAAAAAGCTAATTAATTAAACACTCATATTAATTGTTTAACTAAGTCAAACAGCTAACGGTAGTCAAATAAGTCAAAATTGATTGATAAGCTAATTATTTTACCAAATAGGGAAGGTCAAAATGTCATTTCCACTGAGAATCAAATAGAACAATATGGGTACCAAGTCAATAGTCTAATACTCTAATTAACTTGGCTGGATTGACATGTTTTTGTTTTATTTATTCCTTGTATTGGTTGAAGTGAATTACTATGAATCTTTTGATGATAATCCAATAAGCCTGCCATTAATGCTTTAAACAGTCTTCCCTGCTTGCTATTTCTAGTGTGCATGAGAGATACATTTGTATCTGAAACTGCAAAGCTCCAAGATCCCAGAAGATTATATGCACCTGGAAGAATGTATCACATTGTGGAAAGGAAATTCTGCAGGTAAGTCACTCTGCAGAATGGTTTAAACTTTAAAGTAGTGATGGCATCATTTCTGAAACCTGTTTATTTCCTTGTTGATGATGCAGATGTGGGAGGTTTCCTCCAGAAGTGAGAAGTGCGATCCCGGTTGATGGGAGGTTCGAGCATGTTATCTTGTCCTGCAACGCAACCTCTGATCACGCGATTGTTTGGGTCGAAAGAGAGGCTGAGAAGGCGTTACAGAGACTGAAGGAGACGAGTAGAGAGGACGCCCCGAAACTGCAGAAGATGGAAAGACAGCAGAGCTTTGAGAGGGAGCATAAGGATGCAATGGAGAGAGCTGTGAGTTTGAAGATACCTCATGCTGTTGTGATGGGGGAAGAGGAGGAGTGTGAAGGGTTTGTGGAGCAGACCACCATTGCAGAGCCTTATGTGCAGAGTGAAGATGTGTTGGAACTTAAAGCTAAGTTCATCCATGGCAGAACTAACTGGCATGAACTAGTTGAGAAGCTTTTCAAGAAAGATGAATCAGGGCAATTGTTACTACATAGGGATCCCAATGCTATTCACTAATTTCTTTGGCACCTTTTTTTGCTAGTGTTTTTGAGATTCTTGTATATTGTATTTGTAATTATACCAGTTTTTTCTATATTGTAAATATATCGAGTTTCTCTAAGATGTCGATTTTAGCAAATTCTTTTATTATTGATAGCGTAAATTGAACTGGGGTTATGATTACATTACGAATATGTTTATTTGCGAACAAGTTGAAGAGGGCGCTCGTAGGTCAATCGGTCGATTTACTGGGGATCGGTCTACCGGGTGATGATTGAGCAAATCTGAGGCTGAGCAGTATTACAAGTATCAAGTGGTTACAAGTGGGTTGCTGCAAATGATGCAGATTGCAATTGTAGAGTGCAATTTATGAGGAGATTGCTATTACGGAGTGAAGATAACAAGTAGTCGAAAGTTGTTGTACTGAGATGAAGATGAGAAGTGAGGGAGAGACCCTCCTATTTATACTAACTAAGTCGATCTACGCATTTAATGCACCTGCTGCAAGTGGCTTGACGTGACGTCTTCTTGTTGGCTTAGTTAGGCGGTTGCTCTGCAGCTATGCGTAAGTTGACTAGTCGAGGTGACAGAGCCATCAGACCTGCTCACCTGCAAGCTGTTAATCGCCGTTCTACAAGTGCAAGTTGGCCCCTATAACTTGTCGTGTAAGTTATGTTTTTTAGCTTGCAGGTTGTGTCACATTGTAGGTTGACCGGTCAACCTACAGTAGACCAGCCGGGTGGCTTTCCTTCGAGGCGATTCCAAGGATGATCCGAAAGTATCTTCTTTTGTTGCGAGGCCTACCGGTACGAACAAGACAGTTGATCACAAGTAATTTAGTCTCGTCAGGTTGATGGCTGTGACAGACCGACTATATGCATCAGTACTTTATGCGTATTTATCCAGCAATTGTATTTGTATGCGTAAAAAATAAACAGACAGTTTTAATTTTTGCCCATAGCTAATTGAACCACAGTTGATTGTCTCAAATCAATTAAAAAAGTATAATTTTAGTACCTGAAAGTCTATTAAAGCGAGACTTACCTAGGTAGTGACCGTTAGTTTTCTTGGCCAAATTGATTAGTATTAGTCATCATCAACAATGGTATAACTAAACCCATACTGCATCTAACACAAGAAGATTAGTATAAACATTACTGCATAAGATAAGGTTGTCTACAGCATTGTTTGGTACTGGGAAGAATCCTTCACAAAACAAATTTACAACCAGCAGAATGATTCTAGCAGCAGCATTCTTTGAGAAGTGACTAAAACCAAAGCTACACCTATAGAGCTATAGAAGCTTATATTAGGGGGGTTCAGAACCAACAATATGCGCTCAAGTTAGCTCGATGTCAAGGTCATCGGCTGACTGGTCAACAGCCGCCTTCTTCCATCCACGACCTTGGCGTCGGCCACGTCTGTTCCTCAATCTCCCACCACCCCTTTGGCTGAACCAAAAAAAAAAAAAACAGAGAATATAATGTTAGTGTTCTAGAACTGAAATTTTCGTTTTTCGTATTTAGTTTCTCTATGCACTTGAACAAAGTCAGCAGTTCAGCACTAAACATGGGTAAAATATACGCAAGTCAAGACCTTACCCAGAACCCTGCATAGCGCCACCACCGGCAGCACCTTTTGTCCAAGCAGGACCGCGTGCCTGACTGAACAAACCAAAATAGTAACAATTATTACATTGTACATTTGTACTTAGAGAAGGCTTAATAACAAACAAAACGAGAGGGAGGCACCCAAAAACAGTGATAAAATGAGGTAACCATGTGTGTTGTTAATAAGTCAGAAAAGAAAGGCCCGTAAGTTGGTAAAGAGAAATAGAGCAATATAAAATGCCAAAAAGCTTCTTGCAACCTGGAAATAAAGGGTTTTAAGTCCCTTTTTTTGGGTGACGAGGGAAACCTGCAGCCACTACCCAATAGTGTGCACTAAATAAACCCCACCTTGTGACTCTAGTTGATAAAGGACCACAAGGAGGTAAACCAACCTAGGTTGCCCATAGCTGACCGGCTCAAACCAAGAAAGCCAATAAGCCATTAACCCGCTCCCAGTGAGAATTGAACATGAAACATTGTGGTTACCGAGCCAACAACCCGACTAACTTGGTTGGAGTTGCCCCCTAAATCCTCATATTTAAGGATATGATAACCTACCCAAATGCAACAAACTCAAACATGAAAGAGACGAGGAAGAGGGGAAGAATGTAAGATGAATGGGTGAAAACGAAAGAAAGACATGGCAAAAAGAGGATAAATCAAGACATACTTCACGAGAACTTGTCTCCCACTCACACCTCCAACCACTTTCACATCAGTTAGCAGAGGAAATTCTGCTTTGTTGCCAATTACTTCAATCTTCATAGGCCTCCCATCCAACAGCACATTGTTGTATCTCTTAACTGCTTTCATCGCATCACCTTTTCTTGCAAAAACCACCTCGGCTGAACCCTATAATATAACAGACAAATCAAACTTCAACAACCTTGAAACTACCAACTACGAAAGTGAAAAGCCAAAGCAAATAACAAAGACAAGCCCACAACAGAATGTACCATGACAATCATAGAAAATAGCAAACAATCTATTCAGCACAACTCATTAGATTAAGTTATCTAAATGAAAGCAGAAATACATGATTAATATGCTAAAACTAGAATTATCATACCTTATTTCTTTCATCAAACCTTTCAAAGTACAATGCAAAGATCAGACAAATGTAAACTTATTATAATTTCCATGTAATAAGCCTTCAGGTGTCAGAAGAAGAAGGGAGAAAAAATACATGAGAAATGTATACTTTATTATCTACAATAAAAATGCCAATGTATGCACTGTAGTTCTGCACTTATTTAAGGAACCATCTAAAAGCACCTAAAGGAAGCATATTCAACTAATCATCATGACATACAGGTCACTGAAAAAATTGCTCTGTTGAAAGCCAAAAGAAGATACCCATGCACAAAAATAAGATGTTTTGAATTAAATTGTTGGTTTCTTGGTCAAGCAATAACGTATAAAAATACAGATCCAACAAAAAGCACTTAACATAAAATTATGCACCAACAAACAATACGATAAGATATTAAACTTACACTGGTGCGTCCATACTTGTCATAGTGGATCGCATATCTTATCAGTTCTCCCATCTCAGAAAAGAGTTCCTGTGTTTAAAGTCCCACTATTGTCAAATCCTCTACAAATAAACTATTGCAGTGTATAATTGAAAAGACATGGCTCGTGTTGTACCCTTATGTCATCATTAGAAACCAGAATGTCCAAGTTGGAAACATATAACTTTGTCCCAGTATCTAATCCTGACAATAACCCAGTAGATCTAAGGCCCTGCCACGGCAAGTTATTTGTTCTGTGGAAAGACTGAAGCAAGCATTCCCAAAATGACATCCAGATTGGGAAAAAAGAGTCAGCATACTACCAAATGATAACATAACTGACCAATCTTCAGGAAAAAAATCAGATATAATCAAAGTTCCATCATAGTAGAAGTTGTATCAAGCTACACTGAAAATCTATATGGTTACTTTTCCCAAAGAGAAATCAACTGTGGTAAATAAGTGTAAACGGAACTCGAGAATTTGATCTGCAGCACATTAACCAGTTATAACACAAAAGGTGAGAGCTCCAGTTCCAAGGTTCAAGAAGGAAGCCACCTTTGCAGAAGGCCATGGGTTGGGATGCAGCATAACATCTGAATCCAAAATAATTCCACATGCAGCAATCAAACCCCTCACAAACTCCCATCTAAAGCAGTAATGAGAACTGCCTCAATTGCTACTAAATAATAAGGATTAGTGACTGCTCTTAAAGTTCATCCCCCTCTAGATTGGTTTTAACAAGATATGCCTCAATGGGGCCATCAAAGACCTCCGGCTTTTCAGAAATTAATGCATTGTAAAACTCCATCAAGAAAATACTGCAAAGAGATATAGATCTCAAAGATAGCCAAATAATTGCACCACGATATAACACACTATGACCAAGCCAAAGTGGGAATTCTCCTTGACTCAATAGTACCAGAATCTCTCATGACGGAATTTCTTAAGCAAAAGAGGGACATGCTTCATTTTTTTTATAAGCATATCAAAATGTTTAAGGGATCAAAAAGATATCCATCTATTTTGAGCTTGCCTTGGCAATAGTGTGAGATGATGGCCTAGCATGCAGATCAAATGGCCCTCTATTACGAGGAGCTCCAGTAGTTCTTCCACCTCTAAGTGATCCCCCAGACCCTCTTCCACGCCATGGCCTCCCTTGTCCCCTACCTCTGGCCATATCAATAAAACTACCAGGCAAGCAGACCAGCACCTCCAAATCTCAAATAACAATCTGTAAATGATGGGATCAAACACATGCAAAATAATACTGTCAGAATCACTAGCAAAACAATAGCTTCATCACTTATATCCAAAATAAACATTAAAACTTCAGCTTTCCCAACATTAAAAAAACAAAGACATTGACTAACAAAAATCTATAGATGGAGTAAAAGATAACTTAAAAAATACAAACCAAAAGCAGTTCAAAACACAATATATGCAATAAACTGATGATTTAAAAAATACTATGTATTTCATACGGGTCAAGATTAAACATTGATGCGCCAACAAATTCATGCCCACCAAACAACAAAATTTACAAATAATCACATTAATTCGCAGGCACTAGCGATGCTAACCTATAAAAAACTACACGAACACGAAATTACCCGAATCTGGGAGCAACCCCCAAACAGTAATTCTGGAAAAAAATCAGCGATTTTGAAGCGGACTAGTCGATGGGGACCAAAGCTACGCAGTATGTTCAATCGACGCTTGAAAGAGGACGAAATACATGTATAGTATAATGATTATGTAGCTTGATTGACGGAGAAGATGGAGTAGAAAGAGTGTAAAAGCGTAGCAGAGCAGGGAGACCGAAAAAGGTAAAAAAAGCGTTGGGAAAGGAAGAGTGGAGGTGCAGCGTTGCAGTGGTGTTTGGGGGGGATTGCGTGGAAGAAGACCGACTTTCAGTTTTGGCGTCAATTTGGACTTGGGCCTGCCGTGAAATTGCTAAATCAAAGTTCTTGGGTTGCTTTCAATTTCATTCATAAGTTGCAAATAAATTGCTTTCATATACCTGGGCTTATCTAGAATGACAATTTCCATGAATTGATATGTGTTATGCAATAATGCATAGTTGTTTTTATAGACTTTAAAGAATGTACATTATATTTACATGGTTTATACTTTGTGGTGAAACAAAAAATTAATGAATCTCTATATCGGAGATGTTGCTTTTAGGACTTTTGGGTCCAATGAGGTCCTACACAACCGTAGTTGGTGGATTTATCAGAAATTAAACTAGAAGCTAGTAAAAGAGGGATAGCTATAAATTTTGTCTATATTCAACTTTTTGGTAGTTTTTTCGGTTCCCCAAAGACTTGACTCTACACTCTCCAAGGGAGCCTCTTTATAGGTGGCCGCCCCTTGCTAATTTAAATACAAACATAAATGTGAAATAATTGAGCTATTAAGGCTAAGGGCCGTTGGGTCGCCGTTACTAGACCTCCTCAACGGCCGGGTCGACTCGTATTAAATGGCGTTCCTTAAATGGCAACGGTCATATACTAAACCGACTCTCATTCGTGCCGACCGTTGTCTGTGCTGACTCCCGGGACTCGGTTCCTCATTCGGCTGCGTTCTCCCCCGGGCCTGCTCATGGCCCACAATATAGATTCCCTCTTATTCCCTTTTTGGGGCTTATTACGGCAAACCCAACCTCTAGCTCATTTCCTCCTATTTTCTTGGGCCTCGGGCCCATTGGATTTATACCGCATCAGGAGCGATCATGGTGTGGACCTAATGAGTTTGTGCAGTAGAATTAGGGCATGGGAAGTTATTTGAAAGTTAGTTGCGATCAAATTGCTATAAGTGGAAGGGAGAGGGTTTGAGCGCAAATAAACAAGGTTGGACGCTGAAGACCCGAAGAGGTAGACGGACATGACCACGTGAGGTTGGTGCATAGTTCATATGACTAACGCAGCTAGATAACATGTCACCCAGTGCTCAGTGTTGTCTCCCTAGCGACTACAATGAAGGCATCCTACATTCTAAAAATACATGTTTATATCAAACCTTACAATTTCAAAAAATCTAAGACTATGAAAATTCAACTCTTAGCGCAACTAAAAAAAAAAAATTATAGAAACATGGGGTACGTGCACAAATATATAACCCTCTTTCCTCACATGGTCATGACAATAATATAATAATCGTAAGCAATATAAACATTTGTCTAATATTAATTCTATTCATTTATTATCAATGCTAATTTATAATTAATTATCTATTTACGTATCAAATAAACACCGTTCATGACTCGGTGTTGCACTTAAGAGCAACAAATTGATAATATTAGTGTTCACACTCCATTAAAAACATGAATAAGAAAATGATTCGATAAATTGATTGTGCAACTCAAAATTTATTACTACAATACCTCTAAAGACGGGTCTTGTGAGGTTAGAATTAATTCGAGAAAGCAGAAGTTTAAAAATAAATAAATAAACCCCGCTCATAATAATACACAAACTCAAAATGAGTACATGAGAGTTGAAGTGTAAATATAAGGTGCTCCGGAACAGAGATGAGTAAGAACAACCGCCTGGCGGGTGAAAGCGGAGATTAGCGCGCGCCTCCATTTCTCATCGTCCTTTCAAACGCCCTCCTCTACCTCATCAGACTCGATTGATCGATCGAAAATGAGAACCAGAAATCAGTCCAGGCGTCTCAACCAATCCACCGGTATCCCTCTCTCCCTCCTTCTCTCTGACACACACGCACACGCCTGTACCGAGCGACTCCAGGCGCGGAGCTCATGTTTCAAGGTGTTTAGGTTGAGTGCATCAGAACTCATGCCATTCATGAGAAATGGCTAATTGTGTGTCATTATTTGATAGTGATATTCAGTGTTTAGATAATTAGGGATTCCACCGTCGTGATTACGTATTTCTGCACATTTCCTCACTTGATAATGCGCACGTGCACTCGTATATGTATATGTATGCCCTTGACGGTACCTAGTGGAGTGAATTTTGAAATGTGTTGTTTTAACAAGAGATGCCGCCTTTTGGTTCTGCAATAGCTGTATTCCGAATTATGTCTTTCTGTTTTTTGGCAGCTGAAGCAGTGGTCGGAAAGCCTCATATTGATTCAGAACGACAAAGCAGCTCTACCGTTGAAGCTGACGAGAACGGTTTGTTGCATTGCATTGTGGCTTGTCATTTGTGTTTTTATAATTGAAGTTGGTGAAAAATGAGTCGTGCTTAGTTCTTCCCCACGTTTTCTTTATATTTTAAAACATTGTAGTAATATCAAGGGCGGAACTTTTTTGCTTTCAGAGACTCTTGGAAATATATCTCGAGATGCAGTGAGGAAGCTTCTGAAGAAAGCTAAGACACGCCGAGGATTTCGAGGCTCAGATACTGATGATGCTTACCTGCACCGATGTGATTCTACAGGAAAGGTTTGCTGCTTGTCTTGACATATATCTGCTTGGATGGATTGGTCATCCTGATGTCTTCACATATATCTGCTTGGATGGATTGGTCATCCTGATGTTAGGATGTTACTACATAGTTATGCTTTTTTCACACTTATTGCTACCTGTCTTGACGTTTTTATCCTGCTTGTATTTGATTCTTAGCATTTGAGTGAATCACGAGGAAAGGACAAGCAGCCTACGGGCACTGCATTTGATCCTAATTCTGATGGCATGGAGACAATGCAGCATATTTCAACACAAGTGAAAGATGGAGGGACAAATTGTCAGCAGCCAAGTCCTGAGATTGAAGATGAACTGGATTGGGAAGATGGATTCATTCCTACTTCAAATGCAGAAAATAATGTAGAACAACCTACAACCAATGGAGTAACTGTTGAGTTTGATGTTCCAGAAGATGCTGCCAAGCGGAAGACCATACGTCGTGCCACTGCTGAAGAGAAGGTTGATTGTATTTCATATTAAAATGTAGTAGTGAGTATAATTTGCTCCATCATTCACTTTTGTTTCCATTTGAACATGATAACTTTTAATACTTTTAATGTCAGGATTTGGCTGAGCTTGTACATAAAGTTCACTTGCTTTGTTTGCTAGGGCGGGGGAGGTTAATTGATTTTGCTTGCAATGATCCTCTCATTCAGGTTTTTCACTATACCACTATACTGCTTCATGCATTAGTGGAGTTTATCTTTTCTGTATGCCACTGCATAGTAATGACCTTTTCTGAAGAAACTATTTGATTAATCTGTTTTTATCATACATTTACAATGTTTCTAAGGTTTCCTATGGGTACACCATCATTTGTTTTATTCTTATGTTTTTAGTACACTATCCATAGTTTTTTTATCCAGCTAGCTGCAATCCAATTTTGCCACACGCTAAAGGGTTCTTAATATGGCAGGCTTCTTTACTTTCACTTCTCCCCACACACTTGGTGAAGATATCAGATATGCCAAACCTTACAGCAAAGGCTCTATCTCCTCTTGTTAATTGGGTATGTGTTTCTATGATTTTATTCTTATTCTTTTTCACATAAGACAAACTTCTTATTCTTACTCCAATAAATGCAGTTTCATAAACATTTCCATGTTAGAGGTCAAAGTGCCACTGAGAAATCAATACATTCAGCCATGAGATCCACCCTTGAATCTCAGGAAGGGAGCCCTGAAGTGGTATACATCTTCATATTATGCAGGAGCATTTGGGTGCCTTTCTAGATTTTCCATTAGTGTGCTATGCATTCTTGATATCAGGAGGGCAACCTTAGAAAGTTAGTGTTTATAGGTTACATCTTACAAAGGTTATATTCTATATTATGGAATAGAATGATCCCATGTTACTTGTGAATCACTGTTTCTACAATTTATAATCCACAATAGTTGCCAAACACATACATAGTAGATTATTTCACCAATGATGATTATGTTGCATCTTGACACATTTCCTAGATATATAGTTTCTGTCATCATTCTTTGTGATCTTTTACTGATTTTATGCTATTTCTTGGATGCTGCTGAAAGCTCATGTTAGCTGTATTGTAATTAATTATTCTCTTTACTCTTGAGTTTTCAAATCTTGGATGTGATGATAGGATGATCATTTTGAACTTTTGGTCTTGTATTTGAATAAGATTTTGTAGATTGTAGATTCTTATGTGGAAATAATTTCAGTCAAATTATGGAGAAACATTATTGTTTTCCATTACTACTTATGGTTCTTCAGAATTTAATAAGTTTGCACTTTTGGTGGAAGAGGGATGATATAAGGTTACACTTGTCTGAGGGAAGATCTCACAGAAATATATCTTTTGCAGGTTGCTGCGTTGTCTGTGGCACTGTTTAGGGCTCTGAACATTACAGCTAGGTACATTTGATTATTACTTTGTAAAAAAATTGCCTACTTTGTAGCTATTACATTGTTTCCAAAGTTTACCAAGAAGGCCTTCTGCAGAAAATGGTCTCATTTTCCTTGCATTTTTCTGAAATGATCCTATTGGGTGGCTGCAGCATTGTATAAAGTATAAACAGTTTTTGTACCAGTGTAAATCACACAGATGAAGTATGCAATTACAACAACATTTATTCACAGGTTTGTATCCATCTTGGATGTGGCCTCCTTGAAGCCTGGTGTGGATAAACCTGATTTATCTGATCAAGGTCATCAAGATCCTAGAAGGAAAGGTAGAGATATATTCAACACCTCAACATTGATGGTTGCTGGATCAAGTCATCCTCCTGAATCTCCTGAGGGACACCTGGCATCTAGTGACAAGGGCAGTGTTTGCAAAAGTCCCTCGAGTGATGCAAAAAAAACTAAGTCTGGGAAGTCATTGAGAAAGACATCTAAATCCAGTGATTCATCTCTTGCTGATACTTTGAAGCATAGAGTATTGGATCTGTCAACATCTGAGGCTCAGAATAATAGCAGTGATACATGCCCTATGCAGAGAGAACAACCAAAAAGAAAAGGAGATGTTGAATTTGAGATGCAGTTAGAAATGGCACTTTCTGCCACAGCAATGGAAAGTTCTAGGGAAAACTTTGTCCCAAATGTGGTGGAAGCACATGGTACTTCATCAAATCATTCTCCTCACAAAAGAATGAAGAAAATTAAAGCAGAAGAATGTGCAGCATCTTCCCATGGAATTTCTACTGCTATTGGATCGAAAAAAATAGGGGCCCCCCTGTACTGGGCAGAAGTCTATTGCAGCAGTGAGAACTTGACTGGGAAATGGGTACATGTGGATGCTGTAAATGCACTTGTTGATGGAGAGCAAAATGTAGAAGCTGCTGCTGCTGCATGTAAAATACCTTTAAGATATGTTATTGCTTTTGCTGGAAATGGAGCTAAAGACGTGACCCGCAGGTATCAAATCTTTTTGTGCTGTTAAGTCTTTTTTTAAATTTATTGGTTTTTGTTAATTCTCAATTGTTTTAGATCACTATTTGATCATAATGTGTTGTCGGGTTGGGACGTTGGGTGCAGCATGATATTCTTACTGAGCTTATATAAAAGTATAAAACATCTTAAAATCCTATCAGCATATCTTACATACATTTGTACACCAGTTCATCATATTTAGCTTAGTGAAAAACTTACCCTTTTTGAACTTGTCTTGCAATTGATGAACTCATAGTAGTTGTTTCCTTTAGATTGAAAATTGAAATTACAAGTTAATTTTATATTCTTGTGAATTATGGCTACTTGAATTTATATTTGTCATCAGGCTATTAATATTGTCCCTTGTTCCATTTTTTAAGTTGTAAGCATTTAATTATTGTTTGAACCAGATGCGTGAAGCTTATGGCACATATTAAGTATATATTGCATATAAAAGCTGAAGTGTCTTTCAAATCTCTGGTTTTTAAGTTTGCTTATTGTATGTAATCTTGTAACTACAAGAAATTCCAACCTTCTTCCCTCTAGAAGAGACTTATGACATGTTCCTGACCATTTTTGTTCACTCATATAGCAGTCCAATGACTAATTTGTTGTGCAATTGGCATATTAGCTTATAAGTTTATAGCTTAGACTGTTGGTTCATGGATTCAGAACATTGAAACAACCTCTTCCAAAACAGAGGTAAATCTGCATAGAGATTACCTCTGAACTTTGGAAGTTGTGAGAGTGCCGTGCTCCAAGTCTGACCTATTCTGTCAGTAAAGCTTGCTTGCAGAATAAGAAACATGTGTGACCCGAAAATGTTTCCTTTTTCCCAGATACTGCACAAAATGGTACAAAATAGTGTCAAAAAGAGTAAACTCACTTTGGTGGGATGCAGTATTGGAACCATTGAAGAAGTTGGAGGCAGGAGCAGTAGATGATTTAAGCCATTTCAAACATGAAGGTTCAAATGGAACGGAGAGTATAAAGCCATTGAATGGAACCTGTCATCCAAAGCGGGAGCAACCACTCGAGAGCACTACCTTGCCCTTAAAGTTTAATTCAGAGGCATTAGAAGAATGTAGTGAGAAGAGATATTCTCAGTCTTCTTCAAGGGCTTCTGTTGCTGCATCTAGGAGTGATCTAGAAGATATGGAGTTGGAAACTAGGGCATTGACTGAACCTCTACCAACCAATCAGCAGGTACTGTAAAATCAATGCATATGATACTCCCACCCCGAGTGATAGAAACCTGTTGTATTAAGTGGGTTCTGACTTTTACATTCCTCATTGTAAGCAGGCTTACAGAACCCATCAACTATATGCTATTGAAAGATGGCTTAACAAGTATCAAATACTTTACCCAAAGGGGCCTGTTCTGGGTTTCTGCTCTGGTCATCCTGTATACCCACGAACTTGTGTCCAAACACTGCATACAAAGGAAAGGTGGCTGCGGGATGGGCTGCAAGTGAAAGCTAATGAACTCCCTGTAAAGGTTATAAATCTTGCAATTTTTTTCTTCTGGATTCATGTATATCAGACTTTAAGCAAAATTTTTAGTAGCCTTTTCTATTCTTACCCCTTTAGGTTCTAAAGCGTTCTCAAAAGCAAAGCAAAGAACTAGTTGGTGAAGATGATGAGAGTGCTGCGGGTGATCCTAGTGGAACTACTGCACTTTATGGAAGATGGCAAACAGAACCATTGTGTCTTCCTCCTGCAGTCAATGGCATTGTCCCTAAGGTATAATCCATTACAAATCTTAGTTTATTATTTTAGGAAAGGAAATCTATTTAGCATATGCAGTGATGTTTATGAAAATTTAGAAGTTCCCTCCTCCATCCATGTAACAGTTTAGTATACATTGTAATCTAGGATTTTTCCTTGAGTAATGATGGGATGTGTGGGTTTACATTGAATTTATTTGTTTTCTTAGTGGCACTAAAGGCTTGCTGGACAATCTTGTTAGTGTAATTCATCTGCTGTGTTTCTTCTTTATGGATTTGCTTGTCGGAATGATAATGACTGGAATTTGAATTGCCTTCAGAATGAGCGTGGTCAAGTTGATGTTTGGTCTGAGAAGTGCCTGCCACCAGGAACTGTGCATTTGAGATTGCCAAGGATATTTGTTGTAGCAAAAAGACTAGAAATAGATTATGCACCTGCTATGGTTGGATTTGACTTCCGCAATGGGCGTTCAGTCCCTGTATTTGAGGGGATTGTGGTGTGTACTGAGTTTAAAGACGCAATTTTAGAGGTAAGTGGCATTTTGTGTTGAATTATTTTACATTTTCCCTCCATCTTCACATGGTTGCATTTGTTGGCTTTATTCCCCAGGCATATGCAGAAGAAGAAGAGAGAAGACAGGCAGAAGAGAATAGAAAAGCAGAAGCACAAGCTCTTTCAAGGTGGTATCAGCTCCTTTCCTCCATAATCACGCGACAGAGATTAAACAATTGCTATGCCAATGGCGGACCGTCACAATCCACCATCGACAGTGAAAGCTCAGCAAAACCTGGTGGTAGTAGTAGTGAGAATCAAAAGATGTCTCCAGAAAGGAAACAAGAAAGCAAGGCTGGTGCTGTACCCGCAGAAACAGACCACCATCAACATTTATTCCTACTGGATGATCAAACTTTTGACGAAGAGAGTTCCACACGAACAAAACGCTGCCGTTGCGGCTTCTCAATCCAATTCGAAGAGATGTAGACAACGCAGGTAACGCCCACAGAGTTTAATGAGTATCTTTTTGAACTTATCAAAGTTTAATCCTCTCTACTGTAAGACTATACAGTTAAGATAATGGTAGTAGAGTTAATGGCTTTTTTTTTTGAAATGTAGTACTAAGAATTGTCCATATTATCTCTTCATGGGCTGGACTACATTGAATCACTACACCCTGCACGCCATTCCGTCCAGGGAAGAAGATTCCAACAATATGCTACCACTGTCCCTACCAGTAAGTGAGAGACGAGTCACAACTCACAATAATATCAAGATTCCAAACATGTGGGGCCAGTGTGCCTACGACAATGACATGATTAGAGATAATGGCATCCTCTTCTCTCACAACAGCGACAATCTAGTTTGTGCAAATTGTTTGTTCCATGTCCGACGAGCCTGTCACATATATATATTCCTTATCTTTTCTTATCCATTCAGCCTGCCTTTCCTCCCCAACCAACCTTGTGCTACTTGCCCCAATCCTCATTAATATTCTTTTATACTCTCCCTCTGGTACTCAATTAGTTCTTTGGACAATCAAAATGAGACAGAAAGTCAATGACCTTGTGGTCTAATGGCATGAAATGACTTTTCCAAATAGCAGGTCATGGATTTAAGCCCCAGATGCGCAATCTGGGCTCTACTCCCTATACTCAAGCACAATCAACACTAAAGATTCGATAAATATATCCCTGCAACCAATTAACAACCCTTACGTAGATAAGTAATTTAGTGGAAATTAAGACTCTTAGATTTGATGGGGATTACAAGAGGAGTTTAGTTTGTACAAGGAATGGTATGTAGGAGAGATATTGCATGGGAACAAAGTACAATACAACAGTACTAGTACAGGGAGTGCAATTGTGCATTTAGAGATAATGGGCAACATTGCATCACACTTCTACAGTGAATCTGGGAACAAGTAGGCATTAAATTAAACAAGTGACATGCACCCCAATCCAGATGCAAAGACATAACTAATCACACAAACAACAATAAAGAAACAAACAAGTCACCCCCCAAGAAAATCACCCTTCCTAGTACTACAACTACTGACATGACACAACATAGTCACCACCCATCACCCATCATCATCATCAAGAAATCATCAATGTACCCTAGCTCCGATCCCTTCTGCTAATCTGCTCCATTCTGTGCACCCTGCGCCTTCACCTTCCTCGGCCGGCCACGTGGCCGCCCGGTCTTGGACGGCGAGGGAGCCGCCGCCGTCGTCTTCGCCTTCTTGGGAGTGGGTGGCGCATTGGGGTCCTTTCTTGGACGGCCACGAGGCCTGGGAGGAGCATAAATTGTCCCCGGAGCCACCGGGGCTTTGGGCTTCGGCGGCCTGCCACGGCCGCGCTTCGGCGGCGCGTCCGGGCCAGGCTTGAGGTAATTGTTCTTCAAGAAAATGAGATCTCCTCTCTGCTTCATTCTTTCCAGGTGGAAAGTCAGCAGCTTTGTGTGCGCATCCGACAAGCTCCCATACTTGGATTCAATGTACTTGGAAATCGCAGACTTGTTTGCTCCTTCCTTCTGCTTCAACGCATCTATCGCTTCAAGGATCATCTGAAAACCAAGAAAATCACAACAAAACAAAACCCATCACTTTATCTCAAAAATCGCTAAAACATCCGCAGATCTGCAAAAAAGCAAAGGAATCATTGCTGATGATCCTCATGGCAGCCATTAAAGCTAAAAAGAAAAAGAAGCTAAAACTCCATTACAGAAAAAGCCCCCCCCCCCCCCCCCCCCCCCCTCTCCTTCCAACACCTTTTTCTCTTCTGGGGATTACTCAAAAATCCCACCTTCCTCAAGCCAAGATTCAAAACACCAGTTATCAGCAAGATTTTTTATTTTTTATTTTTTAAAAAAGAGTGTATATGGAAACATCTCCATCTCCAGCTTCTCCAGCTAGCCTGCAATCTTGCTTGAAGGAGACCCATGAAGATCAGAGGATGAGAAGAAAGTGGGGAGCTTTGAAGGGGAACAGAAGGATGGATATGAGGCCAGGTTGGCGGAGAAGATGCAAATGAGGCTGAGAAATGGAAGACAGAAAGAAAAGAAAAGGTTAGGTTAGATGAGTAATAAATTTAGGTTGTGTGGGTTTACCTCGGGGTATTCAGGGAGTGATGGAGGCCTGTTGACCCGTTCAGTCGCCATTGGAAGTTCTTGGCAGGGAAAGGAAGAGAGAGAGTGTGTGTGTTTGTGTTTTGTGGAGTCCCCACAAAGCGAGCAAGCGTCAGCTTCAAGAGCACAGTAGTAATGTGTCAAGAAACCAGAAAGAGAGTGAGAGAGGAGGAGAGAGAGATGATCTAAAAAAAATGCATTTTTGGTCTGGAACAAAATGGACGGCGGAGAATTGCGGGCAGGGCGGTGATCAGACAGGGAAAGATCTTTGCAAATGGTTGAATCCTCAATTTCAAGATCCCACACTCGAATTTGCAAATGATTCGATAGATCATTTGAAATTATGTAAATCACCGTGATTTAATGGCTCAGCAGATCAGGTCAAATGTTAATGAGCACAAAAGTTCTGTTCATTTTAGACATAATCTCTACATTACAGTCTTTAGGTTTGAACATTGGTCTCTCTTTCCAAATACGACTTATTAAACCATTGAGCTAAACCCGTGCGAGCCAGATCAGACGGTGAAATATCTCTCATGTTGGAGTCGCGATGATTGGTGACGTGTCCTGTCATTCTTTTGTTTGGAGTTAATTATTGAAATGGTCCATTGACTATAGCAAAATTATCAATTTGATCATTAACTATTTTTTTTACCTAATTAAGTCTCGAGTTCTACTATACAAACTTCCAAATTCTACTTCCTTGTTTCTACTCCCTGAGATGGCAAACAAGGATTGGTTAATTTTCATCATGTGAGTCCACAGAAAAATGTCTACATCAAGAACTTGTGAGAGTGAGTAAAAGTTGGGAGTATAAAATGAGAGAACACTAAGTATTTTCCTTAAGTCTCTCAATTTTTAAAATCTTAATCAATTTGGTCCTCCGTTTGTTTAGCCGTCAGAAGTCCATTTACTTGGGACCAAATTGATAATTTCGCTATAGTCAAGGGACCATTTCAGTAATTAACTCTTCGATTTAATAAGAAAGGAAATAGTGCATGTGATGACCAAAATGGTCCCTAGATTATAACAAAATCATCAATTTGGTCCTAAAAAATGAATGTTTGACGGCTAAACAAACGGATGACCAAATTAATTAAGATTTTTAAAGTTGAGGGACTTAATTAGGCAAAAAAATAGTGATTGATCAAATTGGTAATTTCACTATAGTTAATGGACCGTTTCAGTAATTAACTCTTTTGTTTGGTAATTAGTGATACTAATGACCACTATTTGAGTATGTACACTTAATAAATATCACATTATAATCTTATAATCGGTAAAATATCATAAAGAAATAAACCAACTTAAGCTACTTATAATTAACCAATTCAAACTAAAGAAGTCAATAAACTACTTTTTTTTTTTTTGAAAGCTCAAGAAACTACTTTCGTTGAGAGTTAAACTTATAACAATTGTGGGTACTACATCATGGGAGCAGTGATTACATGTACTACCAAATAATATTTTTTAAAAGGAGAAATTGACAAAAATAGAAACATTTCAATTGGATTGTAAAAATTGGAAATATTTTAAAACTTAAATAATTTTAGTCTATATATTGGGTTGGAAAATGAGTTTAGGCTAAAAAAAAAAGAAAAATTGAATCTTAGATATAGAAAGACGGTGTGATTTGAGCGTAATGAATTTATTAGCCTCAAATAATTTCACTGTTTTATTTACACTTTTGTTTTCATTTTTTGTTCTTTTAGAAAAATGCATTCCCAAACTAGCTTAGCTCTAAAGTGCTAACGTGCCAACTCTAAAGTCCACCACAAGAATAAAGTGAATTTTATGATATTTACAAGTGTAACTTAAAAGTAAAGTTTAAAAATTATAATTTTAAAATTATACAATGCAAATAATAAATATGCAAGCTATTATATTTACAAGTGTAACTTAAAATAAACTTCGTGAATTATAAAAGTGCAAAACAGAAACTGTAAATATGCAAAATATAACCTATAATCAAAAGTGCAACACAAAATATTCTAAAAGTATATAATACAATTTGTTAGTTTTTCAATATGTATAGAGCATGTGTACATTTGCTTAAAATATTGTGTATACGACTTTTGAAGTTTGTGTTAAAAAAAAATATAAGATAATAAGTTAAAATATTTTAAGTCATGTAGTGACTTCTCTTATATGGGAGGTCATGAGATCAACCTCAGTGGAGGCATTGTTGATAGAGTCAGTAGTAAGAAGATAATAAACGCAAGTGCCGTTGGTTTATATTGCACCAAAGAGGAAGTCAGTAGTAAGAAGATAATAAACGCAAGTGCCGTCGGTTTATATTGCACCAAAGGAGGAAGTCAGTAGTAAGAAGATAATAAACGCAAGTGCCGTCAGTAGCAAGAGGAAGTCAAAGAAGATAATAAACACAAGTGCCGTCAGTAGTAAGAAGATAATAAACGCAAGTGCTGTCAGTAGTAAGAGGAAGTCAGTAGTAAGAAGATAATAAGCGCAAGTGCCGTCAGTAGTAAGAAGAAGTCAGTAGTAAGAAGATAATAAACGCAAGTGTCGTCAGTAGTAAGAAGATAATAAACGCAAGTGCCGTCAATAGTAAGAAGATAATAAACGCAAGTGGTCCCAAATGAGTTACTATTTGTACCTTTACAGGTAACTTAGTTAGTTTTCGGGTGAAAGATTATATTGCACCAAAGGATGCATGATTGAATCTGAGTCAGTAGTAAGAAGATAATAAACACAACTACCGTCAGTAGTAAGAAGATAATAAACGCAAGTGCCACTTGCGTTTCACGTTGACCAACCATAAACAAAAACATTTTCAAAAATTTCAAGAAATTCATTCGGGACTTGCGTTTCTGACAAGAAACCCATAAACGTATGTTCCAAATGAGTTACTATTTGTGCATTTGTACCTTTACAGATAACTTACTTAGTTTTCGGGTGAAAGATTATATTGCACCAAAGGATGCATGATCGAATCTTGAGTCGCAATATGAGAAATTTTCCTCTCATTTGGGATGACTTGTTGTGAGCATTAAATATTTAAATACATAAGGAAAACTTATTGGGATCGTTGAATCATCCTGATTATAACATGTTGCTTCATCAATTTAGCTAGTATTTTTCAGCCAGGTAGATAGCCACGTCAACAAGGCAAGTTTAACTTTGGGCACTTTTATACATTGATTAGGCGCTATTTTTAAACCTCAGATGCATACGGAATATATTTCCAATGAAATTATAGGGTTTTAGTGACCTTGTCCAAAATCTCTGTTCATTCTTCGTTTACAATCCATGGATGACGCTGCAATGGCGACGAGCACTTCATCTTCCTCCTTCAATTTCGCGATTCTGGAGTCTCTCACCGGAGATTCTGTCCAAGCAATTGCGAAGAGCTGGAGTGGCTTTTGCTCCGTTACGGAAGCTCTACTCCGAGGCAGTGCCGATTTATCCCTCAACTCCGAGCTCATTTCCAATGTTCACTGCCTCTGCAACCACGGCCTCAACTCTCTGGTTATAGATCACTTCCTTCATTCAGTTCAGGTTAACGCTGTCTTTGTTTTTTAATTTTACAATTTTTGAGTCTTTTTATTATATGATTTATAGATATAGTTTTGCATAATGATGAGAGAAAAAAGTGGAAAAATATGAGTTTCTCATAATATTGGTGAATTTTAACAGAATATTTATGCAATGCAGAATGCTCCTTTTTGGTGCTGTTAATTGCAAAGTACTAGTAATGAATTATAAGTGTTGTATTCATTTGTTATGATGTTGTAGAAAACCTTTGAAGAAAATGGTGCATCGAGGTTTTGGAGGCATTTTGATCCTTACAGAAATGTTGCTGCACTTGAAATGACAAATGATCCGGTAAGCATGCACATGTGGTCTTGGTGCAATGAAATTTTATGTTTTTTCAATACATAAAATTAAAAATGTTCATTTAAATTTTCATATGGTTCAAGCAGATCCTTGAGGATCAGATTCAGCAACTATTATGTAAAGCTTTGGAAGAGATATCATCTGAAAAGCAATACCATGAGAAGTGCCTACTGTTATTGATTCATGCTTTACAATCGTACAAAGAGATTACGCCAGAAGGGTGTCTCACCATGGATCGCCAACGAGACTATCTTTTCTCAAAATATCAGCTAATGGTTTCTTCGGTTCTTATGGCCAGTCTTCCTAGGCATTTTCCTGGTATGCGCCTCAATTAATGCCAGTAAGCTATGGCTCTTGAATTTGTCTGTCTCCTTCCATTTTATATTTTTAGGAAGGAGAGGGGGAGGGTTGGTAATGCTTCATAGTTAATATACTTGTGTGAATATGAAGTTTGTGAACTTTATTTGCTATTACACTTTTATTTACATGTAGAGTTACTGCACTGGTACTTCAAGGGAAGGTTGGAGGAATTGAACACCATCGCAGCAGGCGGTTGTGAAGATGAAAATGAATTAGGATCTGACGTTGACATGGATCCAGATGAGAAATGCAAACTTCCAAACAGAAACAGTGATATGGATATTGATATGAGTCACCAGCAAACAAGGTTTTCAGGGAACAATAAACTAGTGAAGAGCATTGGAATGGTTGTTCGTGATCTGAGAAGTCTTGGATTTACATCTATGGCTGAAGATGCCTATGCTTCTGCTATATTTTTACTTCTACAGGTATGAAATTTTAGATAATTGTCTTTCTGTGTTCTTTTTCTATAACCAGCAGATTGGTCTTATTCACAGAAGTTGACCAGAATATTGTTGAAATTTCTAGACTATAGATTGTCTTTTCCCATATTTTGAGTTGCCATATTTCCATAACTTTGTTAGGCTCAGATAATCTTGTTTTCTTGTCTTTAATACAGGCCAAGGTTCATGATTTGGCTGGTGATGATTACAGAAGCTCTGTTTTGGAATCTATCAAACTCTGGATACAGGTTATTTCCACATGCAGTCACTATTCTTTTGCTTTTCATATGCATTTACTCAGAAGTTGGCATGACAATCGTTTTTTTCTTATCAATATGAAAAATATGCAATGCACATATGTCATGCCTACTTCAGCGATGCAGGCTCTAATTTTGCTCAGGGCAAATGCCAGGTAGGTTGCTAATTATTAGCAAGACAGATTAGTGGGTTCATGTTGATATCCTCCGGTGTTATGCCCCTCTAAGTTGATTGTAACATAGCTGTTATGTGATTAGAATATTAGATAACTTCTTCAGTCTCTCATATTCATTCTGAATTTGAATTCGTAAAACTGAACTTTGGTTTTTCTTAATTTTCCATTAGTTTGGTGAATAGTAAAGTGAGTTATGGAGTATGTTGGATTGTTGGAATAGATGCTTCTTACACTTGAGCTAAATCTGTGCAGGCAGTGCCCCTCCAGTTTTTGCATGCACTTCTTGCATATCTTGGTGACTCCAATAGCATTGAAAGTCCATCTTCTGGTCTTAAATCACCTCTTGCATCTCATCGTTCTTCATGTTATTTTGGAACTGGAATTCCGTCTGAGGGACTTGTTAGATGGAAACTCCGGTTGGAATATTATGCTTATGAGACCTTGCAAGATCTAAGGATAGCCAAACTTTTTGAAATCATTGTGGATTACCCAGACAGGTGAAATCATCCGTTTCTTTTTCTTTTCTATTTCCTTTTGATACCTACATAGATGAACTCATATTGGCCAATTTGGTGTGTTGCATGCTGATTGATGCTGTGATCAGTAAGGCTTTACAATTGTATCTTTCTTTTTAACTTGGTTACGGATTTGCATTTTATGCATTCTATCATTTCACTGATTATCAGTACCAATTCAATCTGAGCTCTTATTAAATTGCTCATTAAATGAGCATCCTCAAGTATTTCATTTCATATTAGCTGATATAAATTTTACTTATGTAATATCTCAGAGGTTTGAACTAAACTATTTCACAGTTCTCCTGCTATTGAAGACTTAAAACAATGTCTTGAATATACTGGGCAACACTCAAAGTTGGTCGATTCCTTTATCTCATCATTGAAATATCGATTACTAACAGCTGGTGCCTCAACCAATGACATATTGCATCAATATGTCTCAACAATCAAGGCACTTAGAACTATAGATCCAGCAGGTGTGTTCCTTGAAGCTGTTGGTGAGCCAATACGGGAATATCTGAGGGGTAGAAAAGACACAATCAAGTGCATTGTGACGATGCTCACTGATGGGACTGGTGGTAATCCCAATGGAGCAGGAAGCTCAGGGGATAGCCTTCTAGAAGAATTAAACCGAGATGAAGAAAATCAAGATAATACCAATGTTGATGATGATTTTAATGCTGACGACAAACAAGCATGGTTGAATGCACAAAGGTATGCCTATTGTTGTTTGGTCAATATGAGAATAAGTCTATTCATGCAAAGAAAATGATTTTTTGCTGCTTGAGCTCGACCACTGACATATTTTGCTTATGATATAAACACTTTAAGCTGGGAGCCTGACCCTCTAGAGGCTGACCCATTGAAGGGAAGCAGGCATCGAAGAAAAGTTGACATACTTGGCATGATTGTCAACATAATAGGTTCAAAGGATCAGTTGGTTAATGAATATCGCGTAATGCTTGCAGAAAAGCTGTTAAACAAATCTGATTATGACATTGACTCAGAAATACGTACTTTGGAACTTCTCAAGGTAATTCGTGACCATACTAGTTTTTTATTTATTTATTTATTTATTTATTTATTTATTTATTTATTTATTTATTTATTTATTTTTATTTTTTTATAATTTTATTGGGGGTTGGGTGGGGGGGGTGGGGATGTGGGGTGGTGGTGGTGTGTGGTTTGCACACCATACAGACATACATATTCATTTTAAAAAATTTCTTTGTTATTTGTAGATTCATTTTGGAGAAAGCAGCATGCAGAAATGTGAAATTATGCTCAATGATCTGATTGATTCAAAAAGAACAAATACAAACATAAAAGCAACGCTCAAGAATCAACCTCAGCCAGGTAATGCTTAATTATTACTGTATATTTTATGCTTTCTCATACCAGAATTTTGTTGTCCCAGTATTTATCGATTGCTACTCTCATACAGTTTCTGAGCATGAGATACCTCTGGACAAACTTAATGCTACAATTTTATCTTCAAATTTCTGGCCACCTATCCAGGTATGCACCATTTGTCTTGGGACCACCTTCATCTCATTTTGAATATCCAATGTTACTAAAGACAGCTTAGACTATTTCCTAATTCTATGGTGTATTTCTGGTGGTACACGTATTCATGTTTCTTTATGTGTTCAATGTCACTATAAAAACATATCTTAGCATCTCAGTTGGTCTTTTCAGGAATGTGGTTCTTCATCTATCTCTTAGTTTTGTTAATACCATCAATAGTTTTCCTTTGCTTCCTTTTGTGGGCTTTGTTTTCTCTTACTTTTCATTTTATTGGTAATGTTTATTTGATTTGTTTTTGTGTTTTTTTTGGGTAGGATGAGCCACTTAGCTTACCAGGGCCTGTAGACCAGCTCTTGAGTGATTATTCAAAAAGATATACTGAAATTAAGACCCCAAGAAAGCTGCATTGGAAGAAAAATCTTGGTACAGTGAAGGTTGGTTGCTAAATCTTTTGTGGTTCATGTTTCTCTTCAAAGTAGTTATCTACTTCTTGATTTTCCAACCAATATGTATGGAAGGTTGTTGATATACAAGTATTGTTCCATTATTCTCTGCTATACCTGAATACTTGGTAATTTCTTTATTGCTATTCCATTTTAGCTGGAGTTGGAATTCGAAGATAGAGCAATGCAGTTCACATGCACCCCGCTTCATGCTTCCATTATTATGCAATTTCAAGATCAAAAGAGGTAATGTGGAAAACATCTTTGTTTTTCCTTTGCTTCTGTTTTGATAGATTCTTGGCAAAGTGCTGTGGCTGAACTTGTATGTCTTGATGGGGTGTCAGGTGGACATCTAAAAATCTTGCAGCTGCTCTGGGAACACCTGTGGATGTTCTAAATAGGAGAATAAACTTTTGGATAAGCAAGGTCAGTCCAAAAATACTTTTCCAGAATTTCAGAGAATAGAGTAGACTGGCAGAAGGATTTTCTCATTTTGGTTGGCCATTTAGGGGGTTCTTGCAGAATCAGTGGGACCAGATTCTAGTGATCACCTGTTTACTCTGGTGGAGGCATTGACTGATACTGGTAAAACTGGTATTAGTAGCGGAAACTGTGATGAACTTTTGGCAGGCGAAGAAGACAGAGAGAGATCAGTAGCCTCTGTTGAGGACCAGTTGCGGAAAGAAATGACTGTCTATGAGGTACGGGCAAAATACTTTTGCTTTTGGAATATTCACAGCGCAATCTTCTAGCTAAGCGAAATACATGTTCTTTCTAGAAACCATTAGAATCTTCTTTTGTTGGCAAGTCTTAATTCATTATATGCTGTCTCTGACGGCACATTTACTGAGATTACCTATGATTTTACCGCATCTCATTGGAATCTGTAGCACAATGTACCTTCCCTATAGAAATCGGATACTTATTTCGAAAACCATCTAAACATAGAGCAATACACCAAAAAATAGTTAATGAATCCATAATGCAACGCGCTTTTTTATGTTTGGATAGCTAACATAAGAAAAGTGGTTAATTATATATATGCTTTAGCTTAAGCCATGCATGAGTTCCTTTATGTTTGCACAAAGATTGTGAGTCTGATTTTGTCTTTTGGCAATGCTAGCATCTTTCTTAGCTACGATGGCAAGTAATTTTAGGTTGATTCTTATCAAAACATTAATAATAACTTATCTCTTAGAACACTCAAAATTTTATCATTTCCAATTTCATATAACATTGTCCAAAAAAATTATCAGCCATTGCTGAGCATCTCCATTGAGTTTCTATGACATACATTAGTGTGGATAACTAAACATGTGTACATTATGATTGCAGAAATTTATCATGGGAATGCTTACCAATTTCGGAAGCATGGCATTGGACCGCATTCATAATACCCTAAAGGTATACCAGTTGTATTCCAGTGTGAAGGATTGCAGTATATGAACAGATAACCTAAACATGATGTTTTCACTGCAGATGTTTTGCATTGCTGATCCAGCATACGATAAGTCACTCCAACAGCTTCAGAGCTTCTTATCTGGTCTCGTGGCCGAGGAGAAGTTAGAACTTAGGGATGGAATGTATTTCCTGAGGAAGTGATGGAATTGTTCATTTGACATTCACTAGATTTTTAACAAAAAGTGATGATGATTTGGCAATGTTTTGTTAATGTCAAATCTATAGCCATCTTTCGCAAAAGTATATGGAAAGCTCAATCAGTGTCAAATTAGCATCAGAAGGGTCTAAGAGCAGGTTGATGAGTCCAGGATATAATCCAACGAAGTCTGTCGGAAAACTTTAGTTATTTAAAAAAATGGTTGTTAATATGATTCAAGTGTATTTTCTTTTTAATGAAAATACTTGGTGTACTCTTATTTTAAACTTTCAACTTGTACTCTTTCTTACATGTTTTTGATGTAGACATTTTTCTGTGGACTCACATGATGAAAATAACTAATCTTAATTTACCACCTGAGAAAGTATAAATGAGGGAGTAGAATTTTGGGAGTCTATATAGTAGAATTTTACTTTTTATATAAGTGTAAAGAAGGAAAAGCGCAAATATAGCCGTTACAAGAAACAGATAGAATATAAATTTGCCGGTGCATACACAAAATTTAAACAAAACACAGAGCACAGACCAGCAGAAAATGAAAGAAGCAGAACGTGAAGCAATGGAGATGGAGGAGTCGGAGGAGAGAATGCAGCAACTGAGATCCAAAGCCACAGAGCTTCTACTGACAGAAGAATGGGAAGAGTGCAGCCATGTCTACTCCCAATTCATTTCCCTCTGCAATTCCCACATCTCCAACCTCCATCAAAACCCTAGCTCAGATCACCTCGCCAAGCTCCAAAGATCCCTCTGCTTAGCTCTCTCCAACCGAGCCGAATCCCATTTCCGCCTCCGCCAATTCCCCCAGGCCTTGCGAGACTGCGACGAGGCGTTGAACATCGACACCACCCATCTCAAGTCCCTCCTCTGCAAAGGTAAGATCCTTCTCGCCCTCAACAGGTACACCGCCGCCTTAGATTGCTTTAGAGCAGCTAATCTCGATGTTCATGATGCTGAAAACGGTGAAATCCTCAATGACTATATACTAAAGTGTAAAAACCTTGAGGCTTTGTCCAGAACCGGCGGTTTTGATCTCTCAAATTGGGCCTTGAATCGCTTCTGCGAAAAGGTTCCTGATCTTGCAGAGTATGTAGGGGCAGTGGAAATCCGGAAATCTGAGATTAGTGGGCGTGGCTTATTTGCCACTAGGAATGTTGAGAGTGGGACTTTGTTGCTGGTCACTAGGGCTGTTGCTATTGAAAGGGGCATAATGCCCCAATCTGGCAATCATGAAGATGCCCAGTTAGTTATTTGGAAGAACTTTGTTGATAAGGTAATTGAATTGACCTCAAGATGTAATCGAACCTGGGAGTTGATTAGTAAGCTATCAGTAGGTGAAAACGAGGATTCTTATGATGTTCCTCAGCTAGATCTGTTTAGGCCTGAGGCGGACGATAGTCGCTTTTCAGGGAAGAGCCTTGATATGAAAAGAATACTAGGGATATTAGATGTGAATTCATTAGTTGAAGAAGCAGTTTCTGCTAAGGTTTTGGGCAAAAACAGCCATTACCACGGGATCGGGTTGTGGTTGTTGCCTTCTTTCATCAACCACTCCTGCGATCCCAATGTGAGGCGCTTGCACATTGGCGATTACATCCTAGTTCATGCTTCCAGGGACATAAAGGCAGGCGAGGAGCTCACGTTTGCCTATTTTGACGTGCTTTTACCCTTCAGCAGCCGCAAAGGGTGGGCAAAAAACTGGGGATTTTCGTGCAAATGCAGGAGGTGTGAAGTGGAGTGTGGTTTACATTCCAACCAAGCATTGCAAGAAATCGAAGTGTTTCTCAAGAAGGGACTAGATATGGGAGAAGTGGTTTACAGATTGGAGGAAGGCATGAGGAGATGGATGGTGAAGGGAAAAGCGAAAGGGTATTTGAGGGCATCATTCTGGGGAGCCTATTCTGAAGTTTTCGAATCAGACAAGTTGAGGAGGAAATGGGGAAGCAAGATTCCAACAATGGATACTGTGGTGGATAGTGTGGTGAATGGTGTAGGCAGTGATGAGAGGATTGTAAAGGTAGTAATGCGAGGATTGAAGAGAAGCAGCGGCCATGGTGGTGGCGGTGGAGGGGTTTTGGAGATGGAAAAAGCAATGAAGTTAGGGAGAGGGTTATATGGAAAGATAATGAAGAAACAAGCATTGAAGAGTCTTCTTCAGTTTGATGGCCTTTCATGAGCAGAGCTAAAACCATAGCCTATTATTTGACCCCAATTTGTTGTAACCATTGTTTCCTAATATTCCGTAGCTTTACAGGCAATTCTTTTGCTTGTTTTAGGATGTTTTTCTCTGACAATTCTTACATACATTTCTTGTCTTTCCACTGAAACATTTTGATCATGTTAATAAATATTACATCAAAGAAGCTCTTGCCCACAAAAGGCGAAATCCCTCACCCCAAGGACTTCACACCCTGGTCCGACAAGATGGTGAAAAATTATTCCTCCATAGTGCCTCTAACGGCTATATTGATCATAATAATCCTTCCAACGGCTAGTTTGATGATAATTTAATTATTCTATCGACTATTTTTTACCAAGTCAATCGTCGTGGATTGGACCACTAAATTTGTGATTCGGGTCATTGTCAATTAAGCCTATCAGACCTACTAAACCGTTGGGCCTATACCATAAACCGTAAATGTAGTTTTGTAAAACAGTATATTCATACAAGATAGCCATGGCCAGACATACACAAATTCTAGTGCACATTACAACTGGGAGTCTCTTTCTCCAGCAAAGTTGAATGTCCTTGCAGAACTGAAACAATGAAATGTGAGCTTCTGCCATCAATACTAGTATTTGATTGATAAATTTAGCTTGAAAAGTGATATGATATACCGGCTTAGTTTGCAGATTCGACTGACTTGAGATCGCGAAGATGCTGCAAAATTTCTTGGAGGAGATCTAGTCCCTTGTCCCCTTTCTTCAATGAGCTTATGGAGTGCTTCAGAAATTCCTTGTCGGCTTCGAGAGCTTGTAGCTTCTCGTACACGTGCCCGAATTCCTCCATTATGGCAAGTCTGCTGTTGATCATCACAGAAGGACTGTGTTCTTCAAGCTCTTCTTCGATGGATTCTGCTTCTTCGTCGAGAAGGGGCAGCAGATTCTTTGCTGTGGAGCTTAATGATTCTCTCTCTGATGATCCAATTGAATTCCCATTTTGTTCTAGGAAGCTATGGACATAGCTCTCATAATCTTCTGGGAAATGCTCAAGTGTACCATTTTCGTCTGCCAGTGCTAAAAGCCTGTCTTCCAGTTCCTTGAGTTCTTGTAAGATGGATGTCCTCTCTTCCTCAAACTCTATCACCGATTTGTCAAGAACGCTGATATGCTCAAGGGAATCTGTGTCTGATTCCCTCGCGATCAAGTCTACGTTGGAAATACTAATGTTGTCATGTTTCCCTTCATAGGTGGGACTGCTGGGAGGAGAAGCAGGAGATTGCTTACTTCTCCTTCTCGTCTTTTCTCTGGATTCATAATATGAAACCTTCTTCTGGGAAGTCTCCAGCTCCTTCTCGAGTTCTTGCTTCTCTTTCTCTCGCTTCATCATCAGATCGTTTAGGATCTGCAACGCTTCCTGGTCGTACTCCGATTGCTCTTCCATCATTCTCTGGTACTGCAATGCCTCCATCTGCATTGCAGCCTTCTCTTCCTGCAGCTTCGAGATCATAGCCATTGTCTGGCTCGCAGCTATGGCAGCAGCGTTTCGTTCTTCCTCGAGCTCTGCATACGATGCATTCAACGCGGATTTCAGCTGCTCAATGGTGAGATTCTCGTCCCCGCCTTCTTCCAACACGCTTACTATGTTGTCTGAAGATTCAGCTCCAACGTTTAGGATTCTGAAACAGTTCTGCTGCTGTTCATGCTCTGCTCACAATTAAAAGGTTGTCTGTGTTGAGCATATAACCATTAATGTGCAATCCAACTATCAGCTTAGGCTTTTAGTTAAGATGGAGCACACGCTTCAATTTGGTATCAGAGCCAGACCAAAGGTCTTCAAGACTAGATAAATTCTCATAAAATTACAGTGGTCAAGATTAATTTTACCTGGGAAATTGTCATCTGCATCAGCCTTGTCTCTGCCAAGAAAACTCGGCTTCTGGTAGCGTGGGAAATTCGATACTGAAATCGAACAATCCTGCTCCACTATTGGCCCGAAACTGAAACTCTCTGTATCAGAATCAGGGAAGGCAAGATTATCACCATTTTTGGCTCTGTTGCCATTCTTTTGATCTGCAGAGAGTTCGAATTCTTCATATCTGTCATCATTCACAACTCTGGTTTTCCAGATTTGATGAAGAATATCCCAAGAAGGCTTGAACTGCAGGCAAGGAAGATCAAGCTTCTTGCTCAAGCTCTCATCACAGCAAGAACACCTGCAACTATTATTCTCTGCTGCACTCTCACTCACCCAAGTAAAGAAGCCTATACTTGCAGAGATTCCAGTGGTCTTCTCTGCAGCATTCTCGGGCAGTCTAGAAGGCGAGCAATCGCTGCATAACCTCCCCGATTCAGCAAGCCTCCGATGATTCGAGCAGTACCCGAGTTCGGAAACCTCTCGAGCATGCTCCTCACAGAAAAGATCTCGACAGAAATGTGCATTCTTCCTATCGGGCTGCAGCACCCGATTGATCCTCGAACACCAACTGCAGGGCGGTTTTAGGCCAAAATAGGCGGCGAATCTCTCGGTGAAGTAGGACAAGGTGGAGCTGAGGAGGAGGAGAAGTATGAGAATCCACTCAAGAACTGCAGACACTAAAACTGCAGTGATACTATGGGCACTTCTCTGCAACATTGCTGCAAATTTGTTGGCAGCCATTGATGCCTGCTGGGAAGATCACACAGGTTTTGTAGTTTGTACTCTCTTCTTAAACACTACTAAGTAAAAGGGCATAATATCATTTCGGGGAGCCTTTCTAGCCGTTGGAGCTAAACCGAAAGTGAACAAGCAGCTAAATAACGCCTTTTACTTCGACAAACTTTACTTTAGAGATCGGAAAAAAAAAAAACCCCATAATGCATAAATAATAACTTATGCTCGATCTAATCTCGACTGTTATTATTGTACTCGCTCATGGCCCGATTTTCGGGCCAAAACAAGCCCTTGGGAGGGCCACCATAGCCAAAATAATGAGCTGGTGGCTCATGTTCAAAAAGGTACAACTTTGGGACCATTGAACTGGCAAGGAAAAAAGAGCTATTTTATATTTCATATATTCATACTACTCATAAAACTGGTTAACTTTATCACAAATTATGGATTACATTTTTATCTTCTGTTATGTTATTAAATGAATAGAATGAATACATGTTAACATCATATCCGGGATACCTAATCTCTTGTTTTGTGGAGGCACTCATTGCCTTTTCTTTATCTTCTCAAAAAGGTGAAGAATGGAAGAAGGGATGGGGACATGGCTGTCAAAAAGTGACACCATAATGGAAAGCTAAAGCATGGTTGGTATAAACAATGGGGAAAAAGTGGATCCATGTAAAAGGGACTATGTCATGCCATGCCTTGCCATGATTGCACAAAAGTCTTTCAGCAATTTATTAACGAGTAATCACAACGTTCCAAGTTTGACTCGTAAAAAATTCTTTTTTTTGAGTGACCACTATTTGAAGGCATACACTAAGTAAAACTCGCTTTGTGACCCTAACCTGCAAAGGATCACAAGAAGGTAAACTAGTCTAAGTTGTCCATAGCTGACCAACTTAAACCAAGAAGACTGATACGCGCTCCCACTGGGAGTCGAACTTGGAACCCTATGGTTACCAAGCTAACAATCTGATCCCTGGTGGAATTGTCTATTAGCCTTTTTGGTTTTAGCCGATCAGCTATGAGTAACCTAAACTGATTTACCTCCTTGTGATCCTCTAGTGACTAAAGTCACAACTCACAAAACTGGCTTTACTCAGAACACATTTTCGGATAGCAACTACCGACTTTCTCATAAATCAAAGAGAAGTCCTTGAGCAATGGCTTTAGCCATATCTTTTATTCTAAGATCTTTGTAAAGCTAAGATATTTTCCTGTGAAGATATGCAGATAGAAAACCAGTTTTTATACAACAGTTCTTCACTCTGCGCCGAAAGCAGAAAAATATACAAAAGGATTTAGGATTTAGTACTAATCACAATGACCCATTACAGAAGAATCTGAGAACTTTGCATACCCAAATGCAGGTTTAATGGCTATTGACAGATATCTACTTTACCCAAGAACAGATGATTTTTCAATGATTTTATTCATTAAAACCCTACAAGAGTGTCACAACTCACACTTACATGATTTGTAACTTTAGTACTGCAATGATTAACGAGTAATCGAGTCTAATCCATAGATCATATCCAGTACCTCGTCTAAATATCTACGTGGTTGCGTTGTTGAGCACATCTCCTATCGTGTTTGTATATCCTCTTAGCTATCTACATCGTCATCTTCCGGTGATTTTCCGTTCACCATGAACCTCCAGCTGTCCCCCTCCTCTATTTCCCACTGCCTCTTCAATTCGTTGATGGTTTTCGATGCAGCAGCAGCGATTGCAGGGTTGTTATCTTGTGCAAGTCTCTGCAACACAATAAAAGGGCTTCTAGTGTTTACGTTATAGGAGATTAGAGATCACCAATATTCTTTAAATTAGAGTGTGAAGTGAAAATTGAAACATGTGCTCCATCTCAACTAAAAGCCTAAGCTGATAGTTGGATTGCACATTAATGGCTATATGCTCAACACGCCCCCTCACGTGTGTGGTGGGTTCCAAACAACACGTGGACCGTAGTCGCTTATGGGTGGCGGTGAGATTCAAACCCATGACCTTTGGCTCTGATACCAAATTGAAAGCCTAAGCTGATACTTGGATTGCACATTAATGGCTATATGCTCAACAGAGAAGATCGGGCCAACCAAGTTCGCATCAGACGGGGACTGGAATCTATGACTACATACCTGCAAAGCTCCCATGCCCGCGTTTCCCAGAGTCCACATGGATGGTGCAGCCGATAGTGCATTAGCTAATGCTTTCCTATCGAGAAGAGGTTAAAATGTCAAGAACCAAACTTCTACAATGCTAGGCATTAAAGCTCGTGTTTTTAATGTCTCGAGCCATTAAGAATGCGAGAATCTAAAGCCAATGTATTACGATAGAGTTGTTGGCAAACCTTGTATTGACATCTGGAGAACTCGAACACTCGGCCAACAGAGACACGCTACTTTTACCATCCATTGCATCGAGATCTATTAACGTTGCAACTAACAACTCTAGCTGCTTGTAATAGAAAACGGAAACGTAAATGAAAGAAGCAATGCATATCCCGATTATATAAAAAGGGTGCAAAACATCGTTATTCCACTGATGTTGATACCTCTTCAGGATCAGTGTAGTCAATCCCATCCGCTTCAGAAAGTGCAGCTGCTATATCCCAATACGCTTCCTGTAATAATTCATCAAATACGATAGAATTTAGTCCAAGAACCTCCAATACAACCATCAGATGTCGAGAAGTTAACCTGAATAGCACTAATACGCTCAGCAGACACTTCCCCGGGAAGAAAGTTAAGCGTTTTCCCATTCTTCTCTAGTGTTATGCACTCCGTCATTTTGTTGGGATTCAGAGAACTTCTTTTCCTACGTAGACGATAAACAGCCAGGGTGAATGTGCCGAAATTTATTCAGTTAATCCTTAATAATTAAAGCGAGGATGCACCATCTCTAAGGAACTTACAAATGGCACATCTTGCTCACCATCATATCGTGGATGTTTTTGATAAACTGCAAAGCCATAAAAGAAATATGCGAATTGTTGAATTTGGAAGATGGAATGAACTGGCAGGTGGAGAATAACAACCACCCGCCAGTTAGGCGGAAGCAAAGATAAAGAATCAAGGAATGGATAACGTATATAAGACTGAAAGATATAGAAAATGTATGATTCTATATTATCTGTCTGTTTCTAACAAAGAAACATAGTACATATATAATTATATATATACAAACACATAACTGTAAGTACCTATCCATAAACTGACACATTCATAAACAGACACAACCCTAACACGAATCATGAAAATGCTTGGGATTGATGTCATAATTATCACGAACGAAATTTTTTTTAAGTAGCAACAACAAGAAAATAGAAAGGCCGATACAGCAACTTTATGTAATAATATTACCTCTAAAGCCATAAAGGCATCTTCCATTGCACGTTGTTTGGCAGCAAAATCAGCACGTCGCAAATCAGCCTGAGTATCAGAGAAGATAAATGCTTTTTTATTCTTTCGATATTATTGCATTGCAATTCTATACAGGCTTCGTTACATCAAAGAATTGAGGAATAAGCTATCGTTAATACGGAATATGAAGTTCATAAAAATGATAGGAACGAGCACCTCTAAAGCACCATCGCTCCAATGCTTGTCAGCAGCAATTTTCAATCTTGATTGAGCTTTGTTCTTGAGAATCTGACAAGAAAGATAGCTATTATTAGGGAATTATCATACTCTCTTTTTATTTTTTTATTTTTATTTTTTAAAGATCTCGATATAGACGGATGGAAAAATATCTTACAGTGGCAACATGATGAAGCCTTTCCGCTTTTCTCTTGACATCATGGTCAATCTTCTCCGTGTTTTCTCTAGCTCGGGCTACCAATAAAAATGTTGATAAGACTGATCCTTAGTAACTAGTTAATAAGCGAAAGATCATATTTTTACAATTATTGGCTCGAGAATTCGAAGACAGATATTCCTACCATCAAGTTTAAGAAATTCTGAACCGAGAATAGCAACATCTTGGCGTGCACGAGCATCCAACCTCATTATTCCACTGTTAAATGAACAAAAAGGAAGTACCTGAATAGTTTCTCGTTTATAGTCTTTTTTTTTTTAAATGCTACTGACTCTATTACAATGTAGTATCTGTTCATAAACTACTTTCTCAACCTAATAAGGCATGTAGATGAATGTTAGGATAATGCAGGCAATATGTGGCACAAGATTTACCGAGAGAGCAACACAATGTCGTTCTTAGCCCTTTCGTTTACAAATTTTGCATCGTTGTAAACAAATTTACAAGCTTCGGCTATTCCCGGGCTTGCAGTAACAGATTTTCCAAGTGAGGCTGGATCCTTATCTTCTCCTTGCCTACTGATACAATAAAACGCAATCTATGTCAAATTCCTTCTATATATATGTGGAAGAAAATTGATTGAGAATTCACCGTTGAACAACTCATACCTAGATGTGTCTGAACTATCACGATACTCTCTAACACGTTCTTCTGTTTCAGCATGGCGCGTTTCTGCAGAATGACACCAAAGAGAAGATCCTCGGGTAGCAACGTAGCCACTTGGCGTCCTATAAGCTCGCCAGAATCCCTTATTAGACAACTTGAGTCTTAACATTGAGAGATAGCCATTGCTTTGTTTGCTATGCTCAATCACTTGAGTTTTGGCATATATTTTCGGATGCTGAGGTGACTTTGGAGAAGAATAGATAATCCCATGAGGTTTGGCCATATTATCTATATTGTCTGCAAGACTCGGTTTAGACCTCGCTAGCACAAGATTCACGTTGAAGGGTCGAGCCCAGAAGCAAAGATTCTCAAGCCTAAATCCAGTGAAAGACTGAAAGTAAGATTTTGAGTTTTGAATGAAAATAGAAAGCAGAACGTTATTGTACTAAAAGAATGCTTAAAATAGAATGGACGACTATTCTATGATATTCTTATTAGTAAGGCATTTACCAACTCAAAACAGGACAACAATCTAGAAAATGAGCCTATCGATTAGATTCTTAAGTTCTTCAAAAATAGCATTGTTCTTCACATCACTGGCACTTTCATAACAACCAACAGAGAACGCATCTTTTTGCCAGGCTAATTATTAAGGACACCAAAAACTCATTTATACTTGTATTATCAAGAAACAAAGTTCCAGTCTTTATTAAGGCATACCCTATTGTTTCACCCTCTCCATTTAGGGTCACTCAAATTCAGTCCAATTTTAACACCAATAGACCAAATATGACACCTCTTTTGGGTTACTGATTGGCCTTCTTAGTTTGAGCTCGCCAGCTATGGACAACCTAGACTTATTTACCTTTTTGTGATCCTTTTAACCTAGCAGTGAAATCTATATTTTCCCCTAAACATAACTAAACTGAAAAGGAAACATAGTTACTAGCATCTGTTACATGACCAGATAGTTTCAAGAAAATCTTGAAACTAAGCCTTGTTTTCCCAGATAAGAAGAAAGACTCAGCAAAGAAAAAGATCAAATCTTTAGCTGCAACAGACTAACATTTATGAGCAAAACTCAGACTAACATGTATACTGTTTAGAGTGGCAATGAAGTCCTAACTCCTAATGCTGAGTTATGAACAAAACTCACAGTGAAACCGCGAAAGATTGAAGCAAACAGAAAGGCCAGAATCAAGAAGAGAGAGTAGTTGAGGAGCTCACTTACCTCTGACCCAGAGAGAGATGGAGACGAGGGTGCTGAGGTAGATGGAGTAAAATGGGTCCAGGAAAAAATTTGAGACAATCGCAATTGCAACCACAAGCTTAGCTTGTGGCCCCTCGTTTGCCAACGCTAACGACAATAAATGAATATACCTAAATCTTCCCAACTAATTTTATATAAAAAAACATTCTACAGCGACGTCTAAAAACTGAGACAACAACATAATTCTAGTCGAATTGATCAGATTATTAGATTAACGATCACAAAGTTTTAAATTTGACAAAAAAAAAAAACAATTTATTGGCCTTATTGTTCGAACCGAACCGAAGGATGATATCAATTATAGTTCAGAATCGGAACCCAAAATATTTAGGTTCAGATTTCTTAAAATTGGAAATTGAAACACCTTAAACTGGCGGTTTGAAATCGGAAACAAACCACAGTCGTGTTTACCTCTTAAGCTAGGTTGATTTACCTCTTGCGATTCTTTACCGACTAAATTTACAATACATGGTTACATCTTTGTAATCATTTTTCAATTACGACTATCTGACTAAGATTATAACACAAAATTTATTCAATACATATTGTCCTTAGATAATAATTACGTGTCTATAAGAAAAACTGAGACACCAATATAATGTAAAAACTTCTGCCAACTTTGAAGAGGATTTGTGGATAAGGATATACCATTGGTCTCTCTTTTTTTTTTTTTTTTTTTTTTTTTTTTTTTTTTTTTTTTTTTTTCGTTTCCATTTTTGTAAGGAAAATCCCAAATAATGTTGGAGCATTTATCCGCATAGAACAAAGTGGATAAGGGTCCTTCATTTTTCAAGCTCCCTTTCTCGTCAGTGGCCATTTAGTTTTTATATATGATTATAAAAAAAAAATGACAGATATTCATTTTTATCTTCAATTTCTTCATTCTTATCCTTTCAAAATTCTCTTTGAGTTTGTTTTCTATTTTTATGTTTTAAAACTTTCCATTATTAAAACAGAAAAAATAAATAAAAATTAAGCATCTTCTTCCATTAATTCCTGGGATGTTATCAACAACTTTCTCGCTTTTTAAGGGCTGTTTCAATTCGATCTTAACTGAAACCGCTTAATGCGGCAACCCTCAGACCTATACATACCTCTCCCTCCCTCATCTTCTTCCCCACACTCAAAATAAACAACAGATCTCGACTGTTGATAGATTATTCTCAAAAAAAAAAAAAAAAAAAAAAAAAAAATCTCAGCTCAACAATGGCGAAAGTTGCAGGAGGACTACTAGTGAAGCTTGTCCTTGTGGTTTCCGTGGTTGTAGGGTTAGCAGGCTATGCGGCGGCGGAAGGGGAGGGGTTGCCGCCGGCCTCAGGCGGGAAAGTAGAGGTCCCGGACGTGCAGAAAAACGGGGAGGTTCAACAGATGGGGAGGTACTGCGTAACGGAGTACAACAAGCGCATGTATGCGACGAAGAGTCCTCGGAGCGGTGCGAAGAGGCTGAGCAGGCTGAGCTTCTCGCAGGTGACCAAGGCGGAGAAGCAGGTGGTGGCCGGAGAGAAGTACTACCTCACCATCAACGCCGTCGATTCCGACGGCGGCCAGATGAAGACCTTCGAAGCCGAGCTGCTGCTCAAGCCTGTTCAAACTACTGCTAAGGAGATGCTCGCCTTTTCACCCGCCGCCGCCGCCGCCACACAAAATTGATCGATTTTCATACTTTTCATTTTTTTTTTCCTGGTCAGTCCGCCGCCGCGCCGCCGTGGCGTGCAGTGGCTGGCCGGTATTATTTTGTCATGCGTGCATGCGTTTAGTGGTAGTTATGTAGGTAGTGTAGTCCCCGGCGGTTAGTTTCCTTCAATGCCAGATCGATCAGAGATGATTGAAGATGGCCGGATATATAATAATTAATATAATGCTTCAACATGTTGTAATGGCTGGCATTGTTTTTTGTTAATACAAGATATATATACATAATTGTGGTCTCTATTAGTACCATTCTATTAAAAATAGGTGTGCTGTTAATAATTTATTCCGATAGACATAGGGAGATATATATTTATAAAAGTAAGAAATAATTTATTCCAATAGATATAGGAAGAGATATATTTATAAAGGTAAGAAACATATCTCAACAGAGAAAACACTATTTTGATATAGGAATCAGTATCTAATGAATTGAATGGTCTGAGTATAAATGTGAAAGAACAAAATGCTAAGAAGGAATGAGACATCACAACGAGATCTTCAAGTGTGAAAGAACAAAAAAAAAAGGAATAATGTGACATCACAACAAGATCTTCATCTCATCTCAAAATAGAAGGGATATGGCGAAATTGAAACTTACTAAGTGAGAACTTTCAAATTCAAAGAAACCTTGAAATTTAAAAAAAAAAAAAAAAAAAAGGAGAATTCTGAGCCAAATCCTGTTTAACAAATGGAGTTAGTGAAAGATAAAGATAGAAGTCTAGAAAATCTCTATAACTAAGTTATTTGAGTCCAAAACTCAGTTGGACTTTAAGTTATTGTATTTTATGACAAAAATAAAAATAAAATTTTTGTCCAAATTAAATATTAAATATAATGCATAAAAGTTCAACAATTCAAAATTAAATTTAAAAATGACATTTTTCATGCATATTTAAATTTTAAATTATTCACCCAAATTTCGATGTCAATTATATTCTTTCTAAAATTTTATTTTTGATACTACTAATTTCTGGATGTCGGTTGTATGTACTAGATGTATATGTGTATATGAATGTATGAACAAGAAGGAAGAACACATGCAAGAAATAGCTCAATCATCTTTTTATTAGTGTTATACTCTTGTATGTGAGAAAATTTGAGAGAGAGTGAGCTCATCCAGAATGAATAAATCTGATCCCCCAAGTTAGAGGGCTTTAAGCCCTTTTATAGGTCTAAGGTGGCGGGTTTGACCCGGCTCAGGGTTGACCCGTCACCCTTGACTTTGACCTGTAGACCGGGTCCAGAACCGTCCGATCCTGATTTGATTAGACGTGTAGGTGGTCGGTACCGAGGGATATATCCTATCAATTTTCAATTACAATTAAGATGAATCTAGGAATTCTAAAAAAAAAAATTATCAAGTATAAAAACAATAGATTACAAATAAAATATTTTTTTAAAAAAATGGGCTCCAAATATGGGGGGCCACTGCACATGGTCAGGGCCGGCGTTAGTCTCTATCCAACGGGGCGTTTGGTTAATTAGAAGGAGGAAATTAGGTAGGAAATGAATTGTAATTTCATGGGAAAAAAAAGAATAAAGTGAGAATTCAAATTCTATTGTTTGGTATACATGAACAGAATTGTTGAAAATTAAAAGGAAAAAAAATGAATAAAATTAAAACTAAAATACCTTTGTATAATAATACAAAAACCTAATTTATTATGAAATTTTCTCATACCAAACACGTACCCCATAAGTGGGCTAATTTGGCCTACTTATATTCATATCATATGATCAACATGATTATGAACATCTTTAACTTGAACCTCTGACTTTTCGTTTAGAAGAGTATCATCACACCACAAGTTACATATTTGGCACAAAAAATATTTATTAAGCTACTCGAATAATTAAATTAGTTAGAACAAAAGATTGAACATAGTTTTGACGTATGGATGAGATTAATTGGATGGTCTCTCACACAATGCCATCTGGTAATTTTAATTTAATTAGAGCCGTTAATTACTCGATGGAAGTGAATTTGCATGCATGCAGATTACTCGGATCTTATCAACGTAACAAATTTCTCCATCACTTTTTTAAGGTTAGTTTCAATTCATAAACCCGCCGCCGCTTAACGTGGAATCCCTCACAAAAGTTACAACCAATCCACTATATATACCTCTCAAAACCCGTCATCACCTTCATCAAATAACCAACAGATCTCTACTGTTGCTAATAAATAAATAAAAAAAATTTTTAAAAAAAGAATCTCTCGTACGTTAATTATCAACAACTTAATATAATGGCGAAAATTGGAGGATTCAACCTTATCCTGGTAGCCATGGCCGTCGCCATTATCTGCGGCGAACAGGTGGGCGCGCAGCTGGGAGGCGGCGCCGTAGGCGGGAGGATTCCGGTCGATAACGTGAAGACCGACGCGGAGGTTCAACAGCTGGGAAAGGACTGCATCACGGAGTACAACAACGGCCTGAAGAAGAAGAACAATCCGGCGATTTCGGCCAAGATGCTTACCTTCTTGGAGGTGATTAAGGCGGAGAAGCAGGTGGTGGCCGGAGTCAAATACTACCTCCGCCTCAAGGCCACCACCTCCGCCGGCGCCACCAAGACTTTTGACGCCGAGATGGTGGTCGGCCCTGGCGAATCTTCTAAGGAGCTCGTCACCCTTGCGCCTTCCACTCTGACGCGCCGCCGCTTGTATTAATTTATATATATATATATAATCCATGAAAGAGCTTCGCTTAGCTTCCTTCTGGGTTTAATTTGATTTTTCCTTTTTTTTTTTTTTCTGTTCGCCGCCGGTAGTGTAGTTCCCGGATTCGTACCACGTTTTCTGGGTTTGGATCCGATGTTGTTGGTTAGTTTCTTCAATGTCAGAGATGAATGCTTTAACATATTGTAATGCCATTATGTTTTTTTCTGGAAAGATGACAACTTTCCTTCTTAAATTATAGAAATTTAGATAGTATTTTTCATATGCTTTTTCTTAATTTGACGGTATAATCTAATGATGTTATTATCATGTACTCTAATATCATATTATTGGTTTTAATTTGTTGTTTACAATATTTAGGTCCTTATTTGGTGATCTGATCTCAAGAACGTGAGGGTACAACATATATATGAATATGAAATTCTTGAATGAAAATTAATATTTGATTTTTATTTTTTTGAATGATATAATAAGGAATATATTAAGAAGAAATATCATATCCCAACCCAAAAATTCAATAATAAAATAGGGGAGCAACCAAAGAAAAATGATTTTTTTTTTTTTTTTTGTAAAAATTGATTTTTGCAAATAAATTAATGAAATTTATAGATATTTTGAGAGTCAACATTGAATTTGTACAAATTAAAGCAAGGGTGTTAAAATATCATATGATCCCAAGTTTATTAATTTGTAGCCTCCAACTGTTGCTATAAATGAACGGGGCTGGATGTGTTAGTAAGAATCTAGGCTTGTGGTGAGGATATTTGGAGGTTGGGAAGAAGTTATAATAAGGAATTTCAACGTGGAATTGATGTTTGTAAGACAATTAAGATGATGATGGACTTTGTACTGAAAAGAAGTTGAAAGTGGACATGAGCAAAGCACATTGACCAAATTCGTGGGCGTGCCCTATCGAGCAGGTTATTTCATTTTTAAATTGGTTTATTCTACAGCAGCAAACGCTAGTTACACTATGACTTTCAATGAAGCCAATTTCACTATGACTTTCAATGAAGCCAATTTAGTTATTAGTAAAGCTGAAGTTATTCCATTTTTAAATTGGTTTATTCTGCAGCAGCAAATGCTAGTTACACTATGACTTCCAATGAAGCCAATTTAGTTATTAGTAAAGTTGAAGTGAATGAGGGGACTACCGTAGGGGTTTGAGAAAAAGTGGGTTGACATTCTTATTGAAATAGTGAGCTCGGTTCAATATCATATCCTCATAAACAAAGTATAGTAGAGGTCTCCTTAAAAATGTCATCCAAGCTATGCCCTCCTATGTTATGATGGCGTTCCTATTACCATTGGGACTCTGAAGGGATACTGAAACGGTTATGAACGAGTATTGGTGGACGGGGCCTGTTGGAACTGGGAGAGGCGAGATTCATTGCCAATAAGAATCTTGGACAATTTCAGCGTAAAGGAGGTTATTTACGTTGCATGCATGCAGATTACTCGGATCTTATCAACAACCCGCCGCCGCTTAACGTGGAATCCCTCACAACCAACCCAGGCCACTATATATACCTCTCAAACCCCCTCACCTTCATCCCCACACTCAAAATAATAATCAACAGATCTCTACTGTTGCTAATAAAATAAAATAAAGAATAAAGAATCTCTCGTTCGTTCATTCTCAACAACTTAATATAATGGCGAAACTTGGAGGATTCAACCTTATCCTGGTAGCCATGGCGGTAGCCATTATCTCCGGCGAGCAGGTGGGCGCGCAGCTGGGAGGAGCCGCCCTAGGCGGGAAGGTAGGCGGGAGGATTCCGATCGATGACGTGAAGACCAACGCGGAGATTCAACAGCTGGGAAGGGACTGCATCACGGAGTACAACAACGGCCTGAAGAAGAAGAACAATCCGGCGATTACGGCCAAGATGCTCACCTTCTCGGAGGTGATCAAGGCGGAGAAGCAGGTGGTGGCCGGAGTCAACTACTACCTCCGCATCAAGGCCGCCAACTCCGGTGGCGAAGTCAGGACTTTCAACGCCGAGATGTATGTCGGCCCTGGCGAATCTTCTAAGGAGCTCGTCACCCTTGCGCCTTCCTCTCTCTCGCGCCGCCGCTTGTATTAATTTATATATATATATATATATATATATATATATATATATATATATATATATATATATATAATCCATGAAAGGGCTTCGATTAGCTTCCTGCTGGGTTTAATTTGAATTTTTTTTTTTTTTTTCTGTTCGCCGCCGGTAGTGTAGTTCCCGGATTCGTACGATGTCCGGCCGGGATTGGATCCGATGTTGTTGGTTAGTTTCCTTCAATGTCAGAGATGAATGCTTTTAACATGTTGAAATGGCATTATGTTTTTTCTTAAATTATTTTTCATATGCTTTTCTTAGAATTTTTTTTTTTTTTTTTTTTTTTTAAAAAGAAAGTTATTTTGCAGATAATTTTGCGGTATAATCTAAAAACAAAAAGTGTTATTATACAAAAAGTGTTATTATCATGTATCCAGATTCAAAGATGAAATGTGACGTAAAACATAATATATATATCATATTATTGATTTTAATTTGTTGTTTACAATATTAGTTTAGGTCCTTATTTGGTGATCTTGGGTACAACATATGAATGTGAAATTCTTGAATGAAAATTAATAATTGATTTTTAATTTTTTTTTGAATGATAATAATAAGGAATATATTAAGAATTATCATACCCCAATTAAGCCAAAAATTCAATAATAAAATAGCGGAGCGACCAAAGAAATGAAGATAATAAATTAATGAAATCTATAGATATTTTGGAGTATGAGACATTAAATTGCATGTAAGTATAGTGTATTGTTATTGGATTAGAAGCTCAATCTGAGATTCTAATTAAGCTTTTTTTTTTTTTTTTTTTTTTTTTTTTTTTTTTTTTAATTACAAAGGGAAAACTAATTGCCTCCATTGAGACTCCTCCCACTTAGGGGAGCAACTAGATATCAAGTCCTTGATATTAAGCTTCTTTAATACCCACCCTAAGCAAATAATCAAGCAATTATTACTATTATTAAAAATAAATTTATTAATATATATTATTAAAGTGAATTTGCATGCGGATTCGTCGAATCTTAAGGGCGTTTGAATTCATTCCGGTATATAAGATAACTAAGGTTATATTGAGTTTATATAACATTTTTATGTTTGATTGGAGTTATATAACATTCTCTTGGAATTAAATATTGCATTCACATAAGATTTTTCTTTGTTTTGGAGGAAGTATGATTCCCCTATTCATCATAGGTAATGTTATATTCCCTTGTCATTTTACATTATTCTTTGCCCTTGACATCAACGCACGTCATTCTCTCAAAATGCTATTTAGCTGTTATTGAATGTATTTTTTGTGCTTAAGTTTTTATTTGCTTTATTCTTTGTCCATAGAAAGGTGAAAGCTTGATTTTGAACTTTATTTTATTTTTATGAAAGAGGACTAGATAAGGGAAAACATAAATTTGGAAAAGATAAAACATTATATTGTAGCAGCTTGACAAATTTTCATGTTCGCAAGGTGATTTGTAATAGGGAAAAGTGTCAAATTGGCCCCCTAAGTCAAGTGGATAGTGCAATTGGGTCCCCTAAGTGAAAAAAGCTCCATTCAAGTCCCCTAAACCTGTAAAATTGTTCAATTAAGTCCAATATGACTGGTTTAACAGGTAAATCTATATGGTGTTGACACGTGTCTTTCTTATTTTATTTTTAAAAATAAATACTTTTTATTTATTAAAAATATTATTTTTTTATTAATTAATTTAAAAATAATAATATTTTAAAATTAAAAAAAAAACAGCCACCGGCTGTCCACGCCGGACAGTCGGTGGTTTCTTCTTTCTTCACGGACAGCCGTGGCCGCACGACCGTCTAAGGAAAACGGCCAGATGTCCATGGCCGCCTTCCTTAGACGACCGTGAAGAAGGAAGATAACCACTAGCTGTCTAGTGTAGACAGCCGGTAGCTGTTTTTTTTTTCTTTTTATTTGTAATTATTATTATTATTATTATTATTATTATTATTATTATTATTATTATTATTATTATAATTAATTTATAATAAATAATATTTTTAATTTTTAATAAATAAAAAACATTTGTTTTAAAAAATAAAATAAGAAGTACACGTGTCAACACCATATCGATTTAACCTGATAAACAAGTCATATTGGACTTAATTGAACAATTTTACCAGTTTAGGAGACTTAAATGGAGCTTTTTTCACTTAAGGGACCCAATTGCACTATCCACTTGACTTAGGGGGCAAATTTGACACTTTTCCCTTTGTAATATGAGGGTGTTAAGGTAAAAATAACTATTATAACATAAACAACAAATCATCAACTATATATTCATAGTAATCTAATATTCCCAACAATTTTTTTTGAAAGCAACCAAAGTGGTATATATTAAAGATAAGCTGAAATAGAGTCAGGAGGGACCAAATCCCAATACATACTATCAGTCTGATCAAAAGCTAAAGAAGCTAAAATATGTGCTAAAAAATTATCTGATCTAAGAATAAACTTAAATAAACAGTAATCAAAAGATGATAAGTAAGATCTGCAACTATCAATAGCGTAGCCAATGTACGAACGAACTGGGGCAGCTGTGGAAGATAGATAACGTTGTAACGTTTGGCAATCCGTGCGTAGCTCTATAGACCGCTCCCCGCAATCCTTCAACCATGACAAAGCTTCTTTACATGCAAATGCTTCGGCATGAGTGGGGAGAAACAATTCGAGAGAGAGGCGATGAACGCCGAAATATATTCTCCATTCCCATCGAGGAGGACCGCTCCTACCGTGGCTTTGTTTGTCGCATGAGTATAGCCTGCGTCGACTCGACAGACTTGACAATGGTGCTGTTGTGTGGCTAACGGCGGCAAAAGCGACCTCGGTATCGGGCGGCTGACTGGCTCCGACTGAGTGTACGCAGCGCCATGCATGCATAACGACACATAAGCATCTAATATTCCTAGTAATCTAACCTTCCCCTACCAAACGCCCCCTAATAGGCAAATTATGTTGTGTATCCGTATGCACCATGTATGGTGCATACGGATGCAAAAACGACGTCGTTTTAATAAAACGCGCGTCTCCCCTTAAAAAAAAAAAATCAGGTTCGATTTCCAGCAACAACATATGAACTAAAATTCCATAATCGATGAACTATAATTCCATAATCTAATCTATGAACTAAAAATTCCAGAATGAATGAACTAAAATTCCATAATCTATAAACTAAAATTTCAGCATCGATGAACTACAATTCCATAATCGATGAACTATAATTCCATAATCAATGAACTATAATTCCATAATCTATGAACTAAAATTTCAAAATGAATGAACAATATAATGTTGTTGCTGGGAATCGAACCTGAATTTTTTTTAAAGGGGAGACGCGTGTTTTTTAATAAAACGACGTCGTTTTGGAATCCGTATGCACCATGCATGGTACATACGGATGCACGATTGCCCCTAATATCCTATTAACAATAATATTGTATTTTAAAGGGTTTTTTTTTTTTTTTTTTTTGGTTTCGTTAAACTGAGTGAAATGGCACGACAGCCCACCATTGTTGCAGCACCATCCAACGCCGCCGACTGTGCTATCCCTCACACCTATACATACACAATCCATATATATATACTCTTCCCACCCGTACTTAAATAAAAGAAAAAAAAAATGGGACTGATGACCCTTTTCCTCGCCGTTTCCGTCGTGGTCGTAGCCTTGTCAAGTGGCGAAGTGAACGGCGGGAGGTCGACGCAGGACGGCGCCGTCCATCTGGACGTGAAATCCGGGGGGAGAACGGCGGTGAAGGGCGTGAAGACGAACAAGCAGATTCAGGCGATGGGGAGGTACTGCGTGTCGCAGTACAACAAGGGGCTGCTGAAAGCGAAGAATCTGGAGGGGGTTCATTTGCTGGGCTTCATGGAGGTGGTGAAGGCGGAGAAGCAGATGGTGGTCGGAGTCAAGTATTTCCTCCACATCGCCGCCAACACCCATGAAGGCACCGTCAAGAGTTTCGACGCCGAGCTGCTGGTCAAGCCCCAATCCAGAGATAAGGTCATGCTCGTCTTTGCACCCGACCCGCACCCGCATAATCATTAACACGTTTGGCTCACTTGGCTGGATTTTTTATTTTTTTTATTTTTATAATATGACATTTTTAAAGACATGTTTGATTAAGAAAAAATTAGTTTTTTTTTTTAATTTTTTTAAAAAAGAAAATTACTCCGTAGTTTTTTTTTAGAACAGAAAAATTAGTTAAAAGGTCAAAAATTATAGTATTATATGTGCATGTGTATAGTATTGTAGCAATAAGAGAAAAAAAAAGATAGTATATACGTATAATTGTTGTTAACCCTCATTAATTCTTTAATCATTTATAATGCCAGTTAGTTAATTAGTATGTAATAATTATTAATAATAATTTGAAAAGTTAAATTTAATTAACCATAATTTGTAATTAGTGTAAATAATAATAAAAAATAATTGTTTAGAATCATAAAAGTAATCTATCTATACTATATATAAAAACAAAATCATGAACATTAACTTCCCGTCCAATTCTTAAAGAATCTCTCTTTTTAATTGGTCAAATTATTTAATTATGGTAGAATACAAGAATATTTAATTATTATTATATTATTATTGTGATTCACGGAATAGAATACAAGAATATTTAATTATGATTATGTTATTATTGTGCCTCACGGCATTATATACTAACAAAACTTGAAAGGAAAATAATAATAATAATAATAATAATAATAATAATAATATAAGGGGTAATAATAATATCTCAAAGTAATTAAGTGTTAATAATAATAATAAGAATATTAACGTAAGAAATTATAACATAAAATAAAATGTAATAATTAATAACGATAGTTTGGGATTAAATTTGAAATTGTCACAAAAAACAATAGACCTCTGGTGGAATTCGCACGTGTGAAAATACTAGTGAAATTAATAATAATTATATAATAACTACAATTTTTTATACTTAAGATAAAATTAGTAATTTTTTGTACTTCGATAAGATTAGTAATTATGTTCAACGGAGAGAAAGGAGTACTTACGTGAAGGAGAAGAAAAAATCACAATTAGGGAAGAGAGAATTTAGAATTTGAATGTCTAATTTAAGAATTTACTTACAAATAATCCATGTAAATTATACTCCGTAATAATAATAAAAAAAAAGTAAAATAAAATAAAATAAATATGTGACAATTCAGTCAACAAAAATTAAAAGTTAACATTTTAAAAATGTTAATTGCCATTTTTCCGAGTTTAGTAACTTATTTAGAGGTTATTTAAATATGATGACTTAGGGTCCGTTTGAAAAGCAAGAAAATGACTTCTGAAAAATGAATCAGAAAACATTTTACTTTCCCGTGTTCGGTTGCATTTTGGAAAACTTGGAGTATTTAGTTTATTTTATGGAAAAATGAGTAGAATTGTATGTTTAAACATTCTGGCGGAAAATGACTTCCCCACATTTTTGCGGAAGTCATTTTCCGCCAAAATGGCTTCATTTTCTTCAGTCAACGGAAAACATTTTCCGTTGACTGAATTTTCCTGTTGCATCCAAACACTGAAAACTCAGAAAACATTTTTCAGAAGTCATTTTCTGGATTTCCAAACGGACCCTAATTGTTGTTTTCCAAATAGTTCAGTGCCTTAGATCTCACTCTGAGCTGAGCTGCTATCTCCGCCGTGTAAGACGGCGCCGGCCGTGGAGCCTGGGTAAAAGTGAATTCTTTATCTTATTCATCGGGGTTTAATTTTTCATTCCAAAACCAAAAATAGCAAAACTTAAGCACATTTGAGATCGCCGGTAATGACCACCTTGTCTCGCGCTTTCCTCTCCGTGGCCAGCCGCCGTTCAGCCGCCAAAACCTCCAAACTGTACGCTCGAGCACCGACGGAACCGCCGCCGCCGCCGCTCCAAATCGACGACGCCATAGCCACCGCCGTCTATAATTCCTTTCTCAAAACCCAGACCTGGGAATCCCTCGCCCAACAATTCAATTCCGTCCAATTCACCCACCCACTCGTCAACAAAATCCTCCTCAATCTTAAAGACACTTCCAATGCGAAGCAAGCTCTGAAATTCTTCCACTGGTCAGCCAAACTCGGCAGCTTTCGCCATGGGGTTTCCACGTACTGCATCACGGTTCACATTCTCGTCAAGGCCAGGCTCATCAAGGATGCCAAGGCATTGCTCGAGTCAGTGTTGACCAAACCCTCATTGGGCAATTCAGACGTTTTCGCAGTTCTTGAATCACTGCTTGAAAGTTATAGGATCACTGATTCTGTACCTTTCGTGTTTGATTTGTTCGTTCAAGTTTGTTCTAAGCTGAGGCTGGTAGATAGTGCTCTTGATGTCTGCAAGTTCTTGGATGAGAATGGATTCCTGCTTAGTGTTGTTAGCTATAATACTCTGCTTCATGTGCTGCAAAAATCTCAGAAGCATGGTATGGTTTGGGATATATATGGGGATATGATTCAGAGAAGAATAAACCCTAATCAAACCACTGTTAAAATTATGGTTAGTGCTCTGTGTAAAGAAGGGAGGCTGCAATGGTTTGTGGATGTTGTGGGCAGGATTCATGGGAGGAGATGTGAACCTGGGGTGGTTGTGAATACTTGTTTGATCCATGGGATGATAGAAGATGGCAGGGTTGAAGATGGGTTAATGTTGTTGAAGAGAATGTTGCAGAAGAATATGATAGTTGATACGGTTTCTTATTCTTTGATTGTTTTTGGGAAGGTGAAGATGGGTGATTTGGATTCTGCATGGAAGGTTTATGATGAAATGGTTAAGAGAGGGTTTGAAGGGAATGCTTTTGTGTATGATGCCTTCATTTCAGCATACTGTGAAGAGGGAAGGGTGGAGGCTGCAATTGAGGTGGTGCAGGAAATGGAGAGGATGAACATGAAACCGTTCCTCGAGACATTCAACAGCCTCATAAAGGGTTGTTCAAATGCAGAAAGGTTAAAGGAAGGCTTGGAGTTTTGCGAGAAAATGACGCAGATGGGGCTTGTTCCTAGCTGTTTGGCTTTCAATGTACTGGCAGAAAAGCTCTGTGAAAATGGCAATGCAAAGGAGGCTGATGAGATGTTGACTGTCCTGTTAGATAAAGGGTTCGTTCCTGATGAAAATACATACTCTCAGCTTCTTGCTGGTTATGCAAAAGAAGGTGACACTGAAGCAACACTCAAGCTTTATTATGAGATGGAGTATAGGTCAATCTCTCCTAATTCTTCTTCGTTTTCTTGGTTGATAATTGGTCTTTGTAAACATGGAAGACTAAGTGAAGCAGATAAGTATCTAGGTTTAATGAAAGCACAATGCTCAACTCCAAGTTCAGATGTCTACAAACAATTGATTTCTAGCCATTTGGAGAAGGGGAATCTAAGTAGAGCAGATCAGCTGTATAGAGAAATGGTAGTGAAGGATTGAAGACATAGAATTATGCATTTTCCATCAAGACTGGAAATTTTAGTTATAATAAGTGCTTATCAGACAAGCATGCTTAATCTTTTGATGAGAATTTACGAGTTTGTGTCACAAATGTGTATATGACTGTTAATGAAGCATACAAAGTTATATTTCTTATTGTCAAAACCATATTGAAAAATGAGAGAAGAGTGGGGTTGCTAACTTCTATCTGCATGTACCTCGGTTTGTAATGTAATCCTGAAATGTTTCTTCGTCTACCCCTCGACCTTTGGTCTCCAACCTTCAATTACATCCTCTGTCACTGCCCTTGTTTTGACAAAGGAATCCCGGGAGAATATGTCCTGAGCACATTACAAACACTAGCGAGTCAGAAATTATCCCAAAATCTGCCCGCATAACAAGAAATTGGGTCTATAGTCACTTGTAGCAAGGTCCAAAATTCAGTTCCACGAGGCTTCATGCCATGAATTTAATTAACATCGAACACTCAATGAACAGAAAAGACACAGACATAACCAGTAATTTGGAGATAATAACAGATCATTGAGGATTTGAGGGAATGGACATGAGCTACTATGAATAGAGAACAAGAATCAGTTCAAGACCCAGATTTTTGTCCTATTTTCTCTAGGCCTCTCAATCAATCTCTCTTGCAAAGAACAGGAATAAGTTTGGCATACCTTCATGTACGACTTCAGATAGATAAGTGAATCTGGGACTGACCACTTCTTGTAGTGCCCCAGAGCAATCTCCATGTGATACAGCTTTGGTCCTAGAGACAAGTCAGCAGCAGACACCTCATTTCCACTGATAAATGGGCCCTTCCAAAAATAAGGTATGAAATGATCAGTCACTTCTCTGAAGATATGTTTCAACGCCAAAGCAAAGGTATCTCCGTGATGCACACTACAGGCCTCCAAATTTACCAAAACGATATACATTTATGCACTAAGATAAATGACTTACATTTTCTTTAAGGTAATCATTAAAAGCAGTCAGCTCTTCTACTAATGCTTGCTCCGTTCCATCAGCAGGGTCTTTGCTTTTCAGAAACCCAATAAACTTGGCGAAGATCTTTGATCCACTATAAAACACATTAAGGAAATAATACTATCGTGGCCTAAAATGCTCAAGGAAGCAACTCATTTGATAGTGAGAATGTACAACTCACCCAGAGACATAAACTTTGCATATACAACTCGAAAGTAAATATAGATGTTATAGACATCGGAAACACAGAGTTGAAAGCTAGACCTTGCTTACTACTATAGCTGAGGACAGAGGAGAATATATTGTCCATATGCGCTAATTCGCAGGTCAGAGTGTCTCATAGAAAAGGCTTATGAGTAGCTAGCATGTTGTGCATTGTGGGGGCATGGAGAAAGCAAGGAATTGTAACTGTTCAGAATAGATCATTCTGGTCACACATCTAAGGATCTCTATACTAGAACAAACACAGATTTGAATACCGAGCCTCATAGGAACAGTGTGTACCCTAACAATATGCAATACCTATGAATGAGACATGCACAACAAGAAACAGAACAAGACTGCTCAACATTGTTTCTTCAAGATTCAACTAAGAAAAGATGATAGACAAAACATACACAGAAGCCTTCTCTGGCGGCGTTTTCAGCGATGGATCAGGGAACTTCTCTTCCAGCGCCTGCGTGATAACATCTGAATCTGGAACCCACTTCTCATCAATCTTCACCACAGGAACCTTCCCTTCCGGGCTAATTTTGAACAGCCTATAAGAAAATTATTTTTCAAATAGAAATTTTGTTATTCTAACTGTTTCTGATAACAAAAAAACGTATAATATAGATTACAATCACAAGAAGAACATACTCAGCATTCACATTACCACTCTGGTTTGTTACTTAGGTCAACCAGCTTCAAGTCATAAGGAAGATGCTTTTCCTCTAAAGTCAACAAAACCCTCTGAGTAAAGGGACCTGAAGCCGAAGAGCAATCCAAACTATCATTCTTCAGCATTCATTGCAATTACTTAATACAGGACAAGTTATTAACATTTCCGGAGCTAATTAATCCGTACGGCAATTGAAAATTGCAGCAATGCGTGTGAATGTGTGAAGTTAGTAGTTAGCAATGCATGGAGTACCGGAGACTTACAGTCGCCTAGCCTGTCGGGAATAGTGATGGAGGCCTTAGCGCATACTTCGACAGGGTCCGATGCCGAAGACATTGCAGTGACGACCATGCCTCTTCGGAGGCCATGGGCTCTGAGACGGGTCGGGTTTGCGGCGAAATGAGTCCGAATTCTAGGTCCGCGGTGAAGGTAGGCGAGTTGTTTGATAGTGACAGGAAGTGAAATCGCCGACGGTGTTATTTTCACGGTCGACATCGGAGCGGTTGCCGGAGTAACGCCTGGAATTACTGGAAAGTTCAGTTCTGAAGCTGTGAAATGGCGGTGAGGTTGGCGAATGGACGCGTGGCATACATGTTGCTTCGATGTGGACCCCACCCAATCGATATACGTCATCAAAAAAACATAAAACCACATACCTTATTGGGCCAAGCCCGCGGCTATTCACGAGCACGCTATTGGGCTACAGTTTTTGGGCCCAGGTAACTAATGGGCCATTTTTGAGTTGGGCAGATGATCTATCAGCAGTTATATCATGGATCCAGATCCAAAATACACAATTTACATATTAAATGTTTATAATTTACATGTTGAATATTCACAATTTAAATTATGAACATTTAGTATAAAAATTATGTAGTTAAATTGTGTATATTTTAATCCGGATTCACAGAATAATTTTCCATGATCTACCGGCCTATCCTCGCATGATTGGTCAGGCCATGACCAATACTAGGACGCAAGACGGTTATGTGTGGCACTTGTTACATGACAGGATTTGCTTTCGAGGCATAGTTCAGTGGTAAAAGTTTTAGTGTGGTTATAGTGGCTAGAAAATGTTATGGGTTCGAACCTTCCTTATAAGGAATAAGATCTTGAAAAATAAGCAAGCACTCAGATCACTTCGACACTTTGCCATTGAGGCACATCTTGCGATTATCGTGCATTACTGAAGAAGTCTGCATATTCTTACGTTAATAGATGTTTTTACCTGAAATGTTTATATGTCTAGTTGGATGAGACAATATTTTGTAGACGGAAAAAATAATTTATTATTTTACAATTTACGCTATTTATTTATAACATTCTAAGTTAAAAGATATAAATTAGTGATACTTGACCGTAAAGTCTCGAGCATCAATTTACTTTCTTCATTCTTTACGATTTTGAGCTTAAAAGCAACATCATTGCATAGAACTTTAAAGAAATGATATAGAATCTTTGCAGCTTTATGCATATAGTTAGTCACCATTGTGAACAATTAGTCATAACGCATTAGGTTTTTATGTGTGTGTTTTTTTTATGAAGAATCATTATTTGAAAGTTTGTAACAGATAAATCTTACTTATATTTAATAATGCATAAATTATTGAGAGAATAAATAACATTAAAAAAATTATACAATATATTTAATTCATAAGGTGTTAACAAAAATTGAATTCATAACATTTTAATATAATAATCATACTTCACCTGCTTGACCATCGGGCAGAATTTTGGGTTTTAATTTGGGCAATGGGGCGGCAAAAGTGCGCAATACCTACTCTAGAAACCGGACCACATTATGCCTTTATTCCTAGTTTACTTCTTCTACATGGCTACTTGGTTGTTGACTATTGTTTAACATGGTGTACAAATTTTGTCTCCATCACTTATAAATGTCAGAGTGAGTGCTAGTCATGTGGTTGGTTGTACACAACAACCAAAGGAAATGAGATTAAAAAATATATGTATAGAGCAAATTCTAATTTTAATCTTCGACTATTGTGGTAGTGTTACATTTAATCATTTTTTTTTTGATTTTATCATATTACACATTTTAATTTTGAGTAAATTTCACTTTTAATTTTTGACTATTGTGACATGACATTGTCACATTTAGTATTATTCTTTTAATTTTTTCATATTACATCCCTGACTTTGAGCAAATTTTACTTTTCGATATCGACTATTTGGTATTGTCACATTTAAATGTAACCGCCACATCTATATAAATTGAGAACACTTATTAGTCACGACGCATTAGGTTTTTGTTTAGACTTTGGAGCGGCAATAGTGGGTAACACCTACATTAATTATGTCTTTTATTACTTCCTCTAAATGTCACAATGTTAGGACACTCCAACAACATTAGTTAAAAGTAGCGGATGAAGTGGTCAAGGGAGTAAAGTATGATTTTCGTATTTTGTGAATATTTTTTTGATCAACTCTTTCGCATAGGATCTTTTCAGTACAATTTTCTTCTCATGTGTAATTTATGATCATACAAATACTATCAGGTAGTGGTTGCAGGTTTCTTGTAAAATGAGTGAGTTTACTATAATCACGATAAATTTTCATCATTTAATCTACGCAAATATTAACTTTTGAATAAATATATCTCTATGAAACTAGAGTTGTCAAAGAGAGTTTAGTCCATTGGTTTAGCCGGGCTTGCCACCTAATAAATCAATCATTATTGGTCCACACAACTGTATGAATCATGATCCACGCAATAATGATTGATACAAGCTTATCCTACTGATCAACTTTTGACTCTAGTAGATCAATTGATTTTTCTGAATGCTTCTAATAGATGAAAGTGAAAGTCATTTTAAATTTTTATCACCTTTGTATTTCATCTTTTGAGTTTTGAGTAATCACATTATAAAAATTAGTTTATAATTCAATTCGACAATAACCTTTGTCCTAACATAACAGCTCATACTAAACTATCTCTACTTTATAGGCGAAACTTAATTTCTAGTACATTTAATTAATTTAATGTGACCTTTACCATGATAAGGATTATCAATAGTAGTACGTTTAATTTGGATGTGTTTCAACGGTTTGTTGAATGAAGACAATCAAACAATACCTACTCGTGAAAAAGAATGGCAGGCAGGTCAACAATTTCCTAAGACATAACCAACTCCTTTTTTTTTTTTTTTTTTTTTTTTTTTTTTTTTTTTTTTTTTTTTTTTTTTTTTTTTCAATCGAGAGAAACCCATAACTATTATTTAAAGGCATATATTAAGTAAATCTGATCTCGCTCTTGAACTCAAAGATGTTGAAAAAACAAATTGAACTTGTGACTTTCTACTTTCTAGTATGGAAATCCTCATTCAACTGCTTGATCATCTCTTTCGTGACAATTATTTTTTTCTCCAACTACCGTGAAATCGCAGAAAAATTAAACCAAATTATTCTGTCAAGATAACTCAAATGGTCATCAATCAATTAACATTTAATTTTGCTTCTAATAATAATGTGCGATTTGACCTCTTAAACGCAAAAGTGTACAAGTGATGGGGAGAAGCAACCAAACATATATGCACCGTACCATATACTTTTTATGGTCATGGGCAGTCCATTTTATATCCTTTACTTGGACGACTTCTCAGCTGTTGGATGTCACATGATAACATGACACTCACCCACAATGCTATTTCATTATTTCCATAATTTACTCTCGGCTAGTAAAACCTTTGGTATATCTACAAATTTTATTAAAAGAAGAAAATGAAAAAATAAAAATTGAAAGAACTATCTCCAAATGGAACTCGATCGGAACTAGCTTGGATTAGTCTCTTGTAAAATGTGAATACTAGTACTAGCTAGTGTAATATACAAAAAGAAAATAAATGAAAATGATCGTCCATTTTTTTCAATTAATCACAGTATGTCAGGTTAACCGTTAATGACATAACGTAATCTTCCCAATAATTTCTTTGACCAACCAACCAATCAATTCAATATTCCAATAATGAAATCAATGAAACCTTTTAATATAACATGCTTTTCCAATGTGTCACTTTCTTCTAAGTGCAAAACAAGAGCCAAAATTCAAAGGATGTAATAAATATACATGAAAAAGAGACAACTCAATTCACTTTTTCCTTATTAACGTAACACATTTCACAATGAATGTGAACCAAGAATTAATGTGAAATATTCCAAAGGATACCACAATTTTCAAAAAAGCAACAATATAGTATTAAGTTCACCCTTTTTACCAGGACTATGTGGTCTAATGGTACCCGGGTTGGACTTCCATTTGGAAGATTATGAGTTCGAGCCTCAGTGGAGGCATTATTGGTTCTTTATGTTTCAGTAGGTTGAGAAAGTGTATGAACAGATACTACAATGTAATAGAGCCAGTAGCTTTCAAAAAAAAGTTCACCCTTTTTAGTAAACGGTGACATTACATCTATAACCAAAAACAAAAAAAAAAGGTTAAAATTCCTCTAAAAAGATTATGAGTTGAAACATATATAAGATGGTCTTGATTTTTCATAGACATTTGAATTACTTCGATTGGACTTCATATGAAGGAGATGTCACCAAAAATACTAATAATATGTCACAATAGTCCATATTTTGTCACTTTTACTTAAAATGTCATGAAAATCAAATATTAATAAATTTATCATCATATTTCATCAAACTAAGTGAGATACAAGTAAAACATTATGTATTGAAAATAATCGCAATTAAGCACTTATCAAAATCGCCATTATATTACACCAAAAACTAAAAAAAAAATCACCATTATGCTGAACAGATACTACTAGTAGATTAGAACGTATAAAAATAAATAAATAAATAAATATCTTGAACGCTCCTTGAGATTTGAAATCCTTGAAACTTTCCTATTATATATTAGGAAAGCTTTAAGGCTTGTATTTAATATGTTCATATATAGTCTTTTAAGCATATATATTTGCCTAGAGTGATCCGATGATTTAAGTTATATTGGAAAGCTAATTCACAAAGTCACAAGGTTAGAATAATGTTTTTGAAGAGATCATAGTCTAAATTTGAATTTATTTAAGAATGTAAAAAGTCATGGTAAAAAGGAATCCACGTCCATCAATTTTAGAAACTTTCAAAAATTGTTTCAACCTATATCTTCCTATATATATGCATATGTTTTCTTCCGAGAAAAAAAAAAAGAAAAAAAAAAAGGAGAAAGAGGAAGAGCGCAAAAATACAAGCTTGGGATCGGACTATATTTTTAGGTGATTTCTTTATTGTTATGTATGTAGCTAAACTTCAATAGCAATTTGAATTCTTAGTGACATTTATTCATATAGTTTGTTCTTAATTTTTGAGATTCTAATATTTTTTACTTCTTTAATAAGATTGTGTTTGTGTGATTTAAGTTTTAATTGCAATATAACCTTGATCAGGTTGTATATGCACCACAAATACACTAGAAGACAGCATGAGAGCCAAAGATTTTTTAAAGAATTTTATATTGCAAGAGTTTAAAATTTAATTTTTTTTTTTTGTAGCATTTACGATAACATATTTACATTTATTCATTATGATTATTTCTTTT